CCCTCAGATGCATGGCCTCCTAGAAGAGCGGTCCATTCATGTGCGTCATCATACTGTTAGGGTAAGGATCTCCACGAGTTAGCAGAGTCAACAAAGAGAGACTTATCAGAGACATGGAAAGGGAAGCGGGGCAGCTTAGAAAGACCTGAGCCGATCTGATGCACGACGTCAGCTGCATTCTGGCATGGGCCTTGAAACCGAGATTCTCCGAGGGACAGCCAATGGACTACAAGCCATTGCACCTCGCACTGCTACTAATAGGACAGTCAAGGACAAGGGGATCGTAGACAACCTCTACCAGTACCCTGTATTATTGCCCGTCCACTACGCTGAGCTTTACACGCCATGGCCACTCAAACGGAGTCCGTAGTGGAAGTACCCAGAACCAAATCCACAAAGCCTCTAGAAAAGTATATCCATCCGCCCGAGTCAAAGCAAGATCGTGAGTTGCCAGAGATCCGATTACCAAACATAGGATACTAAGACGACACAGTGAAATATGCGGACTTGGTCACGATTGACCTGTCCGAGTTCGATCGCCCTGGTGGAAAGGAGAAGCTCGCAGCGCAGCTAAAGGATGCCGCGCACGAAGTTGGTATATACTACTCCCATTCCTTACCTGTCTCATCAATCCCACTGAACACCCAGTTGATGTACCGTTGAACAGGCTTCTTCTACGTGACCAATTTCGGTCTCACCCAAGAACAAATCGACCGGCAGTTCGCCATCGCCAAAGAATTCTTCTCACTCCCGGAGGAAGAACGACGGAGTTTCCGCGCCCCCTTAGAAGAAGGAATCTACAATGGCTACCGACCTCTGGGTTCGATCGAGATCCTGCCCGGACTCCGCGACAACATCGAGTTCTATAACATTATGAAATTCCTCCCCCAATACGACCGGAACCACCCAGACGTCGTGAGACGCTACTGGGAGGAAATCGAGAAGTTCCACCGCCACTGCCACGAGCATATTGCCTATAAACTCTTCCAGCTGCTTGCGATCATCCTGGAACTCCCAGAGGACCAGCTTGTGGACGGACATCGCTATGAGGCCGAATGCGACAGCGGTCTCCGCTACATGTGCTACCGGGCCCGCACCCCCGAAGAGAACGAGAAGTACAAGCATCTCTACTCCCGTGGACACACGGACAATGGCACCATCACCTTTGTGTTCCAGCAGCCCGTCGCGGCCCTCCAAGTCAAGAAGTATGATGATTCCGAATGGGAATACCTCCCGATCCGTCCAGGAACGCTGTCGGTGAATATCGCCGATATCATGACTATGTTGTCAAACGGGTGGTTGAAGAGCGGCGTGCACCGCGTCATTGTGCCCCCTGAAGACCAGCAGCACCACGATCGGCTCGGACTTCTCTACTTTGTACGGCCGAGCGATCGCTTGAAGTTGAGGAGTGTGGATAGCCCGTTGCTTCGGAGAGAGGGGTATTATAAAGATACTACCGACATCGATATCCCAGCACCTGAATGGACTCGGGCGAGGATTAAGAAGAACTGGACTCGGTCTCCGACGGATCTGGGTGAGAATGTTACGATGGGAGGATTCAAGGCCAAGGTGTTCTACGAATAATTCATTGTGTTCTCCCAGCCTTGCTCTATGAAGTCTACTCAGTTATCGATTAAACTCTTACATGACCAATTGAACTCTCCTTATCTAGAAACTGAACTGCCCTTCTGAGAACTAACCGGGTACCTTGCTTGACAGACCACTGGTAAGCCGCTCTCAATGGATTGCTCTATGGCTTTTTGCCAAAGAATCCTTCACAACAGGGCAGCAAAGCAAGGAAACAGCAGAGTGGCGATGTACGATTTGTGTGGGGGTCCTTCTCACCATGCATAGTCAACGTGCTCGAAACTTGGCGTGACCATGAAGCCGAAGTGGGGTAGTTCGTATGAATTACTACATGTTGGCCAGCGATCTAGAGCGCGGAGTAAGAGATCCACCTGAATTTAGTTCAATCGTGCAGAGCGCTAACGACCAACTTGTAACCGGGCAGCCAGTGGGACTGGTGATATACATTGGAACCCAGCGGGCGGGCCGCTCAAATCCGTTTGATCAGCGCTTTGGCCTCATGTTCTCAGGTCTCCACCACACATGTCGTATCCTTTGGTGAATAATCCACGGCGGGGGTTCAATCTCCATGCAACTAAAGAGCAGAAAGAGGGGATTCTGCATCGACAAGAAGAGGGGTAGACGGAAAGAAACAGGGGGTAAATTGTATACTTTATTGACTAAAAGCTAGTATCAGCTAGACTCCGTCCACACATCAGGCTCAGGTAGGTAGCCACCGTCTCCATCCGAACTTTACAACTTGTGCGCCCTCGTCCTCCAGGCCAAGGCAGACGCACGCAACATCTCATTCGTAAGGATCATGACGCCCTCATCAGCGCCAATCCCAGGCTTCGAGAGCAGAAAGCCCGGTTTCGTGGCCAAGGCAACATGCGCCGTAACCCGGGCAGAAACGTCGGTTTCATTGGCCGATCCTCCAAGACAGCAGCCCACGCCCTTGTCCTGGCAATAAAGTACGGCGTCAATGCTGTTATGTACCCCTCCCAGATCAGGCATCTTGATCTGCACGTAGTCCACGGCGCCCGCATCAGCGAATTTGCGAATATCCTCTAGCGTATTGCACCATTCGTCGGCGACAATCTGGACGTGAATCGAGCGCGCTCGCAGGAGTTGCCGTAGATCCGCCAGTCGTCGTATTTGCTCGGACTGAGTAGGCGCGATGATCGGGGATTCAATGAGCAGATCGTATGGCTGGGCGGATCGCTGTACCTGGGAAAGGAAAGACGCCAGGCTGTCATTATCGGGAAAGAGATCACCAATTGTTCCGTAGACATCGAAGTGGAGTCGAGGACGGTATCCAGGATTTCCTCGCTCCTGAACACGTTGAGATACTGTCTTGACGTAATCTATCAAAGTTTTGCCGTTAGGTCCTATGTCGTGGACATGCACGAAGGAGGCATGGGGAAGCATTGGGACCCGTTTCATAATCATTCGGTCCAGCTGTAGGTGATCGTTCCTGTGACAAGAGGCCAGGATATCAATCGGATGGCGTGACACTGCAGTCCCCCATTCGCGGGATATGATCTCAGCCATAGTGCATCGATGCACTAATGCAGTGGCGGCGAGGAGCGCCTGCGTGATGCCATATCTCACGGCGGAATGCAATTTGGCCTGCTGCAACTCAGGCCAGGGCCCATCCATGCTGATTGCATTTTCCCGGAATCGAGCAAGGTCGCATGTAAGAAGCCGAGGTTTGACGACAGACTCTAAGGTAGGGAGGTGCTCTTCGGCGATGAAGAGGGGATCCCGAGACGCAGCCCCGGAAAAGATCACGTCGGCACAGTCGCCCACTGCAATTGTCCCATTTGGGAGATGTAGGAGGATAGAGATAGCCTGGCCGGCTTGTACTACGCTCTTGAAACCGGGTGTTTGGGGGGTACATTGTCAATCAGTGGATCATATGTTGGACTCTGTCGGACTGCTTGGAGGTCTTTCACGAAATACCCGGAAAGCCCGACAACGAATTGGATCTCAGATGCGTACATGGTACTTGATTTAATTGATAATACCCTGATTCTAAAGGTCTAGTACGATGTAAAGTACATACATATATACTCTCGGGGAAAGCCCACCTAGTAGTTCCATCTGTGGGGATCACTTCCCACCGGGAGGACGCTGGACATGGAGATTTGATCGGCGTCAAGATCCTGCGCCTAGATTGAACCCGTCTAACTAATGATGCTAGGATATCTGTACCGATTTGTCCATCCGAGGAGTGGTCCCACTCCAGGTTACAGGGGAGCGTATGCTCGTCTACAATGTTGACCTACATTTGAGGTCACAAAGACATAAAGATATGGTTGAGTCGTTAAGGCAGTGGTATCCTAATCTTAACTGTATTTTTGGACAAGTCAGAAATCAGTAGAGGCTTTTAGCTTCCAATAAGACTTCATTGCAGTCAAATATTACTTAGTGGTAGTGATACGCTAGCAATTGATATGACGCGAGTATTAACGGGTGTTTTCACTGGGTGGGCCTGGGGACAGAAATACTAAGGGGGGTATACCGTTGGGGGATCCGAAAGGATATCGAGCTCAGACCTCTCTACTTGGAGAGTGAGGGGAGAATGTGGAGGAGAGAGGAGTAGAGATTGAGGAAAGGCAGGAAGAAAACGAAGAAAAAGAAGAAAAAGGATGCGAGAGTGGAATGGCAGAATAGTCTGAGACGCGGGAAGAGAACAAAATAAAACAAAAAAGAATGACCGACGCAGGGATCGAACCTGCAATCTCTTGATTCGTAGTCAAGCGCCTTGCCATTGGGCCAGCCGGCCAATTGTTGAATTAAGTATGCAGTAATGTGCTATATATTCCATTATAATATTGTAAAACCACTTATGAAATTTGAAGTGATCCCTAAAGAGGTTGCACCTGTGTGAAGCGATTCAGGGACCAGAATCTTACCATAAGCCGGGATCTAACATGGTGCAGCTACTATTTACCTTAAGGACAACTTTAGAGTTAGTTTGGTGGGCTTATTTAGCTTGCTTCCGCGAGACTCAAGAAGTCACCTTATTGGAAGTATATATCTTCAAATCCTTGGGCTATTCTGTTGTAGTTAGCCAAAATATTTCACCTGAAATGTGTCCAGGCTAACCCCCAGCCCCCAAAAGGACGCGCAATGGACGATATCCAACAAAGCTAATACTGGTATGTAACTGGAACCCTTTCTTTCGGGACAGTAGCATGCCTCAATTGGGGTTGATTGCCAAGTTTCGAATACGAGCTTCGATATAGCAGTTGAGCTACGTGGAAACGGGAAGAATATGAAATTATCAATCTTTGATTTCAAATCAGCATTGAGTCACAATAAGGTGTACTGATAGAGCTTTCCCCGGAATTGTGTGAATATAAAAGGGTTTGTGATGACGGTCTAATTTCAGCCACCCAAGGAAACAACACAATCATCCATACCTTACAATGTCTAAGCACATAAGCATATTCGGTCTCGGAGCCATGGGAACGGCCCTGGCAGCCAAGTACCTCGAACATGGCTACAAAACCACTGTCTGGAATCGAACTACTGCAAAGGCCACCCCGCTCGTTGAGCAGGGTGCCAAGTTAGCTTCTACAATCTCGGAAGGCATAAACGCCAGCGACCTCATCATTATATGTCTCCTTAACAATGAAGCTGTCGAGGGCATTCTACGGGATGTATCCAACAATTTGTCCAACAAGACTATTGTCAACCTTACCAATGGGACACCAAACCAAGCTCGTCACCTTGCAAATTTCGTCACCTCCAACGGAGCACGGTACATCCACGGCGGCATTATGGCGGTCCCCACTATGATTGGCTCTCCACATGCTGTCCTTCTCTACAGTGGAGGATTACCTGAGCTTTTCCAGAGCATCGAAAGCCATCTGTCTCTCCTTGGAACGAGTAAATTCCTCGGTACCGATGCAGGGTCTGCCTCTCTACATGACTTGGCTTTGTTATCGGGAATGTATGGTCTCTTCTCCGGGTTCCTGCATGCGGTTGCTCTGATCAAGTCTGAGCAGGGTAAGACAGCTACCGGACTATTGCCGCTTCTGACTCCATGGTTGTCGGCAATGATGGGATATCTTGGTTCTATCGCGAAACAGATCGATGAGGGAAACTATGCCACACAGGGATCTAACCTGGACATGCAATTGGCCGGAGTGGAAAACATTGTCAAAGCTGGCGAGGAGCAAGGGGTCTCCTCGCAGATGATCCTTCCGATAACAGCGTTGATAGAGAAAGCAGTGGGTGAGGGCCATGGGGGCGAGGATCTATCAGCGCTGATTGATTATATGGAGGTGAAGAAAAGCTTGGAGTAAGGCGCCGCTATATTTCTGTGTTGTGGTAAAACTACTCTGTATTCATTCTATTATCATATAGTAGCACGTGGCAAATGAACCTCTTGATTCATCACTAGTTTACATGTCTGGGCTTGGGAAGTGGGCCCTCCTGAATTTGCCGTTTACGAAGAAGAAGAGATGAAATTCTGGAGGATGAAGACCATAATGGACTAGAAAACTCGGATGTCTGTCTTTGTGAAGGTGAGGATATGCAATAGACGGTGGAGCTAATAGGACCTATCTTTGATAGCTATTACATCAACATACAATATGTTTTATATTATGTTTGAATCTGGTTAACAGTACTCTCGTTGAGATATACGTTGAAGAGGAAAGCTGACATGAGTGGTAGTTACCTGTTTATAGTCTAGTCTAAGGGGAGAATGATCACAAGCCAAAAATGACCGCTAAGTCTTTATAGCACCTTCATTCTATCTATGTATTACTTAGCATATGTATATTAGAGGCCCACAGTAGTCTTGTCCCACTCAGATTCACCACTAATGCGCCTTCAATAATGCCAGCCCGCCATCGAGTGTCACCTCCGAGCCCGTTGTAAAGGTTGCCTCGAACGCGAGGAACAAAACGGCACGCGCGACTTCGACCGGTTCTCCAATTCTACCCAGGGGTGTAGTCTGAACGCCCTGGTTTTCGAACTCTCGTAGATCATCACACGAGGCACCTGCGACACCCATCGTTGGGGTCTTCACAAAGCCAGGGGAGACCGCGTTTACACGAATCTTCCGACTAACTAGCTCTGCTGCCAATGTCTGCACAAACGACCGGACGGCAGCCTTGGAGGCCGAGTACGTCGCCATGCCAGGGATGCCGACCTGGTTTGCAACCGAGGTGGTGAATACAATGGAACCGCCATCTTTTAGGAGAGGGGAGAGCTTTTGCGCCACAAAAAAGGCACCGAACACGTTGGTGTCGAATGTTCGTCGGAAAGAGTCCTCTGATACGGTAGAGAATGGCTCTAGAGAGGCATAGCCAGCGTTGACAAAAAGAAGATCGATGCTTTGTCCAGGGCCAAAGAAGGACTGCGCCGTCTGAACAAGATCAGATATGGCCGCGGTTGAAGTGATATCGCATGACACAATCTCGGCCTTATCTTTTAACTGTTGTTTTGCTGCTTCGATGGGTCTAAGACTTCGACCGGTGACCAGGACTTTTGCACCCCCGTTAACCAGAAGCTGAGCTGTCGATAGGCCGATGCCATGGCTACCACCGATAATGACCACGTTTTTGCTTGAGTATGGTGCCATTGATTTTGTTTGGAAGAGAAAGAATACCAAAAGATCAAAAACTGTAGACTTCTTGCAGGGAATGCTAGAGATAGGTGACTTCCTCGATGGAATTGCTCCCTTAATTCCCTGATCGCAATCCTATATTTATACTTCCTGGACTTGAAGGTGCCCCCTACTTCCCTATACAAAGGTCTGGCAAGATCGGAGCACGAACGACATCGTGCTTCGTATCGAAGGATTGGCCTCGTATTCATGCTTGGCATCTGTTAATGGAAACGCCTAGCTGCCATCAGAACCACGATAATTGTATATAATTTGATTATAAATACAAGCTTGTTTAAGGTTACGTGACTCACAAAAAGACTCGCGTTCGATAGTGATATTACATTCCTAAGCAATCTTCGATGCAATTCTATGCAAATGGTTGAAGAAAAAGAAGATTGTTTCGTTGCTGGACCATGGCTTTTCAGAAAACCTTGCTTTCCGGTTCTCAATCGACAATCGTTTGAGTATTCAGCTATGTAGTATCTTTAAAAATATAAGAGCTCTTTATGATCTCCAAAATGTTGGGGTCTTCCAGCAAAGGAATGCGTTGCAAATTGCACCCCCACAAATACAATAATGACGGCTGGTAGTTGGTAACTGGCTACATGTATATGTGCCATAACACACCGGGATTCAACAGAGTTTCCTTCTAGTATGACACCCCTATATTAGAATTATACGAACTTGCGATTGTTTTCTCTTTAGATTCTGCTACGTAGCTCATGGATGCATTGCGAGAATATGCGATGACGCAATCTTGTGTGCCACTGCCTTGGGGAGTGTTTAAATAAAATATTAAAGTGTTTTGGCTTGATATATATATATAGTTCTAACTAAAAATGAACGAATGAGAAATTAAAAATACAGAGTGTTGTCGACCACAGCTACCACCTTCACCTCTTTAGTCCCTGATCTCCCACCACCTAATCTAGCAGCTAGCCAGGGGCTTGAACTTGCAAGTGTTGCTAGCGCCGGAGGAAACCTTCTTGGGCTCCTTGCCGTTGTTATCGGTACCCTGGTACTCGACACAGATCTCCTTAACGTTGCTAGCACAGCCGTCAATAGTGGCAGAGTCGCCGAGGTTAGGGTTGATGCCAACAAGAGTCTTGCCGCCGCTGGCCTTGACACCGCTGATCTGAACGGTACGCTTGAACTGCTTCTTGCAGTTGCCGCAGGAGCGGTACAGCTTGCCGAAGTTCTGGACAGTGAAATCCTGGATGATGGCAGAGCCGCCGCTGTTGTGCTGGATGACCTTGTCCTCGGCGCCCTGGGCACCACCGCCGATGACCTTGTGGACGCCGCTGCCGGTACCCTTGAAGGTGAGAGCATCTATACATGTTTATTACTTCGCTGCATACAATGAATTGGAGAGAGAAGATGTGAGATGGCGAATGGACATACCCTCGCAGACCTCTTGCCACCAGACGTTTTCAATGGTACAAGAACCCTCGCAGTGCACACCCTCAATCTGGTCAGCACCAATGATGGCGTTGCGAAGGACACCACCGTCAGCGACGATGAAGACAGCGTCCTTGTCGCCACCCTCCTTCTGACCGGTACACTTGACACCACGGTCGAAGGTCTTCATGCCACCATCATAGGTACCCTTGACGTAGTAAGGTTCCTTAAAGGTTTGGCTACCCTTGGAGGCGGGAATGGGGAATGCAGCGCGCTCGTTCAGCTGGTGGAACTTCTGGTGCGAGGAGGCATCGTGAGGGCTGGCCAGAGCCGAGGTGAGGAGGAGGGGAACGAGGAGAAGTTTCTGGTACATGGTGGATGCGAGGAGTGGTTGATAACTTGATAGCGAAGAGAAGTTTGATTCAATTGTTGCTCTGCTTGTCTAGAAGACTCTAATGAGGGAAATGGCGAGGTATTTATACTTCTTCCAGGGGTATACGGACCAGAAATCTGGATGTAATATTACATATGAATGGACAATCTAATAGTCTTGGTATGTCTTGTTTCAATTAAACACACGCGGCATTGTTGAAAAACCGGGCGTAAAGGCGAAACAGCGGCCAGCCTGAAGCGCTCCCTAGAAGTCTACCAGAACATAGCCTTGAGCTCTTTGAATGGGCTCCTTGGTTGGGTGTCTCCACTCGGACCTACATTCCCTGAGCACTTGCCGGCCCTCTAGTTGACAGGGTCTGTTGAACCTGAGGATTAAGGCCGCCTTGAGTATCAATCCGCGACAACCGGGCTTTCTCCGGACATCCGATTGGTGGTAATGAGTCAGTAGTTTGATTTTCAACAGCTATTAGCGCATAAAGAGTCAGTTTCAGGTCCGTGTGGCGAAATAATCCAAAGGGTCCTGACTCCTGACTCGGGCAGATCCCGGATCAACTCAGGCTAAGTCTTGCAACAATAGGCCTCCCACAAGCAAGAGGTATAATAGTGCGGCGTGATCCACCTAATTAGGAAGATACGGGGAGGACCCTAGACTTCTAATGGGCTCCTTTGGCTATTTAGCTATATTTAGGGACCCTACTTGTTTCACTCTAACGGAACCTTTTCCGTGGCGCAGTAAGCTCGACTTCCAGCGACTAGTAGAGACGCCGGTACGAGCAGTACAGTTCCACGGACCACTATAAAACTAGTAACCGTGGAACGGACGAGTGCGAAGTTCTGCCGGAGAGAGAGACGATTCCAGACGATTAACCTAAGGGCAAATTGACTCTTTTTGTTAACATAAGCCCTGAGTATATGATGAGTGCTCTGATACCGCACAACCTAATAACCTACAGTGATCTCCGGTCCTTGTTATCGTCGGGAATGGGTGATAATCGCAGGCCAATTCCCGCATGGTCAAATTACCGACAACCAGCCAAGGCTTGCCAAGCCAACCTTATGTTTCAAGTTGGCTCGGGGATGAAATAGTGTAAATAGTGTGGCATACAGAGGCCAGAGCCTAATGGGCCATCCGGAAGTTTCTGCGCAAAATTCGTTAATTCGCCGTGGTATCGCCGGGAGATCGTGCACTTGTACGGAGTAGAATTAGCATCATCTTGATAACCAATCGGTTCGTGACAATGCACCACACATATATGCAGATCCTCTATAGGCCATACCAGACATTATGCTCATAAAGGGGAGATAATTACTTGCATGTGATTATCACCTTATAGATTAGATATCGGTTAATTAGCATTATTATGTGCAGCAACTCCTGGAGGTTCGGGCGAATGCCTAACAACAGTAATATCGAAGGGTGGCGGTTTCTCAACTATATTCTAAAGATAGCTACTTACACAGGATACGATAAGTGAGTGGTAACTTCATGGGACAAGTGTAGATTGGTCAAAATAACGAACCGTGGACATTCGGAATTCTGGTCCCTTTGCCGAACAAGCTCACGAAGTCGAGAGCCTTTATACCCTTAGCGAGATGATCGAGTCTTCCCATGTTCAAGCATTTGATCAATCTGTGTCAGGCGTCAATGCCAGAAAATGCACGTTGATATTTCCTCGGTGATTTTAATATAACCGAGAGATTGAAGGACAGAGTTGAGGGGCACATCTCGACTTGTCTAGAGCTAATGGGACCAAAAGTTCTTGAACAAGACCCACGGAATAGCTCCTAAGTACCTTGCGAAGCCTTCTTAAATGTATTCCTAGCACTATTTGGCAAAGAAGGGCTAATAGGACCACTAAAGAGAATGAATTTAGATCTATATCGTTTTTTCGGTACACCTATGGATTCCAGGGAAATATCTACTTAAGCTATACTGAAGGTTCATGCCAAGAGGAGTCTACTGCACAGTAGCAGCATTGACTAAAAGTCTAGTAACGCTGACCTGGGCGCTTGGATTGTTCAGAATGATCCACCACCTGGGACCCTGGCACCATGGCGCACGGCAAAACCTGATTGGCTCCCCGTGTCAGGGGTGATGTGGAATAGAATGAAATAGATATGCATATACTACTTGGAATACCCGACCTATATACACAGTCCTCCGTTCACAGTACCGGAAGAACCCAAGATCTGTCGATTCACATCCCCTCTGAAAAAAACATTCGGATTCTCATGTATATCATATGATGGCACACTATTCCGTATAGGGCAGTTCCGAGAGATATGGATCTCGGATTACCGGACTGGGGGCGGTGAACCAGTTGATCGGCAGACCGTAAACACCATGACTTCAGCTTCCCCTCCCCCGTCTCTGTTTCTCTCTGTCTTTCCTTCTCCCGACTTCCAATCGCTTCGTCAGACCAAGGAAGATGTTTCTGAATATGTCTACCCTCCCTAGGGGATCCCTGAAACCATATGCGGCCGAATTCCTCGGAACAGCCCTCCTGATTGTCCTTGGAGATGGAGTGGTTGCACAATGTCTCCTATCCGATTATCAATATGGCACTTGGCTCTCTATCAACATGTCCTGGGCAGCCGCCGTCTGTATCTCCGGCTATCTTGCTGACCCTAGTCCAACCATCAACCCCGCCGTCACCATCTGTACCGCGCTCATTCGGCCGACACCAGGACAATGGAAAAAGCTGCCAGGTAAACTGATCGCCCAATTTCTAGGTGGTTTTGTTGGTGCGGCCCTGGTGTACGTCAACTATCGGTCGGCCATTGAATCCTGGGATCCCGAGTATACCATTCCAGGCGGGTCAATTTTGAGTCCTCAGGGACACCATTCGGCAGGCATCTTTTCGACTTATCCTGCCTCCACTTTGGGGTCGAATTGGGAGGCGGCCTTTAACGAGGTGCTTGGATCGGCAGTGCTCATGTTTGGAAGTCTTACCATTTCAGACCCATCAAATGCTCCTCGGTTCTATTCTCCCCAGCTTTCTAGTTTTCTGCTCCTTCTTGCAATCGGTGCTTCTTTGGGCTGGCAGACCGGATACGTACGTGCCTAGTTGAAATTGAAATTGGAAATACAATAAGCTCTTGCATTATATACTAAACTGATTATCTAGGCTATCAACCCGGCGAGAGACTTCGGCCCGAGACTGTTTTCTGCCATTATCTATGGTAGAGAGGTCTTCACTGCAGCCAACTATTATTTTGTCGTCCCCCTGTTCGCCCCGATCATCGGCTGCATTGTGGGGGCTGCAACATATGACTCTCTCCTCTACGAAGGGGAGGGCTCTCATATTACGGATGCTCTCGATAAAGTGGGAGACCGGGATGGATCCCTCCGACTGGATTGAGTAAGCTCCATGACCGGTGATCGACGTCTGGTGAACATAGCGATGAAGGAATGACGTGCTATTTAGCTGAGGTTGGGTGATGTTGAGAGTAAGATATTGATCGGATATCTTCTTCATGATACGACATGATGCTTTTGTATGGATATTACTACGCTTGAAGTTGCTTGAACCTTTATAAGTATGATGCTGCTGTTGTATAGATGACGCTATAGAGTATAGATTATCTTTGAATAGATGATTGTGTGTATAGTTACATGCTTGTGTGCGTATTACTCATAGAAGGTACTTTATACTATACTATATTAGAGTATTGTACAAGGGCACTAAACATACAAGTGAAGCGGGATGCTACAATACCAATGGCTCTGACTGCGGAATCTCTTTCACCACGTAGCCTGGGGAGCGGACAACTTGATCCCAACAGAGACACCGTTGTGCTCCTAAGGATACGCAGAAAGCTATATTGCCCCAAATGGTTCACCCTATATGACTATGGTCAATTTGACTTATTGAATTATTCCACCTTTCCTCTCAGTAGCCACTGGTTTGACCATTACTTCTGCCTATGCAATTGCCCATATTTTTGTGGCTCCCTTACATGAGCAAATTTGACATTAGTTCCTTCGAACTTGATACTAGATTGGGAGCTCTTAACATTGACTATTCACTAATAAGTAATTGAATGCACATAATCGTCAATTCGAGCAGTATCGGTATCCCAACTTAGCTCGTGGAGCTTAGTTTGATCCGTCGCATCGTTCGGGGAAGCTCCGGGATATTTCTTGTGCATGTTTTGACCGATGTAAGAATACTTGTTGAATCTCTTGGAATGCCTATAGTGATAAGCTTAGCGAAGAAGCAGCCGTATAGTACACAGTCTCCGTGCAACATATGACGTAAGGAAGGTATTGTTAGTCGCACACAGTCTGATATAGCTCATTTACTGTGCCACCGACATGCTTCGTTCTACGGACGGATTAAACTGCTTGACGACGAGAATGCTACCCGGCCTCACCAAGTAACCTGGCCAAAGCAGTTCGTTGCTGTTACTCTGTATCCATGCCTTTGGGCGATTGTAATCTACCGCATGATACTGTGGTTACCTACCACGGCCGTTCTACCAATATTTCGGGAGCCTTGTCTCACGCGCAGCATCTGACAACACGGATAGCATGGATGGGATACTCTTGCTCTCGGTAACTTTGATGAGTTGAGCATCTAATCGTGTTACGGCCCAGGGGTGTTGAAGAGCGAATGTACCGTGCAAACCAAGCTTTTAGTATGAGACATTTCCTGATCTGTAAAAGCTGAAGAGGGCCCAGGCTCGATATAATAGTATCACTGCAAAGGACTGCTGGGTTCATGGAAGAAAAGGCGACAGATATCGTACCATTAAATTTGACATCTCAGAACACCTAATACAGGCGTCTAACCGCTGCTTCAGGGTATAAATAGCGGGCTGCTTCCCGAACAAATTACCCCTTATTGCTATAAAGCGGTAGTACCCCATAAGGGATAACTCAGTTAGACCAGACCTTATCAAACTGTTGTTGAGAGTATCTTCAAATGAGACCCTTAATCATCCTTGTTGCTTGCGCCAGCCTCGTCGCCTCTGCCGTGACGAGGACACCAACAGCAACGCCTGCCATGCACAGTGGGCTTGTGGAGGGATTTTCGTTTCCCGAAGAGGGCTTGTCGATCAGGCTTGGTATGTATTCAAGACAAGACATCGAATAGACATCCTAGCATGACCTGACCATCTGTGCTAGACTCGAATTTTGCCGGTTTCCAGGCATGGTGCACCGCCCCAATTTGTATGGCCACTTGCGCTCGGCTCGGCTATAGGTGCTATCGCTGTGTTGCACTTTCTTGCATGTGCAGTAATGGCGACTGTTGAAAGGGCCCTGTGAGGGCGCATGCTGTTGTTGGTCAGAGTGAAATGGAGACTGCGCATAGCCCCTTGCGGCTGGTTGGGTATTATTTGGCGGGTTGTGGTCTAGATATATTCCCTTTTTGATAGTAATGTAGCCTACAAGGTTACTACTCTGCCCCGGCACGGATTTGTGACATTACTGGTCGATGTACTGTGTGTTTATGGGGTGTAGAAACCAGCCTTGATTGCTTCTAGCGACTGAGTTGTTTTTCAGATATTATGGAATTACATATGCTTTTGATGGGCTGCCCGGACTCTTAAGGGGTTAATTTTATACCAGAAATAGATCGGATTTGATGAGCTGTGGGTTTGAGGGATAATTTGGAGTAGCTTCTGTATACAAACAAATGTGAGGTATGTGGCTATTTGAAAGCTCATCACGTCGCCCTTGTGACTTCCAGCCGGAAGGGAAAAACTGTCTGTATATTATTTTCCAATAGTTTACTCTCGAACTTGATAACTCGCTGACTTTAGCTTGGCCTAAGTAGTTGAGAATGGGGTAAATCAATTTCACAGAGGTCCTTGTCGTAAAATGCCCACATTAAATTAATAATTATAAACGGCTTACTGCTGCTACTAGCCTCTAGTTCTTCGTACATCAGACTTCCAATCTCTCCTTCATGGGTCTTCGAGTAACAATCCATATCCTTGAACCTGGATGCCACCGCTTTACGAGAATCTATCACTTGCGGCCTGTTCAGCCCCCGAGCTAATAATCATGTCATTAGCCTCTATAACCTACAATGATCATCAGTGAAAACGAGAGAAATAACATACAAAGACTCCTTTGAGCTCTTCTCTACTTCTGCAAGCTTGGCACATGTCCGTGCAACGTCGTTGGCTTCAGAATCTAGCTCCCTGATAAGCTGTAGTATCGTGTTCTAAATGCGGTATATCAGATCTGAGAGGATACCCGAAGTTGGAATTAAGATTCTTACCTTGGCGCTGCCATGCCATTGGGAAGACAATGATGTGTAGTATTGAGACGCTTGCGCGAGTCCGGCGTGTGCCTGGCGACATCCGCTCTGCTCACGCGCTTCAAGATTGGAAGGTGTTGCAGCAGCAGCGGTGAGGGTAGTGAGGAGAGCAACGGATAGTAACTTGGAGAGATACATTTTGAAGTTGCGAGTGGTTTTAGGGAGGCAGAATGTTGTGTGGTGTAGATTGGATCTTCTGAGAATGCTGATTGAAATGAAATCATGTAGGCAAGCTGCGTACACTATTTATATGGATAAAGTGCTATTCTCGTGATAGCTTCAGTGCCCGAAGGAATATCAAGCACAGCCCCCGCTAAGCCATTGAGAAGCGCTGCCGCAATGAACCTTATAAGAATATCCAATGAGGCTCCACAAGCCAAGAATGATGTCCGTTTTAGGCGTTCCAAATAGAACGTTTGGCTAAAAGCCATTGGGCCGCTATTGACAGATCGTCGGAGCCTCGCTCGTATTCACAGAGGCTGCCGAGGCCCTCTCGTATCCTTCGTGGGATAACCAATAAATGGGGACTTTGGTTCCTGACTAGACTTGACTGCTCCGGAGCAAACAAGGGTTATTAGCCGCTGGAAGTCCTGAATAGTGACATGTCAGTCGCTCACTTAAATTAGATTCCGCATGCACTTGGAGGCACTGGTCGGATCTGACATCTCATTGGATGGCCAGGCCATCTTTGTACCAGAAGTGATGGGTTCGATTAGCAAGGTGTCGTGAGAAAAGGATGTTGAGGTTTGAATGAGATTCTACGAAGACTGCCGGCCTTAGGCACCTTAGCCATTAAAAGAATAATACATCAAGGATTGAGTTGAAGCTAAGAACGATGATCAATGGCTGGTCCTCAAACAGGTCAAAGTTCTTACAAATGGCGCCCAGGAGCAACGCGGATCGATTCGAGTCAAGTCCCAAGAGTCTGCGGCGAACAATAGGTCGTCCAGCCCGTATAGACATCGAGCCTGGTTTTTCAGCCTCTCCTAGATAAGCGAACTTTGGTCTGCCTGGTGACAGAGACGTTTTGCATCGCGTCTAACAAGAACATACGGAAATTGACGTAGATTTTAAATGAGCTCCTAATCTACATCTCAAACTCGGTACAAGATCATAAAGTGTTTCGAGGAAAATGATTGGCTGTAAGAGGAAGCAAGTCAATGCACTCATTCCTAACTTTGAACCTTTTAAAGAAAGGCTTATACCCATATGATTTTACGTTTTTCATTCAGGTTAATCAACGTGTAGTCGTAGCCGAAAAGAAAACTTACAGTTTAGACACCATAGCGGTGCTGTTGGTTGGACCACAGAACTTGGCAGACCAAACCCTAAGATTCTATTTGGCTCCATTATGGAATTTAGAACGTGCTAATCGCACCCGATGCCACTACTAGGTTTAGCAAAAGTCCAAGCTGGTCAGAGTACTCATAACATACTTCACCGCATGAAATTGGCTCGTACAGAGGCGGATGCTCATCATCCACGCAGGATGGAACAACTTTGCAGACCGCCTCGGGGTTGAACCTAAAGAAAAACGGCATTTAATAGCGCGAGTCCGGCTGACAGTTATATACCCTGTGGACCGTTGATTTAAACGTATTATTCAAGAGGCGTTGAAGGAAGTCTCCAGTGTTGACTACCAGTGTTCCTTCAATTGGGCGGGCGTCAAGCCACTCATCCTGAGCCGACAATACCTGAAAGCCACCTGAGTTGTCCTGCCAGAGCAGGGTGAAGCATTGGATGTCGATGTGGGATCCAATGCCGACGTCAATATCTGAGTCCGCTGCGACATCTGGTATCCCCGGGTAGTGGATATAGAGTGCATCTGCACCCGGATGAGTGGTGACACCATCAAAGTAGTCTTCTCGTTCGCCGAGCGCGAGAGCAAAAATGCGGACCAATTTTCAAGCTAATGTCAAGCGACTCTGCCAGAAGGAGACAGTCACTTCCCGAAATCCTGGAAGATGGCTAGCTCCCTTCCAGATATAGTCACCATCGTTGCGGGACTAGTCTTCTTGTTCCAATGCACTGTTAGGGTCGGTGCAAATTGGATCAATTCTTGGGTCGTATCTCATTGAGAAAGTCTCCTTGAGATCTGTCATCACGTGTTCGCTAGTAGCAGGCACCTTGAACGAATCACTTGTCTCTCGTCTCTTTACGATTGACCTGGGTGCTCCCCACTCCGTGGTAACCAGCCGAAACCTTTGAGGCACTAAAATCAATCTTCATCTTCTCACTTAGTGGCTGGTTGAAGAAGGTCTTTGCCTGCATCAGGGGGTTCTGAATTAGTTCATCAGGGACCCCATGGTTGCGGATATAAAAGAAGCCAGTGCTCTCAGGCCCGGCTTTGATCCTGGAAGCCAAGGCTTTTCTTTTCTCCAGACTGCCATCGATGGGCTCTAAATCTGCCCTTATCAGTGCGGGAATGATATGCTTTTTCATATTCTGGGACTTGCATCCATGGTAGCCGTTTTGTGCCTCGCCGGTAAATTTGACATTATGTAGGTTTGTGAACTGCGCATTTTTATTTATCCCTATACTAAAGATGAGGGTAATAGTATACATCAAGGTGGTTTCTTTTTATAGTGCCACTGTCGCTATGCTGGTTTGGACACTTTCTTTATCTGGATCTTCCCAACATACACTTCGGTCGCATTCAACTATACATGGCACTGAGAAGTCTTGGATGGTGGTCAAATTCTTCTGGATAGGGCTTGCGAGTGTTGCCACCTTCGTCTCCAATGCTGCCGATCTTCAGCGATATACTAGGCGACCGAACGATGTTATTTTGGGTCAACTGTTCAGTTTCCTGTTGCCAACTTTATCATTGTCATCATGGGCTGTGTGATAGCTGCTACCAGTGAGCCTACATTTGGGGAGGTGTGTTTCGAAATGAATGTCCCTCGTTAACAGCTAGTCTGACCAATTCAGCCTATATGGGATCCCATTCATATTCTCGAACACCTCATGGACGGGGGTCGCTATACAGCTGGAAACCGAGCGGGCTGCTTTTTCATCGCTTGGCTTTGTCTATTCAAATATCTTCACTAATATTTTTGAGAACTTCATACCGTAAGTATAATACAGATTGCTGTTGCAGTCGCTCGCTACGACCTAAATCACATATAGAGTGGGAAATAATATAGTAGCCTTGCTTCCCAAGTACCTCAACGTCAAGCGTGCCGTTTTCATATGCGCAGGCAAGCAAGCTTTAGTCGAAATCTCAACTAGGCTCTAGTCACTAATTGATGAGTACAGCCCTCTCGTACGCCATCTGCCCATGGTATCCACTGTCCTCAGCTGTTGTTTTCATCAAGTTTCTCTCCTCCTATCAGATCTTATTACCTGATCCGCCGAGGTCGCCCTTGTATTCCAGAGCTGTACACCATGAATCCAGAGGGTAGCTACCACTATGTGCGCGGAATCAATCTCCGTGCTCTTGCAGTATATTTGGTCTCAATAGGCCCGAGCTTTTCTGGATTTCTAAATCAGCTTGGTGTAAAGGCACCGCTGTCTATTCAGCGGCTCTATTACCTTTCCTATCTGACGAGACTGCTGATTGCATTCTTGGGATATTATCTATCATGCCTTTGCTTCCCCATCGTGGTAATCGTGAGGAACTGAGGTTGGTACGTGCCTAGAGAGTATATTGATGTGCACGATTCCGCCAGAGATGATGCTACAATGGACTTTGGCGCTGTTGATATTTCGAGGCGGGAGAGTGATGCGTTTGACTCCGTCGTTGCAGAAGGTATAAAGCAAGACGAAGCTATAAAACGGGCTATCACTTAATCTATACTATATATTTAAATGCTTTTTCGCTATTTCTCTCTTGTATGTGTTTGGAAGACTGGTCTTCATTCATGGTACACTTACTACCATGCTGAATAGGGGTGGTGGCGAGCGTGGATAGCTGGTACCTCTGATTCCGTTTTTCTGCTTCTTTTTTCAACATTTACCTTAGTATATAAGATGATGTCGGACTCATCGCTCTCTTATTGCCATTATCTTTTTCTCTCGTCTAGGTTATGCTCTCTGTGAAATATTAAGCATGTATTCGCGTGATTGGCCACGAGAAAACTGGCCTTGTTGCGACAGGGAACAACACTCGCCATTAATTTCACAATAAAAGTATAAAGGCAATAAATACGGAGCATGGACTCGGAGAGTTTATAGTTCCGTTTAAAATATCCCTTGCATGCTATCATGCACTCGGCAAGGGTTTCTCTACGGTCTACAGGACTCACTCGGTGTGGCAACCGTCGCAACAGTTTGGATATCTTGCTTCTCTCTCTTTTTCATGGGCTATCTCATAGTCTCTACCAAGTTAGATATTCTTCAGCAAACCCTAGTAAAAATAATCTTCTTCCAGCCCAAGAGAACGTAGCATTCCGAAGCCAAAAACACGAATGAAAATGATCGGATACGAGTACCCAAGGGATAGCAATACAGTTCACAATAACTAATCGATTACTTCCTTAGCATCGCCTAATGATCAGCCACAAAACCTTACAAAGTAGTAGCCACAATAGAGGAATCAATCCCATGCATGACCTTGGGAAACTTGCACCCGTTATACCCAGGACCCAGGCAATTCTCCCTGGGACACCGATGGCCACAGACACAGCTTTCCTCCGCACACCATACGCCCCTCGGGCAGACCCTCAACCTAGCAATGTACCTCAAATCTTCCACCTGCTGAGGCCGAAGCCGGGACTCATGATCATGGTTGCAGTTTTCTCCGTAGGGACATGAGCCCACGATATGATATGGGTTGCATAACTTCCGCTGCTTCAAAGCATCCACGTTCTCCTTGGTGGAATATCGCAAGGGGGGATCGACACGCTGACCTGCCGCATTCTTGCACACCGCTAACCTGACGGGGCTGCGATTTCTATTCGAGATTCGAGCCGAAGCAAGGGGTGAAGGGGATCGTCGATTCACATCCGACGTTGATTGTGACCGAGGGGGTGTTGTTTTCACTGCCGAAGCGTAGTTCTGAGGGGGTGTCCGCGGCGGCGTGACATTGCTGAATGATATCCTTCTGGGGGTTATTTTGGTCGACCGAAACACGTCTGGGAAACTTGTGGTTGCAAAATAGGGTGCCAGCTCCTTCATTTCACGCGCGAAGGAGGGTCCTTCAACGAGAGAGATACGGTCGGACTCTCGATGTGGTCCCAGCACGCGTGCATATCCATTGTCCGCAGACGCGCAGAATATAACACGCTGACAATGAACATCGAGTATATCCTGCTCAAACAGGGCTGACCGATAAACTAGTAAGTAACTCCGTATGCCATGTGCTTAAGGGATTCATAGCCCACCTCGTAATTTCACGTCTGAGCATTCCTTGCCATTTCCTGCGTCCACGAAATCGCATAGTCCGTTTTCCATGTTGAATCCCTGGATAAACGCCTCGAGTGTTCCGTCGACAGGGGCAATGTTCGTATCACGATACGTCTTTGACAGGCCGCTCACATTGGCATATACACGAATTCTACACTGGATCCTGGGGTTCGCCTCGGGGTCAAGTTGAAATAGGTAGTCCTCTACCGCTTTTCTCAGAAGCTGTACAGCCTTTTGACCGCCATCATATCCACTTTGGACGAGGTGATCTTGAAACTAAGAGTAGAGTAACTGTCAGCTATGAAAGGTGTATCGGATGGACAGGGAATATGGGGGATTAGGACACTCACATTCATACCGTCACCGTCAACGAGCACAGAAACAAAGCTCATTCTAGCCTGGATGGTATCATATTAGACGGACTCACCCTAAAGGCAGGCAGGGCGCCGACTTAAGACTCACATGGTCACGGTTCTTCAACTCCAGTGCCTCTTTATCTTTGTTTGACTTGTCCTTGAACAAGCCAGCGAGCTCCTTATAGTTGTCCACTTCATCGTGTGCTTTTGTGAGATCCTCCCGCAGCTCCTCAACTTGAGAGAATAGTTCCTGGATACCATCCGGCTTAGTTAACACGATCGGTGTATTGGATATAGCTCCGGACCAACCTCGATGATTTTCTCTTTACTATCCTCAACACTGCTCAGCTCTCTATACCGCCTCCTCATGTCATCTAGATCAAACATCGCGCCAAGTTATTAGGAAAAGTAGTTACCGAGATGCCGAGAAACTTAAAAAGACACAGTGGCCGTACCTCAAATGTACAGGAAGAAGACATTGTACCATTTAAATTCTATCATAAACATAGTCCTACGTTGGGTATAGTTGAGGCAGAGCAGAGGTATACGGCAGCCTTGCATTGACACGTCAGAGTAACACAACATAAGCCACATCACAACGGCCATTTTGCTTCGCCAGTTGGGAGTAACCATGAAGCGACGCAGAGCAAGTTTTCTGGAGTTTCACTAACCAGTAAACTTTGAGAGACCACGTTTCACCAGAACAGCAGAAAGGAATGACCTGTGAGCTTAGGCCAGGTTTCGAATCATCCTGAGCAGAGTTCTGAGCGAGAAATTATGACGGCCAGTGTTGAACATGTTGGACGCATCCTAAGACATTAGGCACCAAAGGGCAAGGGCTGACCTTAGTTTGATAGTCTCGCATACCTGCCTCTTCTATACGGGGCGTACAACAGATGACAACCGTCATTGCGCTATTGCATGTCCTCATGATTCTAGATCTTAACATGGTAAGATTGCTATCGTTATCGTAGTGGGTAGTTACTGGCTGGTTACAGGAGAATGAAATCGACATCACTCATTTCTCTAATCATGATTGAATCATTATTGTGGTGGCCCCTCATGCTTCAGATTATGCCTCCGTCACAGGAGTAAATTTCAACATAAGCTTACGCCCCAGGGGCAGGGAAATGAACGCATGGTCCTGCTCGATGCCCTCGTCGTCAACAATAGAAGTCGTAAAGTTCGTGTAGACCGCTGCCATCACGAGTTTGATTTCTGCAATATCCTTCCATCAGTAAAAATTGTAATCTGATCCGGAGACCGTGATTGACCTACCCTGCAGAGCAAAATTACTACCCAAACACATGCGCCCACCACTTCCAAACGGCCAGAATAGTCGGCGCATATCGTGAATCTTGCCTGGTTCGGGCTTGAGCCACCGTTCGGGGAGCCAATCTGACGACTGGGGGTAAACCTCTTCGATACGGTGCAACGAGTACGAAGAGGAGCTCACGCGTACGCCAGCAGGAATATTGTGGTAGCCATCAATTGATACGCCGGCCGGGGAGGCTGGTGTTACGCGAGGTAATGGTGCTGGTGCGGGGGAATGCAACCGCAGAGTTTCTCGGAGGACTGCATCTAGCAAGGGAAGAGCATCAACTGCCGATGGCGAAGGGAGAGATGCTAGGCCCACTGTATCATCTGAGACAGATAAGGATCTCAGATTCGGCGTCAGTGTGAGGAGCTCTCGGCGCAACTCAGCTTGCAGCTCTGGATGTTGAGAGAGCTCCCACATCATATAGGTGAAGGTAATTCCGCTAGTTTCATGACCTGCTACAAGATGATCGAGTACCTCCGATGCAATAGCTAATTCGAGGGGTCGGTTGTCCGTGTCCTTCTCAAGCGACTGCCGAAGCTGGTTATATACCACCGCACTCGTGGCGATAGGCACATCGTTCGGCTGATCGTTATTCTCGACCTTGCGGCAAAGTGAAAGACACCAGCTTTCGATGAAACCCATGTACCTATCCTGTACACTCATGTACTTAAACTTCTCATATTCCTCCAACCATTGTTGCCACTCCGGAAGATGGAAGATGTACGTAGTGCTATTCTTTGTACCGAACAAGTAAGACGACGTGAAGTCCATTCCCACGGCTTGGAACAAAGGCAACACATTGATTGCCTCTCCGGATTTGGCTACATGCCGTAAAATTGGAAACAACCTTTGGGACAGAACAATGCTCGAGATATCGCGTAGATCCCGCGACTCCTGCAGATACGACTTGGAGTAGATCCTGCTGAGCATACGCTTCTGACGAGCGTGGGGATTGTTATGCAGCATTCCAACTAGATTCGGCGTTTGGAAATTGATAAAAACGTCGCTGTAAAATGAGTGTTTCTCAAATGCGCCCGTGTAGATTGTCTTCAGGCCGCTGAGTGAGTTCACGCTCAGTTCATCCGGCCCCAGTCGCACCACAGGACCGAGCTTCTGGTGTAGGTTGTAGATGGTAAGGACTTCTTTGCCCGCATTGCGTTGCTTTTCTATCCACCTAGTCGAGATGGGTGATGTGAAATGTGCGTTGGGGACGCTGGAGATGGGCGATAAACAACAAGGGTAAATGATATACTTGTATAGTAGAGCCGCTAAAAGGACGCCGATCGCGATTGCGGTGGCGGATGTCATGATTGCCACAAGCGATGCCTAAAGCCTTGAAGTCCTAGGTTCTGTGAAAAGCCATGCGTCGTGACTTATGAAGCCCTACCTCGTTCATGGAATGCAGACAATGAGATGCAAGTCCCGAGCATCAAGTTCTCAAGAATCAGGCCAGTGCTGACAGGCAACCAATCACCGGTGGTATTATTAAAGCAGATCTGGGCGCCAAGTAACCTCCTGATGACTACGACTAGAAGGGTAGTTGGAGAGAGGGGGGGGTTAATACTGCTTGGTTGCATTCCTCGTAGAGTTTGCATAACAGAAACACGCGCAGAAAGTCAACATCTCTTCCGAACCCCCACAGTCAATGTTCCAGATTGTCATCAAAACGAGATTTGGTTGTGCCTATGACGGGATGGGCCGAAATCCCCTTTTGGATGGTTCGTGGAGTGTCGATGGGGATCTTCGCTAGATCCGGTTGGCTGTTTGGCGCTGAACTAAGAGGATAGTGTGCTGATGGGCTGATGCAATGGGGTTTGGTGAGTGGATATCAATCAAAAATATTGCAATTAGATTGGCCTTTCCATGGAATCCTGGCAGAGTTAGATCTTTTTTATTTTTCTCTTTATTTTTAATTGTTTTAATTATTTTTATTTTTTCTATTTTCCATTATTCACTTTCCTATCTCGCAAATAGCGCCTGGCTTGTATGTAACCCTGTACGGAGGAGAACCTTGAAGGAACCAACCCTGAACGTTGCTGCCTCTGCATCCTTGTCTATAGCTCTGTGTATCTTACCGGGAATCTAATTATGGCAGCGACTCCCGAGTCATTCGCGTGTTATATGCCGTTTACCATGCTAGATTGCTTCTAGAACAGCATTGGCACGACTAACGACTCGGATATCAGGGGAATTTTACGAACCCCAAGTCTCCAACTCCCTGGCCCAGTTCCGGCTTTTGAAATCTCCGAACGGGTGGCGCATCTAAATCTGCTAGTAGATTCAACGTGCTCGTTTCATCTGGCTCTTCTAGCTTTTCCCTTCTAGTGTAATTTACGACTAATTTATTTTGGAACTACCTCTGGTTTAAACACTCGACTTCTTTCTTCACATCCCTGTCGTGCTGAACCCGTCCTTTTCCTAAACCACGATTTTTCTTGATGCGCAAGTAGTTGCGCCGGTGTCTCCAATATGGTCTCGCTCAACAGTATGAAAGATGGCCCCCAAGTTTCAACTACCTATGGCGATGAGGCGGCGCAAGGAGGTCACTTCGTGCCCGCCAAATACCGGGGTACTGTGAAGGATCAGGCCGACATGAGTGCTCTAGGCCGAGAGCAGGTGTTGCGTGTATGTCTTTCGTTGGCCTTGACCAAACGTGCAATTTGTCGCTTACTTCATGGAAGAGGAATTTCCGGTTTATCTCTATTGTCGGCTTTGGTTGCACATTGATCGCAACATGGGAAGTTATCCTGACGTACGTGTCTTGGGTATCGAATTTGAATGATCTAAAAGTTAACCCCATCCGACAGACTACTTGAGCAAGGTCTGACCGATGGAGGTACCGCTGGCTTGATCTGGGGTTTCCTCATCGTCGCGTGTGGATTTCTGCTCGTTTTCCTCAGTTTAGCTGAAATGGCTTCTATGTAATTGCCCCCCGGTCTTGATCCATTTCACTCGTGCTCATTGATATACAGGGCTCCGACATCTGGAGGTCAATACCATTGGGTATCAGAATTCGCACCTCGTAGTTGCCAGAAGTTCTTGAGCTATATCACCGGTAAGGAATGCTTGCTCCACAGATCCCGGGCCACATGACTTATTCATCTAATTAGGTTGGCTGTGTGCTATGGGTTGGCAATGTGCCATCGTCTCAATTGCCTTCCTTGCGGGAACTATTATTCAGGGCCTCATTGTTCTCAACCATGATGATTATGTCTTTGAGCGCTGGCATGGAACGCTTTTGGTGATTGCCATCACCTTCTTCGGAATCTTGTTCAATACCTTCCTCGCCAAGAAGCTGCCTTTCGTCGAAGTCCTGATTCTTATCCTCCATGTCGTCGGGCTGTTTGCCATCATCATCCCTCTCTGGGTTCTCGCACCTCGCAGAACCGCCAAGCAGGTCTTTACGGAATTCAACAACGGTGGTGGGTGGAACAGCGTTGGAACAGCAACATTAGTTGGATTTTCCACTACTATCACCGCCTTAATTGGATATGACTGTGCCGTGCACATGTGTAAGTCAAACATTCTGCTGTCAGGGTTGAGACATTAGTTAACATGATTGAATGCACCCAGCCGAAGAAATCAAGGACGCATCAGAGACCCTCCCGAAGGCAATGATCACTTCCGTTCTCATTAATGACTGTGCGGGATTTCTCATGCTGGTGACGATCTGTTTCACCTTAGGTGATATCAACGACGTGCTCGCAACCCCCACCGGGTACCCATTTATTCAAGTCTTCTACAATGCCACCAATAGTCTTCCCGGCACGAACACCATGACTGCAATCTTGGTTCTTACGCTCACGGCTAGTACGATTACTGAATTGGCCACGGCCTCTCGGCAGCTTTGGTCTTTTGCCCGAGACGGAGGTCTTCCCTTTTCTGGGTTTTTTGGATACGTACGTGAAACTGCCCTCTCTGCTGGTAGCCTCAGGCCATCAGTGCTGATCCTTATAGGTTACTCCCGGGTGGAACATTCCTCTTAATGCGGTGATGGTTTCTCTCATGGTAACCGTTCTCCTATCCTTGATCAACATCGGTTCAACAACGGCTCTCTTGGCTATCGTCACCTTGACCATCGGATCACTCATGTCTTCATACGTTATTACAATTGGGTGCTTGCTGCTGAAGCGGATCCGTGGCGAACCCCTTCCACCTCGTCGGTGGAGCCTCGGTCGGTTTGGAATGGCCATTAACATCGGTGCCTTGTGTTTCTTGTTACCAGTGTTTGTGTTCGCTTTCTTCCCCCTGACATCGACAGTCGATCGAGAATCGATGAACTGGTGCGTGGTGATGTACGGCGGCATTATGCTTATTGCCATTCTATACTACATCTTCCGCGGCCGGCACGTCTATGTTCCTCCCGTTGCGCTGGTCAAGCGTGAGATGTGAAGTTTTATCATTTTGCTACTAGGGTATATTCACCTAATTTCTAATCAAAAGTAGATAGTATAGAAATAATTCTTGTGTCGAGTTGCTCTCTTGAAGACACATCTGTCCCACACCCACAACAATTAGTTTCTTGTTCTTCCCTTTCTTTTTTAAGAGAAAATTCTGCTAAACTTCAGCCCCTCATAAACTCCCTGCACAGTGCAACCTCACCTCTCTGGTTTCCGGCGAATAAGCAGGCCAAACCGGCTGGAAGGCCCACTGTAGTTCCACCAACGACTCCACATAAATCGTGCGCTTCACCCAGAGCCAGATCACTCAGGAGACAGGAACTTCGATAGTGAGGATCCGCTCGAAGCTTATTACGAAGCTCTCTTGGCTGGAGTGCCGATCCCGTAGTGGAGACGCTGTAAAAGGGAAATACAACTGTGAACCGGGATGGGCATGTAGGGGAGTTTGGAACTAGATTAAGTATACACCACGAGGTAATGGCCCTTTTTCCCTCCCAGAATGGTGAAAAACAACGGCATTACCAATCCTGAATTAGCTGCATAAGTAGCGTGTTTATGACAATCAATTATATTAAGATTAATGTGACATCTTCTCTATAGCGGCTTGGCACGTGCATTGCCCTAAAAATAGTGGGTCTGGGTTTGGGTTACTTTCCACCTCAGCTTTGCCTGTCGATTGTGGAATCCACCTCGATATTATCTCACATCCGACGAATGAAAATTTTTCGAGCACCGCAACACTATTCCGACTGAAGATCTGGTTCACATCGCCAACACTTATCCGTTCGTGCAGAGCCTTGAGGGTTGACCAAGACTCAAGTCACTCGACGCTTCTTTTGACAAGAACGACTTACATTATTGAAACAGCATTTACGCAGTACTCAACCCATAACAAATATATGTTTTAAGTAATCTGAAACAAAGGAATAAAGGATACGATGGACGGGGAAACAATAGTTCGGGAGTACTTCCGCATATTACCTCTTCACCTAACGCGTCACAGGAGTTCACCCCCGACTGCTACCAGCTGGGGCCACAGGGGACCCATATGTGCGCCGGAGTTGCCGCTGATGTCAAATTTGTCATCGGCTCGGACTCGGGGCCATTGACCTGTGACCCTGGGGTCCCCCATTGGACGGCATTTTGGCTCATATAGTAACAGGAGAATCGTCGGATGGGGCGGAAGAGCCTAGAGATCAAACTTTAATTAAAAAATAATGGCCAGTCCGTGGCGGTTGCGTTGCTTCAGGTACTAGCTAAAGTTCATAGAATGTGCTGGATCGTACGATTTTGAGTGTGTGCGATTGGGTTGCTGAGCCTTGTTTGGACTTCTACATTGGTAAATTCAGGCATAGCATGGGCTGTGCCTAGGTGGCAGGCACAGGAATTACCAGACCATCATCTGCATAGCCCTGCTGGAATAGCTGAAACTTTAAAAGGATTCACTAATAGCCCACTAGCAGTGTAACAGGGATTCTCCGGCACTTACGGAGCAGTTTGGAGTAGGATGCAACCATGGAGTCCTCCTGTACAGGGATTACTGTACAATATGCCGACTTCGCTAGGCCCTAAAGTGCTAGAATCAAATTAAAGATCAGGCATACGGGCCCAGATCGGACCCGACCACGACCATAGACAGTAAAGTAACCTGAGATTCGTAAATGCACTGAGTCTCAAACCGTTTCCATAGTGTCGTGCCCCAAAGGCACCCACCAACAAGCTACGCATGTGGTAGTGCCAGTACCCCATCTATGGTTCATGCGAGTTGATTGCATATGGAACACCCCGGCCACGATCGCTACCCTGCTAGAGCAGCTAAAACTCTCACGTAGGGGACTAAAATTTGTCAATATAGATATCTATCATTGACCCAAACCCCTGTCGGATTTTTTGTTTTCTCAGTTTCAACCCCAGCCGGTGGCCGCTTTCGACACCTGCACCTAGCAACGCCAGCTCCCATGGCGCGTTTGATCTAGAAAGCACGGCCATTCGAAGATAATGGCTATTAAAGTACCGCCTGGTCAATTGCCGCCATTCGAAACGGTTGACGGTGACCACCATGCTGGAATCATTATCATCGTCTCCGCTATCTGTCTGGTGTTGTCGTTGGTGTCTCTGCTAATCCGCCTCTACGTCCGGTTCTTGCTAAGTCCGCCATTCGGGATCGACGATGTGATTCTTCTTGGAGCAACTGTGAGTGCATCCACCTGATTGTGCTTGATGAATTCCTGTCACATAGGACTTCGCATTCGCCTTTTGCTAATTCCATAAATTTCAGGTTTCCGCAATTGTGGAGTCGATTATTGTTTTCCAGGCGGCATCCATCGGATTCGGAACGGCGATCCACCTCCTGGACGATCATGTCGTTAGGAATATTCAAAATGTAGGTTTACCACTGCTGCTCATGGAACTCACATAAACCCGGTCGAGGAAGGTTATCTAATACTTGTTCAGTCAGTCGTTGCGAGTGATGTGTTCTATCTCATCACTTTGTACCTTTCAAGATGCTGCGTCGTAGCCATTTACTCGCGATTGACGCCCCGAAGAAGACACAAAAATACCTTATGGGGAATCCTTGCCTTCACAACGGCAGGAACTATTATCTCCATCCTTGTGGTCACAGTCGACTGCTCGCTTAATAAACCGTGGGTGACTCCTGGCGAACATTGCACCAACCTGGTACGTATATCGCTCGACTTCAAGGTACGCCGCATTAATGTACCTCGGTAATGGCTAACAACGGTAGTTTGCACGATGGCAATTCATCACAGCCATTGACATCTTTACCGAAATGGCCTTATTTATCTTTTCGGCGGTCTTAATATACGGGCTTCAAATGGCTCTCAAGCCGAAGTTAGTGGTCATGGTGGCCTTCGCCTCCCGGATACCGTATGTATCGCATGCTGTTGAACCTGTCCTTCGAGCCCCGCCGAATCAATGCTAATTGAAATGATGTTTAGGCTTGTTGCTTTCGAAGCCGTGCGGCTCTCCGAATTTCATTCATTTACCACCACACATAATCCTACCTTCGACGCCATTAAGCATTTCACCTGGACGCAAGTCGCCCTCAACTACTCCTTAATTGCCTGCACAGCCTTCTGTCTCCGACCATTTATGAATGCCGTCTCGACGTCTTATGGTACCGCCGGTGACTCCAACCTCAGCACTAGTTACCCTTACGCGTCGGATCGTGGTCGCAGTACCCAAGGCAGCTATGCACTACAGTCGCTTCAGAATCGGTCCGTTGTTGCGCCCGAGCCAGATCTATTCCGGCCGAAGATTGGAGCCGGAGAGACGACAGTTACCTCTGCTCAACCTGGCTCATCGACGGGTGGCCATTCAGACCGTGATGATCGAAACAGTATCGGGAGTGAAGGGAGTACTAAGATGATCATCAAGAAGGATGTGGAATATACGGTGCACCACTCTCCAAACCCCAATTGCTGACTCGCTCTTCCTCTCCTTTTTCCTTTTCCTTTTCCTTTTCCTTATGTACCAATTTCTCGAAAATAAAAGACCCGGATAGACGCATGCATGGATAGCATAATACTAGCCATGCCGAACGATCTTACGAATATAAATAGAAAACCAATGTTGATATTTGCAATGGTATAGCTTACCGTTTATTCCAAATTATTTTGAGACGACCATTAGAGGCCCTACTCGCTCTCTGAGCGCTTTTGGAAATTCCCCAGATTCCGCGCCAGGTAGGTATCGCGAACGTACAGTGCGATATAGAACAGATTCCATGCACTTTAGCGATCCACTATCGTCGATCTTGCATTATCGAGACTCAATCCCATAGCCGCCGATGCTCATAATACAGCTCTATTTATTCCGCAAAAAAGCAATACCCGCATTTGGTCTCTCACACCACGTGCGAACAAGGTTCTGACTCTAGCGATAATCAAACATGTACAATTACACAGGGTCCCAAAACCCATGTATGATTTTAACCTCATATCTCAACGGTCGGATTCATTATCCGAATGCTTGGGGCTACGTACTCAGAATATACTTCCAACTGGTGATCGGCAATGCCCATCGCGTGGCATTCGTAATGGTATCCACTGACGCCTGGCCGATCTCTAGTCGTACGACATTTTTCAGAAGAAACTAAGCCATGTGGGCAGGTTTCAGACCCAGTGCATAAATCATGTGAAACCAATCTGGAACGCTCACCCAAAGTCTTTGCATTACCCAGGGGTATGAGGCCCCAGCTAGCAAAAAACTGTTATGCAGCGGTCAAGACATGAGCCTTTCATTTCCCTATTAGGAAGAGGATGCTACAGGTCCGTCGTTGTCGGTTCTTTGATAGCGCAAGCTATAGATTAACATTAAGTTAATTGCTTAGACGAGTCTCTCGGTCACTAACTATTGAGTGACACGTAATTATGTATATCATGAAATCGAAATTGCTGGATTAACGGTATCTCTGAAGAACGTAAACCGCGCCACGTGTGACCTCTAGAACTGCACAGAAGGGGCATCTTAGGAAGTAAGGAACAGATGCGAATAGTGGAGTTGAGAGCCTCATGGCACTCGCATTTAAATCTGTTCGCGTCACTTTTTGTACGTTCAACTGAAGAGATAATACAAATAGAGGCTCTCAACAACGGAAAAGACAAATCGGTGTGAATTCTTGAATCCATTTAGATATGACCATTGCTAATCCAATGCTCTATTTCTTCACTGCCATAAGGATACTATCCCCGTGCCGGCTAAACCTCCTATTTGCCTTAATCGTAAGACCAGCCTTATCCAGGAGCCGGTGCCAATGCCCCTCCCGTCTTTCGTAGGTATTGAACAAGGCCATCATTGTCATCGAAAGACTTGCCCTATATTCCGTAGACGGCTCTTCGTCTGGTAGTACATTTTCATTGATCAAAAGCGTAGACGACGAGCTCATAGCAGGAAGAAGAGCCTTGAGAATGCGAATGCACTCGTCGTCATCGTTGTTATGAAAAATTTGTCGGAAGTGATACGCCTTTGCACCTGTAATCCCAGCCGACCAGCCATATCAGTTAGTCATGCCCGCATCTCCTTTGCCAGGAACACCGCGTCTTACCTTTCACCGGTTGCTCCGTGAAATAGTCGTAACCCATCCTTTCCACGCGGCTATCTGGAAGTGCATTCTGTATCACAGATGGAGTATCTTGGAGGATGACTCGCCCTCTCAGGTTTGGATTTTCAGTCAGTAGATTCACGCACTGCTGGCCATTTCCACCCCCTACATCTACAAACAATACCGTATCTGTGGATGTGTCCTCTGCGAATTCGCTTTGGAAATCAACAACATTAAGCCAGCTAGGCAGATACGAGTGTTCCAGTTGAATGTAATTTTGGAAAGCTTTGCTTATGTCCGGGTCTGCATGTTGCATGTCGTAGGGCCCGTCCGAGGTGTTGTGAGCTAGTTGGAAAGCGGTTGGCCGTTGTCTGGGAGAGGACAAGAATGCATTCAACGCTGTGAAGGACGGGGTGAAAAAGTCATGGCTGTATTTGTATCTTGTCAGTCCTCTGAGAAATATAATGAAACAAGACTGGCAGGAAAACATACTACAGTAAAACACCGTCCATGAAAAGAGGCGTAAGAAGCAGGCGAGTTAGTCTATTGGGAGCGAACTCGTTGGAAGAAACCCGATCCACAAAATGCCTTGCTGCCATGAAATCCAACAGCGTCTCCAAGCCTTCCCGGTTCATGCCTATATCCTGAGCCAATGATGCCGTACTTGTCGCCAGCTGTCCCTTTTCGACATTTTCCTGCATCATATGAAGGATTCTGTGTTGCTGACATACACGTACTGCTACTAGAGGCATTGCCTAATGCATGCTTAGTGATGATTCGGGGGTGACCTCCACGAGGGAACTGACCGTGTGCACTATACCCTGGAAAAGTTCGAAGGGGGTCTGCAGCTCGGATTCCACGCGATATGCGAGGGATGTAATCTCCTGCTGATGGCTCCTGTACAGCTCTGGATTTTTCACCACTTTCTTGAGCTGATGAATGACCGTACTTGGAGAGGGCGCAGCGGAGGACATCTTGTGGAGATAAAACGCTAGAGTCGAATTGCTAAAGCCCTAATGTGGTGTGTCTGTGAGTTGAGATAGTGTCTAGAAGCTACCCTGATCAGCAAAGACGGAATCCTAACTTTAAGCCAACATATTGAATAGCACTTGGCCCGTATAGTTTTCATGTCATACAGCGGCCGTGTACTAGTTCTACTGTGATCCAGGGCGGAAAGAGTAACATTACCTGTAATTCTAATTTAAGCGAGAAATCGATTGAAGAAGTTTTGTGGCGACGCTCAGTATGACTAGCTCAGAGAGCGTGCTTGGTTGATTCACAGGGTGGTCAGAGGTAGAATTCTCCCCTCGCATCCATCAGAGATTTCCCAACTCGAGGATGTCGAGCTCTCTTATTTGTTCGCTCTCTTGAGTCCTCCTACCATATTAAGTAGTAAATAACTTAGAAGTCAAGAGATGAGGCGAGCAAACTTGTAATGTGGGGTTATATGACGCCCCTAATCATGGACCTTTTTCAAGGTTAGATCAAGAACTTACCTCTACAATAAACTATTATGAACCATGGTAACACTTGGAATGCGTAACGCTCGATGTCCCTCATGCCAATGACCATGCGGGAATTTCCTTGGCTGTTGAACCGTTAGATGCGAACTGTTCTCAAAATCATGAAGGGTTTTTTTGCCAAATGCTCGAAAGGTTCAACAGCTCAACAAAGGGAAGACCTATCTTATTAGAGTGCGGTACTACTCCCCGCCTAACGCACCTCTATATTGCCTTGGTCGACCTAGTGAAGTGCTTCACAATGAGAAGCTCTATACCACGCTCAAGAGCCACAGGTGACTTTAGGGCACCCTAAGGTAAACCATACCCCAATGAGGGTCACAGTATCAGGTTTCTGACCAATGGTCAGGTTCAAGAGAGGTGCCATTCGTCTTCAGGTCCTTGTTGTTCAATGTTTAAGTTCTACAGAATAGCAGATGTGTCCCATCACGCAAGGAGGCCTAGTGCAAGACAAATTGTGCTCGATTCACCGGGGTGAAGGGAGTTTCATGAAAACTTGATTCTAACCAACTTCTCGACACGATTTGGACCTACTGTGTCGCGGTCCTGAGCTCTGCTCTGAGATTGCCAGGGACACTACAACAAGGTTAAAGCTTCCTCTGTAGTCTTTTTGACCTAGCATAACCTTCGGGTAAGCATTGGCAATAATTATCGAATTATACCTTGACTCCTAGTCCGATGACGTATCGAACTGCACTTTCTTCATTCACAGATGGTGAGTCTGAAAAACTGTATATTTGCTCTCGTCCTTCCTCAGTCCTTCGGCCAACAAGCGGACCGATGAATATGGTGGCAGCTTTGAGAATTGAATTCGCTTCTCCTTGGATATCGTTAAGTTGACCAGGGGTGCTGTCAGCCCCAATATCCAAGTCTTCCTCCGTGTTTCTGCCACAGGCTGGTTGGAAACCAGCATGCCCGAGGAGAATGGCTGGAAGGTCGATGATACAGTCACGTTTGCAGAGGCCCTGGCTGAACAAGGCTGTGTCGATTTGATTGATATCAGCAACGGTGGTGTGCACAGTGCTCAGAAAGTGAAGTCAGGCGCTGCCTTTCAGGTCCCTTTTGCAGCAGCTGTGAAGAAGGTTGTTGGTGATAAAGTGCTTGTTGCTGCTGTGGGCATGATCAATAACGGTATCTTGGCTGATCAGATTCTCAACGAAAATGATCTTGACGTTATCCTTGTCGGACGGGATTTCCAGCGTGATACCGGTCTTGCTTGGCACTTCGCTAAAGATCTCGATGTCGAAATTGCTATGGCTGCTCAAATCCGCTGGGGATTCACCAGCTTCCGCAATGCCTCGGAATACATCCAGCCCAATTCGATGAAAGCATCAATTTTCGAATGAACTCGAAACATTTCTGTTGTGAAGTTAGTATTTTTCAGGGGGTGGGTGATAAAAGTTGCATTGGGTAGGCGTCTATATAAATAGATTTTAGACCATGTGCTTGAGATATAATAGACTATGAAACCATTTATACCTTACTGAAAGACTTTTTGGTCTGGTATAGATAAACTTCGTTGGCTTCAAGAGGCAAATCGCTGCATGTTCATCAGAAGGGTGAAATTTCTGCTCTAAACTGAATACACTGTGCATTGCCGAGGAATGGCCTCTAATGCGCAATACTACGATAACAAAATTAACTCACATTTCCCCATCTCTAAATAAGCTCCTTCTTGGTTCCATCTATCACATACTCACTGTTCCAGAAAGTATGCGTGAGCCCGTAAAGTCCACAAATTAGCCACTGCCGACATATTCAATCCTGCGGTTTTACCATCCATGACTGGCGCATGGAGCTACGAAATGACCCCTCGTGGTCGGGCCGAATCTTTTGGTATAAGTTTGGTAGGTATGTTGCATGATATTTCTGCCGTAGCTCGTCTCTTGTGTAGCGGTCATAGATTGACCAAAAGTCTTCCTCTGCCTAATAGATCCGCGCATACAGCCACTTCTGGCCCCACGGTTTGTTTACTAGCTTCTTAAACTCATGATTCAAGCGTAGAAAATTCTTGCCTGTTGGGCCTGGTCCATAGACTCTATCTAATACTGAGCATCATCCTGGGATCATCTGGCTCAGAACCTGGTTCATAAGATATGCCGTCTAATTCATGGGATTGATCTATTTGCACAAATGAAGAGACGAGATCTTGACTCACAATGAATAAAGCGTGGGGAATTTCTATCATCCAGAGTAGTGATAAAGGGTATTTCATAAACATGATGGTCCGGCCATGAACTGCATATTCAATCGCCACAGTAGAGGAGTGAGGTCTAAAACAATATATGAAATTGTAATATTACAGGTTGATATCTTCAAAAGTAGGAGATTTAGCGAAGCTTCAGCATCCCCCATCACTGAAAAAAAGAGATAAGGAGCAGAATACCAAGTCCAATGCAAGGCTTCACCTGTCCAGGGCGTTTTCCTGACACTAGAACAATGTTAACAAGAAGGAAAGAAGGGACAGTTTGGGAAAAGGAGTTCTGATACTTACCATCTGCCAGTAGGTTCCTTTGGTCCGAAGCAATTCCTGATGGGTTCCCTGCTCCACGATTCGCGATCCATGGCCAGTCCGGCTTTCGCCGAAGACAAATATCATATCAGCTTTCTGGATAGTAGCAAGTCTGTGCGCGACCGCGACAATTGTCATGTTTCTCCTCCCCGCCAGGCGCTCGAGAGCCGCTTGTACTACCTTTTCTGATTGCGAATCCAGACTCGAAGTTGCCTCATCCAAGAGAAGCAATGACGGTTTTCGTAGCAGTGCACGCGCGATGCATAGCCGCTGTCTCTGGCCTCCGCTCAAAGCTGTCTGTGCTTTAATTCCCAGTTCGGTGGAATAGCCCTCGGGCAACGACGTAATAAAATCATGTATCTCAGCGTCTTTGCAAGCTTGGGTTATCTCGTCCTCCGTGAAGTCAGAGTCATCCAGTCCAAGAGTGATATTCTCGCGAATTGTTCCCTCGAAAAGTCTCGGGTCTTGGGCCACTAGCGATAACGCTCTGCGATAGGATGATATTTCAATGGAGCGAATCTCTTGGCCATTCAGGGATATCGTGCCTTGAAAAGGTTCATAAAACTGTTCCAGCAGGGATATTACCGTTGTTTTTCCGCAGCCAGAAGGCCCAACAAAGGCAACAAACTGTCCGCTTTCAATACGAACATTAAGTCCAGTGAAAAGAGGGGCATCTTGAGAGGCATATTTGAACGCAACGTCACAAAACTCGATGCTAGCTCCAGATTGTGAAGCAAAACGGGCAAGTTGTTTCTCTCCGATGCTGGCCGTATCTTTCGTAGCTGAACTTGATCGTAGGTTCATTACCCGGTTAGCCGATGCAGTGGCTTGTGCCATATTCGGTCCAAAGCTGAGAAATTGACCAGCAGATTGCCCTCCTTGGATGATAGCCATGTAAATGACAAAGAATGATGTCGGCTGGTACTCTCTAGACGCGAGTAGTTGACCACCATACCTAGTAGAGTCTGTGAGTATTACATCGACAAGTTTACCCAGGGTATTCTTACCAGAAGGTGAGAGCCATCGCACATAGCTCAACACTATCGGAAAAAGCAAATATCAGGGTGGCATACCATGCTTTCCTGAAAGCTTTGTTTTGTTGTTGTCGCAATAGATTAGCATAGCGGTCAAGGATTGCGTCTTCCATCGTTAATGCTGATACTGTTCGAAAAGCCTCGATAGATTCTGCTGCAAACTGTGAGCTTCCAGAATACACTTCTGCGTTCATTGCTTCAAACTGCAATTCATATCTGATGCGCATAAAGGCAGCCAGGAAAGTGCATGGTAGGGCTGCAAACACAGCTACGAGGCTGAGTTTCCAACCGAACGAGAACGCAATTGCGATACAACCGATCATGCTGAAGATAGAGATAACGGGGAATATCCCATTTATTCCAAGTAATTCTTGAACTTGCTTTGGGTCGGTTGCCAGGCGGGATATCAACGACCCAGATGCATTCTCATTCATATCGTAGAATGGTATAGGTTTCTCTAATATGCTCTGAAAGTACTCCTTCCTGCAGGACGAACCAATCCTCTGTGTCCATGTTAGCTCTCATAAGACGCGTAAGAATATATTCCATGGTCATACCACTGAAAGCGAATTAGCAGAGTATCCCACGATGCTGTAGCAGAGAGCGACCCCTAGGGCAAGAATGAAGAACATCAAAGCCCAGAAGTTGGCGGCATCCGCAAGCTGTTGACCAGTATATTGGAATACATGAATGAGTTTTGCAAAAAGCCAGCTCTGAAGCGGGAAAGCGGCTTCCAGTAGTATATTGTCAGTTCTCGAGTTGCAGTGTGTGGGATCTCGGGGCCTTACCTCCTGCACCAACTGCGCCAAATACAGTCGTTAGGTAAAAAGGCCAATTTGTACGTTGCTCATATAAAAGCAGGCCGATGCTCCTAAAGAAACCCCGAGTTTTGTCTTTCTTAATTTCTTCCTGCATCTGCGGTTTATCATCGACAGCAAAATGGGCCAACTGGACCTCTTCTTTCAACTCATGAGCAATATCACTCTCATCGGTCTCGTCCTCTGCCAAGAGCTCAAGCTTTTGAGCATGAACAAGGTCATGGTAAACACCTTTTTCATCCGCTAGTAGCTCGTCGTGTGTTCCCTGCTCGACATTAACACCGCCTTTCATGACAATGATATGATCTGCCTGTCGAATGGTAGATAGCCGGTGAGCAATTACGATGGTGGTGCGGTTTTTCGAAACTTGGTCAAGAGCGGCTTGGACAATTTTCTCGCCACGAACGTCAATTGCACTTGTTGCTTCGTCTAAGATCAAAATGGTGGGCTGTTTCACGATACTGCGAGCAATTGCAAGACGTTGCCTTTGGCCACCACTCAATTTGGTGCCGTTTTCGCCCACCATGGTAGAGTATCCCTGTGAAGGTTAGACGTCGTGGGCTGAAATTAAAGATCTCAACATACCTTTGGCAGGCGTTTGATGAATTCTTCCGCAAAGGCCTCCTTGCAGGCCTTCTCCACCATCTCCCTCTTCACCGCTTCGGTTTCGTTTTCCCATCTCGTTCCGATGAGGCCGAATGAGACATTGTTGAAAATCGTGTCGTTAAAAAGGAAGGGCTCCTGCTGAACCAGCCCGATCTGCGATCTCCACCATTTTATATCCAGACTATTGATATTGTGTTCGCCCACGGAGATGGTTCCTCGGCTATGGTCCTCTTCCCTCACTCCCAGTTGATACCATCGCTCTACTAGAGCCACAATGGTACTCTTACCGGAACCTGAGGGACCAACCAATGCCGTGGTCTTGCCTTTTTCGAATCGAGCATCCAGGCCCTTGAGGACTGCAGTATCTGGTCGCGTAGGATATGTAAAATGGACATTTTGGAAAACAATGTCCACATGAGCTGAAACATCAGGATCACGGAGGCCGCCAAGCTCAATCCTCTCGGAGTCTATCATCTCGAAAAATGAGCCCGCGGCGCTGGCGGCCTTAGAGACCATGATCAATGGGGTTGCAATATTTCCCAGAATCGTGACTGCAATCATGATGGAGAAAAACACACTACCGAGACAATTAGCAGACGCAAACCACTTAGAACCTGATCGTGTACGTACGTGATGACGGTGTTGATATTCTCGATATGGCCTTCGCGGAACAACTTCAGCCCAAACCAGAACGCCAAAGAAAAGCTCGAGTACATTGCAAAGAACATGAGAGCAAATTGGACTCCCATGACAATGGACATGTTTTGTCCACGCTTTCGTGCTTCTTCAATCCAGGTGACGTATTTCTTCCTGAGGGGTTCCTCAGCCCCGAGGGAAACTACGGTTCGAATAGAGCCAAACACTTCCGCTGCTATTGATGAATGCTTCTCATCGGCTTTGTCGACTTTCTGTTGAACCTTGGTGATAATGGGGATCGTCACACTACAAGCGATAAGGATAAACAAGAGGGAAGCGCTGGTAACGAGAGTCAAGGCCCACGAGTACTTGAAGGCGATGATGTATGCTGTAATTAGGAGAGCCAGAGATTGGAACAAAATTGCGAGCTTATCGGAAATACTTTGCTGAATCGAATTGGAGAGCGTCGAGATGGTATTTGTGACCGTGCCCACCGACACTTGATCGAGCGTAGTTATTGGTTGGGTGAAAAGGGACTGCATGTATTCCAGCCGGAGGGCAGCTGAAACTCGAAGACCAATAACACGGAAACATAACTGTGATTGTTGAGTGGAACGTTCTCAACTGGTTCAAGTAGCTTGGCATACCATGGAGACATATGTCAAAGCGAACTTGGCAATGAAGAGGTAAACAATATACAAGCTAGAATTTGCGTCAGCTCATGAATACACAAAGTTATTTTCAACCGGTATCTTGGGTGTCTTGCCTCAGTTTGCTCACGGATGATTTGAATTGTGCCTCTGTGACCGAGGTGCCGGGGATAAAATATCCGTTGAACTCGCCAACCATCTTACCGAACACGATATTCATAAGGGGCAGTGGCTATGACACACCCATCAGGCTTATAACTTTAATTTTTTCCCTCAAAAAACGTACCACTCCAGATCCAATAGAGCAGATCAACGCCATTCCGAGTACGACTCGATCCTTGGCGTTTGTGTAGGAAAGAACTCTCTGTAGACATGTGAGCGGCACATAAGACTTCCCATGAGAGTTGATTCGCATACAAAGTAGTTGCCCAAAGAGGCGGCTTGTTCGGTCTCTGCAGCATTTTTACGGTCATCTTTGCTTTCAGTCTCACATCTAGTTCGATCTGGGTTCACAACGATGGTACCCGACTCGTCCTGCGCGGGTTGAGGAGCAGCATAGAGCTCTTCGGTTTCAGGAGGTGGTTTCTCGGTTGAATCCTGTGGCGGAGAGCTGTCCGACAAACGGCCCATCGTGATGAATCCGTGTCACAGGCGTTGACAAAGGAAGAAATCAATCATCGTAGTTTTTCAGGGAATGGGTAATTTATAGGTCAAGGAGTATTTCCAGAAGGAGCGGGTCCAAGCGGCTTATGACTATGTTCAATACGAGCAAGGTCTAGGCAGTACTTCTGGAGCTTGTATTGTTCTTCAGGTATTATTCTAGGGTCAGAAGATTAATAGCTATTTGGGCCCGCACTTTACGATAAAATACTTACTCCCTGCCCTTAGTAGCGCTTATACCGTTGCCACTTTGGGGGTTATTATGCACGATTAACATGATTTTCAAGGGGTCAGGGGTCCCAAGACACCAAGCGGCGTGTAGATGATACGTGGAACGCTAACTAGGGTACATACATAACTGCCCGGGAATTCGGGAATTTTCAAGTCCGGGCGATCAGGCTGGCAACGTGATTGCTTTTTCCCGGGATTTCGGACTTTGCAACTCCCCGTTGGAATTAATCCCCTTGCTTGTTTCCATCAGTCATCCCCGTCCAGATAACAATGAGCTCTCGGAAGCCACCGAAGTATATCTCGGTAAGAAGAGCCTCGCCTTATTCAGTTCGACTGACATTCTTATTGGCATTCAACTCAGTGTACTCGCTGCCAATCCAAAAAGGTATTAGTCGGAAGAATTCGCCTGCGAAAGACACCCCAAGAATGACGTCAGGGCTAGATTCGCTGCAACCGAGTCCGACCTCGATGTGATAAATGTGAAGCCATCAATGAGGAATGTGTCTATGTACCTCGGAAAGCTCGGGCCAAGAAGCAAAGGTATGACCTATTATACTACAAGCGCCAATTATATCCAAGCTTGCATCACTCATCACAGATTTTACCAGTAATCCCTCTGAAAAGGATCTTCTGCTGGACGTACTCAGACGTCTCGAGCGTCTAGAGGAACACTGTAAGATTGATCCAGATAGTGCAGGTCATGATGGCGCATCACGTTCAATGTCCGTGTCATCGGATCTTTCTGGAACTAGACCGGCAAGCATCGATCTGCTCCACGGTAGCCAGCCTCGAACCCCAAACACGCAACCTGTGGTCAACAGCATGTTGAATGGAATAAAAGATGATCAAGCCAGGTCACTGCTTTCCTCCAATGTGTTCTGCCATCTGCGAAACATCGAGTCCCGCCTTTTTGCGAACGAAGCATGTGTAAAAGCGATGGAAGCTGCCATGGCGGAAGTCGAACGCCTGGAAAGTACACGAAAAGTCGACGTTCTAAATCCTCCTGTCATCACTAAAGAGATGGCAAAGAGGTGGGTAGAATGTGCGTACTGTTCGATAACTTGGACACAGACGTTTTGCTGATCGGGTCGGCTAGCTTATTACGACATCTACCAGTTCGAGGGATTTCGAGTTCCCCTTAAGAAGAGCTTCGTCATGTCGATCCCTGACCTATTGGAAATACCCCACGTCCAGTTGGATAGCACATCGAGGATTATTTACTATAATATCCTCCTTCAAGGCATTCTCTTAGATCCAGAATACCTTCCTGGGAGAGGCAAAATCATACAATATCTTTACCAGAGTTGTATGATGTTGGTGGATGACTGGCTATGTCACATCAGGAACACTCTCCCGGACATGTTTGCAGCTTTTGTTATGGTGAGTATATGCATAGAACGTTCATTATATGGAGGTCAAGGCTGACACTCTTCCGTTAGCTATCGATGACACTCGAGGGTTGTAATAGCGAAATGGCTTGGAAAATATTCGGCTATGGCTGTGATATTGCTCGGGCTCTAGGATTCTTTTCCGTCGATGAACAATCAGACGGACACGATTCGCAGCCTGAGTTACATAGTACTCGTGAAAGTGAGGTGGAAAAAATCGAAAGCGGTTCGAATTTTGGCACCTTCTGAGGATGGATTGCCTGTTCCGTCTATCCTTTGGCAAACCGGCCCTCATACCCGGTGGATCATGGAAAGTAAACTTCCCTGATCCTACCATTACCGGTATTGATGATGCGTCTACTCGCTATATCCAGATCCATTTCCTAGCGTCGATGCGTCTTACACTAACTCTATTAAAATACTTGGACTTGGTGGACGCTGAAATGCCTCAGGATACAGATGTATATGATCAGGTGCTCGATGGCCTCATTGCAGAAGTGCAAACCATCATGTCAGACTGGAACGCGGTATGTTGACAATAGCCTCAGATCTATGGATAATAAGACCTTATCGTCTAACGTATCAAAGGAGGAACTTGTCAGCACCGCCACTAATCATGTTGATGCTTGGTTCAGTGTGGACATCTTATTCAGTAGCTACAAGATGCTCATTGTCTTCACGCAGTCCAAGAGATGCAACCAGAACAGTCAGTCTCTGCCGAGGCACACGGTAGATGTTGCAAGGAAGTCTTTGAGAATATTCCAATCTTTGATGAGTGCGGAACTGCACGCGTACTGGGGTATTAGGTATGTTCTATCATAGTGTCTGGTTTTCCCTTGCTAACCACAGCCTTCTTGTCATAGTCTCATACTACTGCACCAATTTATTCCGTTCTTTATCCTTTGCGCGGATATTATTGGATCCCACAGATACGACGAGCTCGAGGACGATTTCGTCCTGGTGTCCTGGCTTAACGACTTCGTGGACAAGGCCGCGGAGGAACGATCCGAGCTACGGCCAATTGCCGCTATTGCCAAGGCGATGACCATAGCTTGCCAACAAGTAAAGTTCCCCGCTAGCTGATTCGGCAGGGTTGTTAAATATGCAGAAGACTAGGCTTGAGCTCAAGGTTGAGCTCGACTCTCCTTGGTTTAGGTCGGAGATTACCCCTAGCGCGGTTCCTTCATTTCTGCTGTCGTCCGCGGATAACATCGATCACATCAATCAACGACCTTGTACCGGTTAACCAACCTGCGCAGTTATGGTTGGACTTCCTATATAGGCGACACCCTTGTGGTGTTGCGAAACGCCTGCTGCATCCGAGACACAAGATTATAGTTATTAGTCATAGAATGCTGAACGTTCAGGCTTGGACCCATACCTTCTCTTACTTTTCTGGCCCTAGCGTTTATACTTACAACCTTAACCTACAAAACTCGCTTTTTCCCCATCACGCTCGACGTCGGCCTCGGAAATACGCATGGTACGTGTTTTCAATACTGCCATCATTGTTAATTGCGCAAATATCCCGTATTATTCTATCGATGGAGTTATTCTGTATACTATCTAGAGTGAGATTATCTCGCCCTTTCACTCCTCATTTATAGCCTTGTGAAAACCACGAAGCTGCATTCCAATCATCGGAGACGTTGCAGGTTTCATGTGGGTAATTTCAGTCCTGAACAAAAGACGATTCCATATGAAAGTGAATACTTGTAGGTGAAGATCATTAGGTAGTAAGAATAAGTTTCCTTGCAGAATAATTGTTCACAAGTTGAGCCCATAGGGGGGTACTTTTGGCGTACCTACTGAGTAGATAAATAAATATATCGATCTCCGACGACTGACGTTTGCACTGTTGAGCTACTCACATAATTGTAACTAGGGATCCTTCGGGTTCCTAGGCTAATAATAGAGCATCATGAATTACTTGAAGCCTCTGCTTTAGCAGATCTGGCTACTATTAAGTTCCTGGCCTTGCTCAAGCTCGATACATTTTTCATTCTCTTGATAAAAATTAGCGAGGTTGACCAATTTAACTTTTTGCTAATAAAACAAACTTTAATGCAGTTCTTCAACAAGCATCCGATGTGGTGTAATGGCTAACATCGCTGTCTCTCACACAGCAGCTCGGGGTTCGATTCCCCGCATCGGAATTATCTTTTTCTTTTTGTGCCGTAGCTTACCCATCACATAACCCCCTTCATTCATTTTCTTCCTGTTTGTTACTTACTGGCCATCTCGGCGTCTGACCTATCTCTTTCCGTTTACCTTTTTTCTTGATCGAGCGAGCCCTCCCTCCTCATCCATTGATCCATCCCTGGCGGACCCAGTTAAGCACTTAATCTTGGTCAATGTCGCTGCCCAAGCGGTGTTGCCAGATGCCAATATTTAATTCCTTGCATCTCCTAACTCCCCTTTGGGAATCTTAGAGGTACCCGGCTAGAAGTCAGCTTAATACACAGGCATATTGAGCACTCTATTATCGATCGAATTCCCCCAGTTGTCCACTTTCTGTAACCAAGCATCTCATTTCATCCGAAGCACAACATGACGGTCATTGAAATTGAAGTAGTCTTCGACTTCGTTTGCGCAGTAGGTCATCCAGCCCTTCTATATACAAGAATATAGATGTCCACCTCTAATGGTGCACAGTGGTGTTACATCGGCAAGCGGAAGCTAGACAGACCCATCGCTCTATACCAGAAAGTCTATCCAGGTGGAAAAAACGACGTCTTCTCTATCAAGTGGCGTCCCTACTACCTCAACTATAATCCACACGCACACAGCGTACCCAAGAGCGAATTAATCGATGGTCGGTTGAGCAACATGACTCTGGAACAGCGAACGTCCCTATTCAGCCGCATGGATCAGATTGGGCGGTCCGTCGGTATTCATTTCAAAGTTGGAGGTATGATTGGGAATACTCGCGATGCGCATCGCCTTGTCCATCTCTGTGGAACTCAGTCTCCTGAAGCTCAGAGTGCGCTGGTGGAGAAGGTACTTGAGGCCTATCATGAGCTGGAGAAGGATATCTCATCTAAGGAGGCGTTGACTGAACTAGCCGTGGATACTGGGCTCGATGCGAAGCAGGTGCGTGAGTGGCTGAATTCTGAGCTGGCGGCAGATATTGTGGACAACGAAGCCTGCAAAAATAAAGAGGAAGAGGGCAATACGGGTGTCCCTCGCTACATAGTTCAGAATGTGTATCAGTTGGCTGGTGCTGCAGATCCGACTGAGTTTATCGAGATCTTTACGAAGGTTAAGGAAGCCGAATCTCAACGTTGAAGAAGGGCAAGATTCTGCTATCCAAGATTATCCTCTTGCGCTTATAATTACTTCTTTAAGATAACTAGATCTAGTCGCGGAATTCGCTGCGCTGACATTAATAAGCTTCCCCACACTGAGCTTCAAACGCCCCCCACACTCCATTAATAATCCAGTCGTGGTTAACTACTTATCTATGACCTACTGAGTATACAGTGATTCAAAGAGTTTCTTGATTGCATCATTCATAGCTTCTAGCATCATCATGTCCGCAAGGGTGTTTGTGACCGGAATTACCGGCTATATCGGAGGCGACGCATTCCACCTCATCCAGCAGAACCATCCGAACTTCGAGTTTTCAGCCCTGATTCGAACTGAGGACAAAGCTCAGCAAGTACGCGAGAAGTATCCAAAGGTACGGGTAGTCCTGGGAGACTTGGACGATGCAGACAAGATTGCCAAAGAAGCTGCATGGGCAGACATTGTGATTCGTGCGTTTAGGAACCCATTTAACTGAGTCCCGAGCTACTGCTGACACCATTCAGACACTGCCGATGCATCGGATCATGTTGGGGCCGCAAACGCCATCGCAAAGGGGATGATCGAAGGCCATAGTCCCGAACGGCCGGGATACTGGCTGCATACCGGCGGTACCGGTATCTTGACCTACTTTGATTCAGAAGTACGCAAGGTCTCTGGCGAGCCGGACGAGAAGGTGTTTAACGATTGGGATGGCGTTGACGAACTGGTTAATCTGCCTGCGGCTGCATTCCATCGGAATGTGGATGAGATCGTGCTGAACATTGGTTCTAAGTATTCCGACCGTGTCAAGACGGTCATTGTATGCCCTCCTACTATTTACGGCCGTGGCAGGGGACCTGTGTCAGGTCGTGGTCGACAGGTCTATGAGTTGGCCTCGTTTATCCTGACGCAGAAGTATAGCCCCCAATTAGGAAGAGGCTTGGCTCGGTGGAACAATGTGCACGTCTACGACCTGAGTAGGTTATATGACGGCCTAGTGCGGGCCGCTCTGGACCCTGCAAGAAAGGACGACAAGGAAATTTGGGGCGCCAAGGGCTACTTTCTTTCTGAGAATGGAGAACATGTTTGGGGGGACCTATCCAGGCTGATCGGTCAGCAAGCTTTCAAACATGGCCACCTTACGCAGGAACCAGAGCATAAGGGATGGTCACTTGAGGAAGCCCTGAAATCGCCCGCAGGTTTTGAGGCTGCTAGCTGGGGCTTCAATTCCAGAGGTGCTGCTCTTCGAGCGAGGAACGTGTTAGGTTGGCAGCCCCAAGAGCAGAGCCTTGAGGCCGAGATCCCTGAAATTCTCCGCGCTGAGGCAGCTAGGCTAGGCCAGTGAGTCTCGCATTCTCTGGACCGGCATGAATTGAGTATTAGCACTATGAATAGGCAGTTATCAATGAATGAGATTCCCACGGATACAGTGTGCGGTGATGGGCATTAGTTCTATCTAAAATTGTACCCTTTCACAGGGATGAGCCATTGTGCACGACAACTTTCAACTTGAGCTAGACAGAGAGAAAAGCCATTGTTAAGACCTAGTATTTCGACAATCTACCGGATTAATCGTATCTCCTACACACCACCGCTCAACGGTACATTTTACAGCGGTCTGAAGATTCTGTAACGTCCTTTCTGCGAACCAGGCAAGATGGGGTGTCAAGACCAAATTCAGGTCTGCTGCATCTGGGTTCAACAAAGGTGAGTCTCCTCTCCCAATAGGCTCATTGGCATAAACGTCAACAGCTGCTCCTGATATGCTACCCTCTTTCAGCGCATGAAACAAAGCGTCCTCATCCACGATGCCACCTCTAGCAACGTTAATCAAGACAGCCTGAGCGGGCATCATGCGCAGCTCCTCGACCGAGATCAAGTTAACAGTCTCCGGACTTCGCGGCAAGCACAGAATCAACACAGTCGACTTCCCCAATGTATCTTCAAAAGAGAGCCGACCTGGTCGCGGAGGATCCCCCTTCCGCTCGGCCACTATCACACTCATCCCAAGCCCACGGGCCAACGCTTCAATGCGCTTCCCTAACGATCCGTACCCGATGATCCCCACAGTCTCATCGCGGCACAGCAATGGCGCCTTTCCATCTGCGGTACGAAGTCGCCTGTGGATCGAGCCATTCATTTTCCACTCCGTGTCACGAGTCGTGTCCTCCGGAACCGCCGTCGTGATATTATTCAGATTGACTATTTTCCGCCGGGTAGCGAAATACAGGCCGATTGCATGCTCGCTGACACTGTCCACATTTGTGCCGGGACAGTAACACACGGTTATTCCTCTAGCTTTGGCAGCAGGTTTATCGACACAATCCGTACCACTTGCCATAATCACTATCAGGCGGAGTTTCGGGGTGATTTGGGAGCTGAGAGTCTCCGCCGACAGTCGAATTGTGGTGGTTAAGATGATTGTGGCGTCTTTGACGCGAGAAGCGATATCTGCCTCATTGGTCCAGCTGTACACGTCGAGAGAATATGGTTGGGCTAGGTCGAAGCTTGGAATCGGGCAATGAACGGCCTCGATGGCGACTATGTGGTGACTATCGTTGTCCGTGGCCATGACGAGTGATAAGAAGGCAGGTGCAATACTATAGTAATATGGGATATCATGGTGAGATCAGGTAGCTAGACTCATTGCGAATTCTGATATACGTACTTGGCGTATAGGAAGACATAGGGCGCAGAAATCCGCATGCCCGATCCTAACCGAAATAGAGAATGACACAGGGCGTGGGATGAGATACCTCACTATCAGACCTTTGATCTCTATTATCACTACGGAAAGCCGGTCTCCGCGCTATGGGGTCCATTCGGTCCGACCTTTTCAAACACAGTGGACATGCTAATCATTGGTCAGTTGATGCCAAAACCCGAGGGTTTCGGTTTCTCCTTCTCATCCCGAGGATGCGAAATGATATTTCAAACTCTCGGATGTTCATAATCTCTAAGCTCTCTAGAAACAAATCTTACCGAAAAGTGCAAATTGAGTTCCATAAAAATATGCTGGAAAGAATTGGCTGAAGAGAAATAGTTTCAGGGAATTCCATCAACATCATAATTTCATAAGATGCGCTAGTTTACAAATATCCTCCCCTCTGACACAAACGCTGCCTGACCAGCAAGTTCAATCTGCCACACTGCATCCATCTCATCATTCAACGTAACATCCACAATAATATGACTTTCCCTTCCCATCTCCGAGCCCTGATTAATGTAAAGCCGGTGCTTCTGGCCCTTTTGGCTATTAATTAGCGCAATATAAGCGCCCAGGGAGCATCCGCCACTTCCACAGGCAGGATCTTCCAGATTAATAGCAATCATGCGCACACGAAGCTCCCAGACGGCCATGTCACCCTCTATCCGAGTTTTCAGTAGTTGGTAATACATAACACCGGTGAAAGATGGCGCCCAACCCTCATCAAGCTCAAGCTCGGGACTTGGGCCGGGGACAAGACCAGCAAAAAGATCCGCCCTTTCAGTTAAATCCACTAGTGCATATGTGACACCCTTGACCATGGAGACTACAGGTGATGTATCTCTGACGCCGTGCAGATCCGATGCTGCCGCTAGAGTCGCCTGGACCGAGAGGATCCGGCTGAGCTTCGCTTCTTGTTGGTGAATGTGTATATTATGGGGAACTCCTGCAGAGACGACTTTGCTAGTTGGGTCATAAGATATTGCGACGGGCCCGGCCTTAGTAGTTAAGGTCAAGTTAGTTGAACCGTTGGCATCATCGGCTAACAACTCCCGGAAGAGCAGATGGCCTGTGCCAATGATCGGATGACCAGCCAAATTCCATTTCATTAACAGGAGTGAAAATGTCCACCCGGGGACTTCCATTATGGTCTGAAGGATGCAAGAAAACCGTTTCGGAGAAGTTGAATTCCTTGGCGATCTGCTGCTTTTGCTGCTGCGATAGTTTGTGATCTCCAGTCTTCACCATAGCCAGTGGATTCCCCTTGAATCTAAGTAACTCATTCAGCTACCAGAGGTCTAGGATTGTATATATGATCGTGGTGTACCTTTCCGATGCAAATACATCAAGTGTGACTAGCAGAAGGTTAGCGGGGAAGTTATAATGGTGAGCTGGGGCTTTCTACCATATGAGGCCTGTTCGCCGGGCATTGTGGGCTTGTGCACGCAGAACTGATAACTCCGAGTGATATAATCGTCGGAGAACTTTTGATTAAAATCCCGTGTTCCTTGAGTATTTCAGTGTCGTGAATCATGTATTGAGGACATACTTCCTCATATATGGCGGGTGAAAATCGCTTACTATCGGGGACCCACCCACGCCCTGTGTAGTTCAAATGAGTCCAGAGAGTAGTTATATCACTTGTACGAAACATCTAGAGTTGACTATCCGTAACTAAATGCATTACTCTGACTAGAGAAGTCGACGTTGATCAAACTACATATTCACCAATGGTTCTATTCGGAGCAACTTCAGAGTCTCTTCGTCTCATTTATGACTAAGTGGCAAAATGACGAGGTATCACTTCCGTGGCAGACTGAGCCAAGTATAGAATGGGAGACTCGCTCATAAATAATACTCGATATGGAGAAACAAACAATACAGTAATTAGTTGCGCTTTTGATAGCTTTGATTTAAGTATGAAGTCGGAAATCTCGAGTAGTATGATGTGAAATAGATATACAGTCAATGTACATCCTTACAACCATTTTTCGATCTTCAAAGCTTGCAACACGGTTAGTTGGTAGTTACAGCAACAGGCGGTCCGTAATTACAGGGTGAAGGGCACTCTGCTGGTGGCAAAGTTATCGGTGTACAGGTCAACACTGGGACCCTAGTAGCAGCGATGCTGGTGGGAGGACCGGCTTGTCCGTTTGGATGGACACGAGCTGTACAGCCAGTGAAAGAAATGTTCCCATGGCCCGGTATTGTGGTTGGTCTATCACAAAGCCCGTGTTCAAGGTAGGGAATGATCGGGGCCTAGGAGCCAACAGTCACATAGGTCCACCAACGCGGGTACTGCGTCAGTGAAACACATCGTGCCAAAGTTTCGATCCTTGTGTGGCTCTAGGAAAGTTGGACAAAATTTATTCAAGGAAAATGTAGTTTTTTCGCAAGTTGGTGATGATCTTTGTTAAGGGCGGCCTTATGTCTTAATATCCATGGGCGAGTTGAAATGTCTGATCTGAAGAACCAACTCGCTTGCTGTAGCATCTAAATCACAACTCTGCTCGTGCAGGATATAGGTATCTTTTCCAACAGTCACATACTGTGTCAAATCTGCCTATGATAGGTCTACAGTGGTCACGTAAAAATAGCGAAGGATGTATGCAACGGCTGATTGCGTTTTAGCTGCGAGATGTTCTCACGCATACGTTAGTGATTGTGGTTTCGACCGAAGTAAGTGACCTTTTGGTAAAACTACTTTTTCTAGTCTACGCAAGGAAGAAGCAAGAGGCCAGGTTCCGATTGGATCTATGTATACGCAATCTCACTGAAGCTGGTGTTAGGATATTCTGATTAATGAGCCATATCTTATATTCATCAGATGGTTACTTCTGCACGGCATACCAGGATATCGAAGCATTAATTATCCCTTGTAAATTTCAGTACAGAGGCCTTGGCTATCGGCAGCGGCGCCGTGTATGATATCATGTTCGAGTACCAGGCTGAGTGCATAGGAAGATTTGCTATGGCATCCGAGTATATGAAGCCTCTTGCTACATACATTGATCGTATTCGCGTCTGGATTATGCAATAGCCTCTTATTTCGTCCTTTTTTTATCCTCCAGAATGTACCATTCAAGATTCAAATGTCGCCCAGGATGTAGGAGGACATTATTTGGACACTCAGGATAACACTATGGTCGCTCGGATTAGAATGTTTGTGATCCCTTTATCAGCTAAACTGCCATATGTTCTCTTCATTCTCACCGTTTTAGATTAGGATCTTAATGAATTTCGCTGCTTCAACATCATGTGATAGCAGACTCAGGCTATGAGAATCAATCAAGCCACGTTGGAGTCTCTATGTTAGGAGCTCTCTCGTATAAATCACGCACTCATCCTAGTTGTACCATTTCGCGTTGACATATGATTTATTTGCCTAAGTTGAACTTACATTGTCAGGTTGCTGCATATGTTATTTTTTTCGGTAGCCGGTGCGTGGCCAAAGCTTCATGGCATTCACCTGGTGTCCAAGCCTATTGGGTAAACAACACATTTCCGATCAAGTGCGAAGATATTTCAAGCTTGACCAAAAGCGTTGTCATCTGTGTCCGTATGCCAACCAATTGGAATGGGGAAGTTGTGGGATATACGTATACTTGAATGACTTCTCTGGATATTCATTCCAGGCTGTCAGCTTCTTCTATCATAGCTAAAGCTCGAATTGTCGCTGTACGTCCATCACGAGCCACTTGAGTTACCACTTTTGTCTTGGAGGTTCAGAAGCACTAGACAATGGTTGAACTTGACCACTTCGGATAAGAAGGATTTATTTTATGATAGTGCAACATTGTTGAGCTGTACTACCTCCCTGTGATCTACATGCGCTGCATAGAGCTTTATTCACTTTAGCGAAGCCTCTGGGAGCATATAAACTCTCTAGGACTGCTGCTTCTTCTTCACATCCTTTTGTCCTATGGTCCCTTCTATCTATCTGAGGACAAGAGTTCGTCTGGAATACCTTGCCAACGACTCCTTAGTAAACACCTTGAGGACTTAATATTGTGCTTGCACACATTATCTAAATTAGTCAAAATGCTTGCGTGGTTGTTTCTCCTTCTAAACCTTCTTAACTTTGCACTGGGTGCTCCGTGGCAGGGAATCCGCCAGAAGCCACTTGCTTGCCAGGTATGATGACATGTTCAGGATCTCCAGGCTATCCATACAAAGTCGAGCTTTTATAAATCAATCACGAAACATATGGCTGATACAGCATGCAGGATCGCTTCTCAGATGACGACCTTCTCGAACCCCTCCACGACAGATGCTACACCCAACGCTACAATCCAGGACCATGTCATCGAGAGGAGATGCTAGTGCCCTATGATTCTTGCGCAATCGTAGGCCCATCAACAATTGAGGTCCTCGACTCGCGCAAACCACATGGCCATTTCCCTGGACAGCGCTTCGCGGTTAGCCGCGAGGGTGATGACCAGAAAGTCAAGTCTATGGATAACATTCCAGCCATTGATGAGCGGGGAAAAGACCTGTACTCTCGCGATTGAGATTCCTGCCATGCCAGAAGGTCAGTATGCTCAGGGCTCGACTACTATGGAGGTTTGGGTTTGGGCGGTCGATCGCCCTGAGAAGCCGACGTGGGATGACCAGCCCGACAAGGACCAGACTGTTGGAAAGGCCACCTTTCCTACGTGGGAAGTGCAACAGGGTTGGTTGCAGCGATTTATGCCTCTTGACTGTGAAAAGCAGATGAGCTACATGGTCGAGCTGAGCCTTCCCAAGGGCGATGGGGATGTGCGCTTTTGGAATCAGTTAATGGGGAAACAAGGGGCGCCACCAATTGGCTGGAGAATGCTTCAGGGCGGATGTTAGACGACGGGGAGTTGGTTACTCGGTACTTTGGTCTGGTACTGGTGAGTGACAAGGATACGCTTGACTGATTGATTGTTGGGTTCTGGTAGTTGTTTTTCAGTATCTTTCGGGTGTGTTATTTCTCCATTTCTGGGTTAGTTATGACAACCGATGTGCCCTTACGCTTACGCGAGAGTGCTTGACATTCATTCTGTGTCCGGCAACAGTTGTCGACAGTCATTTTAGCTGACCACATCCTTACTAAATTCATGTCTGTCTTGGAAAAGATCTGTTAAGTATGTCAGATGGTCTAATACACATACAGGAATAACCTAACTATACCATGTAGAAAGGATGCAACATGAATGGATTCAATCCACGCTAACTATAAAACCAGGGCTGAGAATAGTTAAGCCCTAAATCAGAAGAAATGAGGAGGAAAAATGACAAATTAAAAACCGGGAAATCAGTTTATAATCATGAAAAACCCCACCCAAGCTAGGGGATTTAGGCCAATGTTATGCTAACATAGGGCAAGTGTCTTTCGCCTTGTGCTCTAAATCATATATTAAGAAACGAGTCTGATGTCATTCGTGGCATATAACCGAAATGGGAAAAGCGCCCTAATTTAGTTGAACTTGAGGCACCGCAATAAATGTAACCGACTCGATGGAGTACTATCCAGAGGTAGAAGGTCTTTCTATGATGCTGGGATGGTATGGGACGGCCCACAAATACAATCTCAATAAGGGGTGGACTGTAGCTGTGGTATTTGCGCAGATACACTAGATCTATCGCTGGTGTGGTACACAGGGCTATTGCTCAAGTTTATGGCGTGTTTGTAGAAATACTGCTAAACAGGAGAAGCTGAAGTGAATTCGATGGTTTAGTTAGGTATAGCTGTGTTTTCGATGAGATTTTTCTATTTTGCTTGGTCCAATTTCCAGAAAACATGTAAATTCTATCATAACATTCCATCCCAGGCGGGAATGATTCGGATAGCTAGCTCCATATAATTTCATCGCTCTTGACAGACACGCTCTTGCTACTCCCGAACTATATCACGGTCATTACGAAGGCTTGTCAATAAAGATCCAACACAGGTATGAGTTAGTGCGAAAGGCATGATGGTAATATTCGGACTAGTACAATATCCACACCACAATATGAATCACATCCTATGATCATTCAACCCTTCCACATAGTCCCACTTGTAAGCCCCATGGCAAAAACAGTCTAATGGAAAATAGCCCAGACAGGACCTAAAGAAGTAGTCAGCATGTATCCCCAAAAGGAAGCCAGTATCGAACCGCGACTTACCCTTTCCATTGTAGGTAACACTGGTGCAATCATCACAAGTAGCAACATTGTTGTTCCAGCATCCCTTATCCGTGAAGATGGACATCATCTTAGAGCTGGTGTCGTGAGCCTGGAAGGTGAACTTTCCATTGCCGTTGATGGGGCCGATACAGGTGTTGTCGTTGGCATCGCCGGTGTCGGTGCATGTTCCCTGGGGGCCGCACAATTGGACATAGCCGGCTGACGCGGTAGCGACGAAAACGGAGAGAACGAGGCTTTTGAACTGCATCTTGGAGGTGGATATAGTTTCTCAGGAGGATGAGTATTTGACAAGGTTGGTTGATTGTGTTGGTAATATTTGTGTTTAGGGAGGGATGGGTGCCCGGTTTTATACTCGAGATGCCCGCGCTACGAGTGAAGATTCTGCCTTGCACACATGTGCTCCAACTCAAGTGCAATGGGCTTTACCTCGGAGCGAGATGCCCAAGAGGATACCGCATTTCCCATGGACAATGATGTTGGCGTTGGGGCCAAATGTACAGTGGAGCTTCCTGGGTTGGTTATGATACTACATGCCGAGCCTCCAGTATACAAATCATCGGCATTGCAGCCATGCCGAGAAGCATTGCCACTACCCTTAGACTGAGTTCGTCTGTTGATTAGCCTGTAGTATTTCTCTCAGTTGGGGGACGAAGCCAAGGTGTGGAGAAGAGCGCCTGGAAAGAGCACCTAGGCGAGGGTTGGCATGCGAAGATCCTGATCGAGTAATTGCAGAATCAAGACCCAGAGTCTGGAGTCTAGATACTCGAACGTATATACGCAGGACTAACTAGGATCTCGACGGAATCGACGGAATCTAGACCAAGATTGGTTAGCTCTATGGGGTATTAGCTGACACCATTCCCCTTCGGGTTGTTGTGTGCATGCCCAATTCGTCCTAGTGATGCGGATCCTTCCTTTGTTAGGAAAATGTTAAAGGCTGGCAGTGCCGAAACACCGTTGCTTTCTTGTATCCATCAATCTATAACCCATCCTTGTCAACGATCCACCGGAGACCCCGATCGACGAACTATCGACTGATACTACTGACACCACCACGCTTGAGCTGGGGGCCAAGTTGTAACCGAGCCTTTAAGGATAATGGCTACGTGGGTATGGAGTACAAGTGAACTGCTACTTGACGTCACACGGAGAGGAGTGATTGTCTCCTAAAATCTAGGCAGAAAGGAGATATACGCTGTAAGAGGGCCGGCCTTTGATCTAGACGGTGTTCTCCAATTGTCCCATGAGACCCTACCAACAATTACTCAGCAGAGTGTAGCGTAGCATTGAAGCAATATACGCCGTAGGATATGGGTTCTGATTGATTGAGAATTGACTCTACGGCATTTCTAACATAGTAAGTGCCTCAGGCAGTATTATACTACCATATCAAAACTGCTTGAACTGCTTATTAAGGTGCCCAGCAGCCATAACTAGAGGTTGCAAGTCACTTGAGGGGTGCCTTTGGCGTCAACCAATTTATCGTGTCGGTTTAGGTTACCTGGCCTATAAGATACAGGATCACGGCTTGAGGAGAACTGCATCTTCTGAATCATATAGAACTTCTGATTTGAGGCTATATATGAACGACCAAAACCCTTCGTCCTGGTCAGATGCGCTAGATCTTTCTTGGATTGTCTTATATGTATCATGTCTCGTACTGCCCATACGGTTTTTTTTTTTTTTCAAGCTTGAATGAAGGACCCTCGTCATGGCTTCGTCTATCTCTGAGCAAATTCAAATTCTCCCCAGAACCTACAAGGGATATCGAGCAAACGATTCCGAGCCATGCGAACAATCCGAGAACATCATTTTTCACGCAGCCGGCCTGAAGTGGCATATGAAAGTGACTTTCAAGGCCAAAATTGGTATCACAAAAAGGTGTGGCCTCCTTAGGAGAAGAAAGAAGCTGGAGGCCCTAATCTACCTTATCGACTTTCACTCCATTCCTCTGCTCCCAGATACAGTCAGTGAACTCGTGATCGAAAGAGCATCCTATCTGCCGTGCTCTCCAACACTCCCGATGGAAACCACTATCTCAACTCTACTCCACCGAGCCAAGTGACACCTGTTGGGTCTACACAATCCAAGAGGATGCCTCACGAGTACTATATACTATTTACGATATCGACTCAGGGTTACCAACAGTGGCTCTCTCCGAGATTGAAGAGAAGGCGCAGATTTCGAACAATGTCTTCCTGGTCACATGGAATGGGCGAGATGAAACCTTTATCTACAAAACAGTGGAGCATCCCTTCTACGACCAAAACCACACAGCTTTGTTCCAACAGGAGCTCCGTAACATCGTGCTCCTTCAGGGTATCCGGAATATCGTCCAGCTGGTAGCTGTGGTGAAATCACCAAGCCCGTTCAAAACAGCACCGTTAAGTGAAGGCGGTAATGTTATTCTTGGCATGGTGTTAGAATATCACCCTAATGAGACTCTCGAAGATGCAATCCATCGCCGCGATGGGAAAGGAACATCCTGGCAGGCTTGGCCTTACCAGCTGGCACGTGCTTTGTTGCGGTTGCACGATTCGTCTCTTACCCACACGGATATTACCCCTCGGAAGGTCGTTATCGACGCAGCCGACGAGGCAGTCTTCACTGATATTGGAGTGGGATATACATATGAGAATCTGGCACCAGAATTCCGAAATGATTCCTCGCCCTTGGAATTGCCATTCGACCAGAGATGTCAAAATGACTGGTGGGCATTTGAAAAGCTGCTAATAGAACTGGTTTCGATTGAAGACAATGGGCTCTCTGGGACAATCATCCGAGATATTCGCGAAAGATTATCGTGTGAACACCCTGAAGATCGACTTGGCATTTATGAAGCTATCCGACAACTTCCAAGATAATAACAGGCGGCAATCCAATCGCGCTCTCCTTTCTCCATATCCATGATGATGAACACCGCGCTGCAAGGAACGACACTGCTTAAATCAAGAAATCCGACTCCGGCTCAGAAATATCCTTTCGTCCGTATAGTCACACATATTGGTTCTACTGAAGCATCGTATTGATAGATCCGAGCGAATCAGGCACCTTCAGGTGGAATTTGCGTCGTGGGAAGTTGGCTAGTGAGCACAGAAGCACCACTTCATGTGATAGGGCGGATCATTTTCCCTTGGTTCTATGCGCTGGACTTATATTCAGCTCGGTCACTGTCCGGTTGGGTTCGCCAAGACTAGGGAATAGGGCCGACTTGGAACGCTGCCTACCTGGATGGGCTCACCGAGCGGGTGGTTTGATCACAATTTTTTATGGGATGACCTCAACGGTGCACGTACGGTACGAGCGCCGGAGATAGCTCCGAGCCGAAAGGGGGTCCCGGCTTTGGATTGACCCCGTGGGGCTGGCTTTTAGCCATTCTGAGAGGCTCCCAAGGTCCAATCTAAGGCAATGGCCACCCCGCAGCCTGGACGCTAAGAGTTGGTCGAGTCAGGGCTACTGTGTACAGTATTGAAGCGCCCTCGATATCTCTCCACTACTCTGTCGGAGTTATACAGTGACATTGACAGATCCGCTTGGAAGTTGTCTTCCATATAGCATACTTCAACCCGATGAAACAGGAGGATAGCAATCCCACCGAAAGGGCTGGAATGGGGTACGGGGTATGTGGGGGGAACACACCAGAGATATTTCCCCGATGTTCCTCCGCATTGGCCTTTGCCGGCGTCGAATATCCCCACATTCCAAGACAGGGAATCATTCTGTCTATCCCCAGTTATCAAAGGGACCATGAGGTGACGGTGAAAGGGAAGCGCGCCCAAGGCTCTTGGAATCAGTGCAGGAGTCTCCTCAGTCCACATCCAATACCCTTGTTAGTGTCGGACCCAGCTCTTCCTCCGATGAAAGGGGTAATGAATACGAACGTTGCGTGGTAGTGCAGCTTACCAAATGATTGGGGGAATTACTGCGGCATCAGTCGCTTGTCATGCTTCCCCGCAACTATTTAAATGCAAGGATGCCCATCCTTTCCGGGGCCCTGACATCGTCTCCTCTACAGCTCAAATCACCTTTTAAGTCAAGATGTTTGGCTCCCCAAAGCGTGCTGCTTTGGCAGCCGCAAGTCTTCTGGCGGTCCTCGGGAACGGTCCATCAGTCATGGCGCAGGAAACTTCAAGCAACAATGGTAAGTAGAACCATATAAGCTCGTCCTTTATAGCACTCTTCCACGCTTCACTCCCCATTGACACATGTACAGCAATTGTCGCGGACGGCAAGACTTTTGCCCTCAATGGAGAGAATGTCTCATACCGCTTTCGAGTGAACGAGACCACCGGCGACCTGGTGTCAGATCATTTCGGTGGCAGCATCACTGGCGATATCTTCCCAGGACCTGGCGCCGAGGCACTTGGCGGCTGGGTTGGTTTGGCTGGCCGCACTCGCCGTGAATTTCCGGATCACGGCCGAGGAGACTTTCGGATTCCCGCCATTCGGATTCGCCAAGAGGCAGGCTACACCGTGACAGACCTGCAGTATCAGTCGTACTCGGTGGTTCCAGGAAAGCCTGCCTTGCCCGGTCTGCCAGCAACCTTTGGTAGTGAGGAGGATGTTACGACTTTGGTGGTACACCTCTACGACAACTACAGCTCCATCGCTGTGGACCTGTCATACTCCATCTTCCCTAAATATGATGCCATTGTGCGGAGCGCGAATGTTACAAACAAGGGTACCCAAAATATCACAGTCGAGGCACTGTCTAGTTTCAGCTTCGATTTCCCATATGAAGACCTTGACATGATTAGCCTTAGGGGCGACTGGGCGAGAGAAGCCCACCGTCAGAGACGCAAGGTGGAATACGGCCAACAAGGGTAAGTTACTGTTTAACCAAGCCGATGATAGAAGCAGGAAGTTAATGTCTCACCTGGAATACACAGCTTCGGAAGTAGCACTGGTTTCTCTTCTCACTTGCACAACCCTTTCCTTGCGCTAGCACATCCCTCCACAACTGAGTCTCAGGGCGAAGCCTGGGGATTTTCCCTTGTCTACACGGGCTCATTCTCAGTTGATGTCGAGAAGGGTTCCCAGAGTCTCACCCGCGCTCTGATAGGATTCAATCCTAGTCAGCTATCTTGGCAGCTGGGTGCTGGCGAGACACTTACCTCTCCGGAATGTGTTTCAGTCTATTCAAGCGACGGCATCGGCGGCATGTCTCGATCATTTCATCGCCTCTACCGTAATCATCTGATCAAGAGCAAGTTCGCCACATCGGACCGCCCGCCGCTGCTTAACAGCTGGGAGGGTCTGTATTTTGACTACAATGAGAGCACAATCTACCGCCTGGCTGAGGAGTCGGCCGCCTTGGGAGTCAAACTGTTTGTGATGGACGACGGCTGGTTCGGCGACAAGTACCCCCGTTTATCAGATAATGCCGGTCTGGGTGACTGGGTGCCCAACCCGGACCGGTTCCCTGACGGTCTGAGCCCGCTGGTGGAAGATGTCACAAAGATGAAGGCAGGAAACTCGTCCACCGACCTCCGCTTTGGTATCTGGGTTGAACCAGAAATGGTCAACCCCGACTCGACCCTGTACCACGAACACCCAGACTGGGTGCTCCATGCTGGGCAATACCCGCGCACCTTGCAGCGTAACCAGCTCGTGCTCAACCTTGCTTTGCCCGAGGTGCAGGAATTTATCATCGACTCCATTACCAACATCCTCAACAGCTCGGCTATTTCCTACGTGAAGTGGGACTTCAACCGGGGGATGCACGAGACACCCTCTCCCAGCAACGACCACGAATACATCCTGGGCATGTACCGGGTGTTCGAAGTCCTGACTACGCGCTTCCCGGATGTTCTGTGGGAAGGTTGTGCCTCTGGTGGTGGACGCTTCGACCCTGGTGTGCTCGAGTACTTCCCCCAGATCTGGACCTCCGACAACACTGATGCCCTGATGCGCATCACCATCCAGCTCGGTACCTCGCTAGCATACCCACCCAGCGCCATGGGCGCCCATCTCTCCGCGGTTCCGAATGGACAGACCGGACGTACCATTCCTGTCAAATTCCGTGGTCACGTCGCCATGATGGGTGGATCGTTCGGTCTCGAGCTCGACCCCGCCGAGCTGCACGAGGATGAGAAGGCCGAGGTCCCTGGACTGATCGCACTTGCTGAAAAGATCAACCCGATCGTTCTGACTGGCGATATGTGGCGTCTCAGGCTTCCTGAGGAGTCTAACTGGCCGGCGGTGCTATTCATCTCCGAGGATGGCAGCCAAGCCGTCCTCTTCTACTTCCAGCTCAGTCCTAATGTTAACAATGCCACTCCCTGGATCAGGCTTCAGGGATTGGATCCCAAGGCCACCTATAGCGTTGACGGCAGTGGATTGTACTCTGGTGCGACATTGATGAACATGGGATTGCAGTACAAGTTTGAATCGGATTATGATAGCAAGGTTGTATTCTTGCAGAAGCAGTGATCAAGCTGATGACGTGATGCCAATGAGGGTAATTATTTGTATGTAGATAGTGAATGGAAAATTAATGTTTTTATCCTCACCAGTACTCTATCCTGCAAATCCTCCATTCTGAGTATGAATTAACGCCCTGCAGATCAAGAACCTAAGAACCCTAGTTTCATTGAACGGGATCCAATGAGACTTTTTTTTTCTGACCAGGCAAACGCCTGCCAGCTAATTTCTTACAGAGTCGTTCTTTGTCTGACTCTGCCTTCATCCGTGCTATCTCAGGCATTATAAAGTCACACAACCCTCGCCTAGTCCACCCCTTGAGCGCTTAGATGCAGTTGGCTTGTTGCTAAACTGCCCACCTAAGGTTTGATTGATTGGATATGTTTCCAACATATCTGTTTCACCGGACAGGAGATGAAAGATACCAACTTCTCCGACCTTAGCCTAGCAGGGATATTTGATAACGATGGTAACCGCTCAGAGGGGACAGTGTCCCCATGATGGATTTGGGATTCTGGGAACCCTAATCTCACCAGGAACAATAGCAAATTTCTGGTTGACCCTTCATTTCTCATGAGTTGATATATCTTTGCTAATGGATCGGTCATGCTAATATGCACACTCACTCCATCGAGTTGATCTGAGAATTTGCGTGCTAATGTTACGTGACCATTGCGAACATGTTGAAGCTACTCCTAGCCTCATTTCTTGTGGCCCAACACTCGGTTCAAGCAGAGCCGGGAATATTCTACAATCCCCCAGCTAGGGGGCCCATGCATGTCTACAAAGACAATCCAGTTTACGAGGGTGAGCAAGTGGTTCAGTTAAGATGGGTGACCACTTTAGAAAGCATCTCCATATTGCTAAGGCAAGGCGATAATTCTTATTTTGAATGGCTTCAAAGTACGTCGTTGTCCACTAGAGCCTAAGGGATTCCTCATATTATGACCTGACGGTAGATGACAGCAAATCTATCAGATGCCACAACATTTAACTGGATCGTATCGACCCAGCGAAGCCTAGAGGGCGGTAATGTTTTCTTCTTCCAGATCCAAGACGCCGATGAGCCGGAGAACCCGGGCTTCTTTGCTAGTCATTACTTCAATATCACCAAAAGGGCAAAAGATTTGACAACAACAACGACAACTCTGTCATCATCATTGTCGTCGTCGTCCACAACGACATCAGGTAGCTCAACAGCGAGACCATCTAACGGGGCATTGACAGCAACAAGTATGACCTTGACGCCAGCTAACGCGATACCGACAACTCCGACGTCAATACTAATATCAAGCGACGCCCTTACCACATCAGTGACTTCGTTAATCTCTACCACATCACTCAATACACCCATCCATTCGAGTAACAACGGCGCAATATCACCGCAAGCAAAAGTGGGACTTGGTGTTGGTGTCGGACTCGGATGTACATTCCTATTGACCCTTGCGAGTGTTATTTTGTATTTCAAGCTGCGAACGAGGCGCCCTCAAGCTGACAGGGCTCAGAACTACCTCTCGGGAAGTACTGTGGTTACGTATAAATCATACATCTGCAAACCTCGGTCGGCCCGTCTAGTCGAAGTTCCTGGACGTCAACTTGAACATCATGAGCTGGCATCGTGGCATACTATTACCCACAGACTGATTTCTCTTGGAATTATTACTTCAAGTCAACAATATGGTTTTATGTTTTACATGAGCTATCCTTGGTGAAAATCACATGAGTAAACAGAAGGCGGGGATATCTTGGTAAGAGACAGCCAGTAGTATTTTGGGAGTTGCCTGACTAGGCTTTTACTTTCACAGGGATTGCAATCGCGTGGCTTTATGTTCATAACTTCTTAAGCTGAGTCTACATTCATGTTGTTGCATGTGGGCTGATCGGTACCGTTGGTTTGGTTTCCAGGGTTTGGGAGCGCACGAGCCATGCCTTACATCAATTGCCTTTGCCACTGTGAACCAAGTCAGACGACTACCTTCTGTTGTTCAGCCCAATTTCCTACATTACTGTCTTCTTGTAATATCAAAGGAAGATAGGTTTGTCCTAGCTATGGTACACATCCCTGCGACTCGTACCTTTCACAGGTAGTACGATCGAGATCCCCTCATGAACTGTTTCTCCCTCAGCAAGAAGCCTCTGGGTTTGACTTCTTGACTCATCACGATCTATCTATTAGTTGTCTGGCTTTCTTTATCGTGAATATAAGCAGTCTCGAAACCCTCTGCACCATCATGAGCGACAGCAAAGGATGCAGAAGCAATTCCGACGACTCTGCTTATTTGGCCGAATACTATGATCTACAGGTCAAGGCAGATGTCACGACCTTGAACGCCCAAGGTGATGCCAAAGTTTATCTATCGGCCCTGAAGAGGCAGATGGAATCGTACTACCCTCTTGACCACCACGGTGAACACCTTGTCGTCCTGGACGTCGGCACAGGTACCGGACGTGTGCTGGCCAATCTCGCCACAGATGCCGTTCGGGAGAGCATTCCTCTATCTAATGTCGAATTTATCGGGGTTGACAAGGAGCCTTCGATGATCCATCGTGCATTAGCTGTACAGCGGGAGACGCCGAGTATGTCGCACATCGGTCGCATTGATTGGCTTGTCGGAGGCGTCCTCCATTTGTTATCAGCAGAGCTGCTTGAAACCCACATCAATCAGGTTGATCTCCTGCTGTCCGCGTCTGGCGGCGTCAATCTTCTTTTCAGGGCTGGTGAGCTCGTGAGATTTTTCGCTCAGGCTGCTGCGCTACTTCGGCCGCGATCAGGACGTTTCTATCTATCTGTAAAGAAAGATCTACTATTAACGAAATCTACCACAAAGCCAATGAACGAAAATACGACAGATACGGGGTCGTGCGAGCGACATGAATTCCCGAGTGAGCTCCATGAAGGTATTATCTACAGGCAACTGCCGATTGAAAGTCCAGTCTTAGACGGTATTATTAAGAGGACTCTCTACCAGTTGCAGGTGATCAAGCGGACTGATGCCGGCCGTGAAGAGATTGTTGAAGAAAGCCATATCGAATGCGTGCAAAGGATTTGGAAAGAGTCGGAGCTTTTAGAGTGCTTTAAGGAGGCGGGGCTGGAGTGTGTCGGAATCATCCATGCTTCACACGAGACATACTATGTTTTGAAGCAGACTGAATGACTACAATTTACCTTCAAACTTTTGAAAAGCTTTTGTCTCCTATTTGCCTTTATTTCCTTCACAGCACCGTGTGCTCCTTCCTCTCCTTTTTCTCTCATGGGCATTTAAGACCCGACTTCAACACCTCACCGATCACCGACTTACCGGTCTCATTAGCTTCGTTGATTGTGTTGGCACAGTCTCAATTGAGGTCCTTGTTTCACTTGTTTGATACCGAGAATGCTATGTGTTGCGAATGAACCCTTCGAGCGACTGATTTGAAGGGCTGTGTGGAAGCCTTGGATTCTCAACAAAGGAAAAAAGGGGTTATGCCTATGGTCAGATATAGGGGGAATTGAGTATAAGGTATAGTGTTCATTGCCAGGTAACGGACAGCCAAAAAGACATATATATCCTTTTTACTACTTATATCGAAATGCTGTTCATGGAGCATGCTATAGTCTCAATATATATTTTTGAGCAATCCAGCAGGGAGATCCGTGTTCGACAGCGCGGATAGTAGCAAAGCTCAGAAACGCATCTAGAGATGGGCATAGGCTCCAACCAAAGGAAGTACCGAGAATACATGAAAATTATGGACATCTATGAGCCGCATCGTGTGAAATGTGGTCAACCACGTCGAGGTAAAAGCCAAGGATCCGGTGAGCACGGTAGCTCTAAGTTAGGCTCAAGTAAGATAATTTGGCACTTGGAATTCAACAAATGGTCCCATAGCTCAGTCGGTTAGAGCGCTGTGCTAATAACGCAGATGTCGAGAGTTCGAGCCTCTCTGGGATCATTTCTTTCCGCATCATTGGTCTAGTGGTAGAATTCATCGTTGCCATCGATGAGGCCCGTGTTCGATTCACGGATGATGCACAACTTTCGCTCCTATGGCTCAGTTGGTAGAGCGCATGACTAGTAATCATGAGGTCCGCGGTTCAAATCCGCGTGGGAGCATTAGTTCTTCTTTTTGCTTTTTGATCTCTAAAATAATCTGTCTGGCTCTGAAATCCTGTGGTATGGGCGCGTTCCTTCGGCGTACTGTACTACTAGTCTTTCGTCTGAAGCCCCATCCTAAGAAGCACCGCAGTAAATCATACATATCCCTATAATCTAATCCCTTTTTGTGGAACCGGTTCTACTCATTAACATCAACTTCATGTAATCATTTCGTGGTATCTATCCAAAAACATTTCACTTCCCGTAACATGAACCCATAGCCTTCGCCCGCCCACTCTACTCCACCTCCAAGCGCATCTTCACGGAGCATTCAATCTCGCAACTCTCTGGCACAAAGCTCAAGGCCTGTTCACCGCCGGACTCCGCAAAGGCAGGTGCCCTCCGAGCAGAAGCAAACATCATTGGGGAAGCGTGTCCCTGAGAATCGTCGATTTCAACGGGTCGCAGATTAGTCATGTTCAGCGCACCGGCGTAATCCTTAGCCTTGGCGAGCGCGTCCCAGACCGCGAGCTTCCTGCATTCCTGACCCAGCTGCTGCTTTGTATCATCCGTCAACTGCCAGTCGACGTCCCGCACCGAAACCAGTGCGTCCTTCGCCACGTCCGACACGAACTCGCCCAGTTTGCTGAAGTCCCGGAACTTGACCTCGAAGTTGGTGCGGGCGGTGTAGACTCGTGCTCTGTGTTCGCGCCTGTCGTGGTCCCAGGGGAGGTAGCTACCGGTGCTGATGGAGCTCATGCTCCAGAACGTGACGGGGGCTTCGGGGGTGGGGTCGCCGGATTCTTGCTTCGGGGCGATCTCTTTAAGGAGGGATTGAAGGCGGTTGGAAGTGCGAGTCACGTCCTGGGACACGGTAGACTGGTTATCTCCTTCGCTGGAAACATCGAGATTGATAACGGCGCGTTCGGCCTGGCGGTGGAGGGTGGAGGTTCCGACGGTGTGGATTGTGAGACCCATGGTGAACGATTAGAAGGGGATGTTTTGGGAGATCGAAAAGGTTTACGAGCCGAGTGCGAAGGCGTTAGAGCGTCGGTAATATTTATCTAGCAGCTGAAGCGTGGCAAGGAGCAAAACAAGTTGTTACCTAACTGCTGGGAGGCGAGCTAGGCAAACACATGTAAGATTGCGGGACATTGTGGAGCTGGTGTAAATTCTAACTTAGCAGCGTCTCTGCTTGGCGCCTGGTCGTGTTACATCGTCTTCTTCACACCAGATTGAATTCGTCGGCATTAACTGAGCTGAAGAAACTCGAGATTAAGTGGGTCAACTCGGACATATTTGGACTTTTAGCTTCGCGCGCTAAAATCACGACCATGAGATTCTTGGGACACGCCCCCGAAGATCATTAATGTTCGAAGCTTGAGGAACTATCAAGCCTGCCTCGATGAAAGCTCCATAGAGTAGTTTCGCGTGATTCACGCTGCATTGTATCTGGCAGCATCGTTCTCCGTCCATAGTGACACACTCGCTTGATGGGTTCCCTTCACGCGCTCAAATGGCGCCTGATGAGGAAGCTAGGGATATCCTCTGTCCGGGAACAGGATATAAGCCGGCCCAAGCAATGAACTCCTCCCCCTACTAGGTATAAGCGTTCAAAATGGTGTGAGTAGTGTGCGAGGCGGGCGCAGAGTACCCACAGGTGGGACTATATCAGCCTCAGTGGCGAGCTCGGCTGGCCTCGGAGGAAGTGGTGCAAATAGATTCGGTCGTGTTTAGTGGTTTTTCTTCGAGCAGAAGGGGGCTCTGATGTCACACTCAGTGAAGGGGTGATAGTTGAAGCGTTATCGCGATGGGGTAGAGAGGCAATTGCGGAGGTGAAGATTGCCGCCTTTATCACATAACCATCAGAGCTGCATCCGACCCCTTCCAGGATTATTCGGACTCCTGTGTATGACCTGAGACAGCGAGACTGATTATGGTGTAACAAGTACCATATTTTCTTTCTCTCTCTCTCTCTCTCTCTCGTTTTTCAATCTCAGGGTTGGCAGACCACGAATTTGGGATATATGCGCCGGGTAACATCTCGGCGCTCATTCCAATCGGGAAATAGGTGTAAGACTCTGAGGAAGTCAGAGAAATCTCCTGGCCGCAGCATCTCACCGCTTGACTTGATTCTGGAGTGGTTCGAGGAGATTAATGAGGATAAATTGAGAGAGGTTGGGCGGGAGATTTCTCAATTTATACCGTTCGTTGGATCTATCATAGACGATATTGGTTAAGTATGATCTGTTCACTGCAGGATACGAAAGTCTGCAAGGTGAAAATAACCTACTGGTATACTCTTGCCCAGAGAATGTTTGATCTCGCTTCTTCTTAATGGTGCGGCTCAACCAGAAACTGGCTAAGCCTGGTCTTGTTATGGTATATCCCTGGCTCTTCAGCTCATTGTGATCTGGTCTAGACCGGGGTTGTTATGTGACACGTCGGTTCCGCAAACCTCTGCTTCCGTGCAGATCCAGTGTTCGACGATCTGCGGTCACATATCCCATGTGTGCAAGGGGGGTTGGGACAAAAGATGAGAGGATCCAATAGTTTAGTGAATGAGAACGTCATCCTCGCCCCATAATACCTTACCAAGCTCTTCTACCGGATGCCTTGACATGGTAAAGTGCATCTCGACCCAAGTTTCCCGCGAGCTCCGTATTTAGCTAGAATATCAATCCAACGGCTTTCTAATGCTTTCTTGTCATAACAGATAGACAGTAGCATAGCTTTCTGATGTGGACAAGCCGCGACAAATTCGTTGGGAGCATTGGACGCAGATGTCCTTAGCATCTGGCGAGGTGTTGGTCCGTTTTTGGTCTTTCGATAGAGTCGGAGTTTGCGATTCACCGCACCGAAGCATGCATGCACATACCCAGGGCGTTCTCAAGACCGCTAATGGCATTCCTCGGCAACGTTCCGCGCAAGGATTTTATCCTTCTATGCGCCAAGTGGGACTAGGCCTAAGAGGCACTGGAGCAGTTCCTCGTTCCTCAGTTGACCTTCAACATATCTTAAGATGGAAGGCCGTTCAAGGCACGTAGGGCCCCTACAAAGGAGAGAGAACAGGTGCCGCACTTAGCGCACAGCTCAGTTCCATTCCTGTCTTGGAATTATAGTGTTCAAATCCCGGAGGATGCGGATTTCTTGGCATTGCTGAAGACCGGAAATGTCCGCGATTCATTGAAAAGCTGCCAAAAACTGGAAGCACAAAAGTACCTATATGCGTACTGTACATGCTAATCAATCATGAACTAGTATCAATAGCAGAAAGTCTTCTGCAGTAAGGTTTATCCCTAAGGCTCAGCGCAAATCCTCGACTTGTTCGGTTGACGAGAGCTTTCACAATGACTATCGGAAAGCTATGGGAGAGACATATATGGCGAATGACATAATCTGTATTGATTAGACCTACAAATCAGCTGTTCGCTAGTATTTAACCATTACTCTTTCCTGCGAGTTTCGGGAATCATGATCGGGAATCCGGTATCATACGGTTGATATCACCACGGCGTCTTGCGATGAAAGTGGGCCGCTAATGGGCCTCAACGGCGAGCGAACTACTCCGTCCTAGACATTTTAGTGGTATGACCAGCCCTAATGCATTCGTGTATGCACCCAACGTGGATGCAACTGACGTTCTTGATTTCTAAGCTGGTTGCAGAGCTCCTCGTATCTGCTAAGTTCATAGGATTGACGACTACTCCACAGTATCTTCGGTAGTTAATGAGCGACTGTCGATCTTCATATGAAGTGTCCGCCAGCTGAGCAACATGCCACCGGTCCGAGCGTAAAGAAATCAAAAAAGCAAAAAGGACAAAGTGTTAATGCAAAGTGACACCCTTCAACTAGACTGCCTAGTCTTCTGGACTTACCTTCCGGCTTGCAGAATTTGCTTTGTTGGACTAAACATACCGGCTCTGATTCCAATTGGGTTGCCTTGTAAAATGGAGTGCAGCCGATGTGTCGGCCTCGCATGAACTGCTAAGCTTGAAGCCCAGCATATCAGCTGTTGCCGTTATGTGCACCTTTTCTTCTTTTTTCCCATGGCGATTTTTTGTGGTATTTTTGTTACCCACCTTGCTGTAGCAAAAAACGGGTGTCCCACATAATTGCACATCAGCCATGTCTTTAAAAACATCCCTCAGATCAACCAATACGGCGTTATCCCTCTAATAAACACACTCCATTCACAGCCAGTTCGCCAAGTTGGAAGACACAGCTGCTCTGAAAGAAAACGGATAATTCTCGTTCGCGAACTGGAAATAAATAAAGTTTTTCGCTAGTAGATGGAGTCTCGACCTTTAGCCTGCATGACCTGTAAAATCCAGCAGAATAATCGACTGATGTGCGCACTGGTACTGGAGGTACCCACGTGAGGGCTACAAGACCTACGTGGTGTAGGATCTACAACCAGAGAGACCGCCGGCCACTATCCTCACTATCAACAGACTACTACCGGACTTCCTGTCCGAACGCTTTGACATCCATTTTTAAGTTACGCCATTTATGGAGACGGATGTCGTGGTACGTGGAACAATTCCTTGGCCGTTTTGGCCAAAGCTCGAATCTTCGATCAAGGGTCACTCATGAGTCATGATGGGTTGAAGAGGAAGGTTGCAACAGTGAAAGCTAGACTCAATTATTATGCTGGGCACAATGCATATTTACGCCATAATATTGGATGAGATCCGGATGGACTGCACAGACAACTCGACAAATTAGCCGGCAAAATTCAGCCACACAACCGCGTACGGCATAGGCCAGGAGATTGTCACCCTTCATTACTGAATTGGCAGTCACCGAGAAACGTCCGGTGGATAATTCCCATGGATATGATAGGTGGCCGTGTCGTCCGTGTTCTCACTACTGCGGTGGGTCTACTAGTGAGAGACTCGGCACTATCAACTGATCGTACCAATCGTCTGGTACTGCAGGATGCGGGTCTCCCCCCAATTTCCAAGGCATACTCACAAGAAACTTTGACGAGATGGCAAGACCTCCGAAACTAAACGCAACCCGGTGAAAGTCATTGCGCATCCATAGCCGAAAACGTACAATCCGTCTGCTTCTCCGCTTAACCACCCTGTGCAGGATGCCACGGCCAAGACCCACAATAGGGGCCTGTCATATTTGAGACAATGGCTTTCTTTCTTTTTTTTCTGCAGAATTCCTGGACCAGACTGCCGGGTCCATGGCTACCAACGCGCGGAGTAGAGATTCCCAGGCCTCTGGCTTTGAACAACATCGAACCCCTGCACCATGGCATTCATCCAGGATCTGGTGTCGGTTATTCAACCTTCAATCGAGTCGCCCTTGGCTATCTGCGTGACAACGGCAGTGGCTGCCGTGCTGTACGTTCTGGTGTTGGGGTTGTATCGCATTACATTGCATCCGTTGGCAAAATTCCCAGGCCCTAAACTCGCTGCTTTTACTCAATGGTACGAGACTTACTATGAGTTCTTCAAGTCTCCAGGTGGACAGTATTTGTTCCACTATCGGAAATTGCATGAGAAGTATGGTAAGTTCGACTCGGGTCTTTAATCCCTGTCGCGTAGGGTATGTAGCGGGGGAAGGGCGTCCACTAACTTCATGCCACAGGCCCAATTATCCGCTTAAGTCCATTCGAAATCCATATCCAGGACTCCTCTTTCTTTGAGGAGATGTACTCGCAGACATTACCGTGGGATAAACCGAAAGAACTTGAACACCGCTTCAACAACGCCAATGGCTTATTCCCGACACACAATCATGAGGTTCACCGTCATCGTCGCGCAGCCCTTAATCCGTATTTTTCCAAACGCGCAATCAACAATGCGTCCCCGATGATGCAGGAGCAGATCACGAAACTCTGCGACCGACTACGACGGGAGTACCAAGGGACTGGGAAGATCTTTCGCCTTGACTGGATGATGGGATGCATTGCGTCGGACATCATTGTCCGGTATTGCCTTGATCGCGGCTATGATTTCTTTGAGGCGCCGGATTTCAAATCGCCTTTCATTCAAGCCTTGTTTGACTTGCTGGATGGGGTTCATATGGTTACGCAGTTCCATGGGTTGCCACCATCTTCAATTCGCTCCCACAGGGTCTGGTGGAGGCTCTGCAACCGGGCCTGAAGTCGGTGAACAATTACAATCAGGTATTTTACAAATAAGCGCCGTCTTTCCGTTGACCGGATGGACAGCAAAGGATAAGTGAGAGTGTTGCTAACATGAAATCAGGAAATGGCCGATCAGGTTGCGGACATTCTCTCCAAGAGGGAGAAACGGAATGGCTCCGAGCAGACGAATGTTTTCAATGCATTGCTCGACTCCGATCTGCCGCCGGAAGAGCTCAGTTTGACCCGCCTACAACAGGAGGCTATCACAGTTATCGGAGCAGGCTTCGATACAACAAGATATGCGCTGTCCGTGGCCAGCTTCCACATCATAAACACACCAAACATCTACCAGCGCCTTCGAGAGGAACTCCAAGCCGCGATACCAGATCCCAACAACATGCTATCGTTAACGGACCTGGAACAGCTTCCTTACTTAACCGCCTGTATTCAGGAATGTGCGTAGCTCCCCCACACTAGTCGCATGCGACTTGAACTAACCATCTCATCTATCAGGCGTCCGAATGTCCTATGGTACAAGCCAGCGTGCGTTCCGCATTTCTGACCACATCACCCTCACCTACAAGAACTACGTGATTCCTCCTGGAACAGTGGTCAGTATGGACAACTACTCCGTCGCCCATGACGAAGAAATATTCCCCGAATCGTTCACATTCAAGCCCGAGCGCTGGCTTGGGGACCCCCTCGCCCCCGATGGAAAGAAGCTATCGCGCTACCTTGTATCCTTCGGTAAAGGTACTCGGTCCTGCCTCGGGGTCAACTTGGCCTATGCAGAGATGTACCTCACCCTCGCGAATGTCTTCCGGAACTTCGACTTCGAGCTGTTTGAGACAGACCGGTCCTCGGTGGATTGTTACCGCGATATGTTCTTACCGCATGTGAAGCCAGGATCGCAGGGCGTGCGCGTGAAGATCAACTAGATTAGTGATGCGTTAGTTCTTCGATTTAGCATTTGTACATGATTTTACATAATTTGTGATGAATAAGATAATACCATTCTACGATCTACATAGTGGTGGGCAAGCTCTGTAATGACCCGATCGGCAAAGCATATCCACCTGGTACCATGGATGTGTTCACGGCCATTAAGATTCATAGCTCCATGGGAACTCCCGCTTCGCGTGCTGTGGCTTCCTCTTTCCATGACATCACCAGTCGAGTGCCACTGGCGCTCAGTATGCTTGCCACTAGTCCATAACCCTGTGATTGGTCTGTACATACGTACGTGCCCGGCAGCATATATCTATACGGAAAACATCGGAGATCGAAGCATCATACACTTATTTGACCTAATCTCCACCAGCCTCATTGGGCTTGGAAATGTTCCACGTCGGATATCTAACTGTCATAGCCTAGAGCTGATGGAGTACTTCCACAAGCGCGTCGCCACATACGCTCAACAGGTGTTCTGGATAGTTCGGTGGAATGCAGACATCATAAACGTCATGCAAGACCCTCAATTCTGGAACTCTCGGACCAGGACCGAGACTGTCTAGTCACTGCTATGCCGATTGACAAAAATTCATCTTTACTGATTATTCTAAAGACCCATCATAAGGCCAAGTGACATGGGAAACAGTTAATGACTCCTTATCTGAATAGAATACGGCATTAACCTGCTAAGGGCCAATCGCTTTGCATGATCAAAATTGCTATCATCCTCTCACAAAGCCTGGCTATGAGACCTTGCTGACAATGCTTCATTGGGGCTTGCAGTGATCATGTGAATAACGACCTTACCAGTTTTGCAGATGCAAGACAGCCAGGTAGTTTGTGCGATTACTGTTGATTAGAGCTGGCTTTTGAGTCTCATAGCCTGGGATATCGGCCCTTCATAATAAATCCAAAATACCGCTTTGTGTACCAGAAAATACATGAGGAATGATTTCGAATTATCGTTGGTACGGGCGAGCAACTTGTGGCCAAAGTATGGCTGGCTGACGCACACTGCATATGACATAGCCAACGCCACAGGTCTGCTTTGGGCATTATTTCCCACAACCCCAGACTACAAGAGTGATGGAGCAATCATCAGGTCAATATACACCTTCAGCCGCACCTGTTTAGGCCGGACCTTGCTATGCTAGACCGAGGAGTTACACTGCAAGTTCACTATGCCGGACGAGGAACGTAAGCTGATGGACGGATGATATTTACTATTGCCCCTTGGCCTTGTACCTGCGCTTATACAGGTTGTCTTGATTTTCTTTTGAGCTGACGCATAAGTTGAACAAAATCCGGGGAACTAAGCTAACTGTTATGGTTTGGATTGCCCTTTTAGCATCTACCATTCTTATAATTGTGATAGTGGCTTACATATCCCCGCTTTCTGCAAGGTTCTTAAAAAAGTAGCGATGCAGCTGTGGGCAACGTAAGCGACAGGGTTACATCCATATTCTGTATAGAACGCTGCGCACTGTGGTAGTTGAGACTGAAAGAACTTGACGTCGAACTGTATTTCGCTTTTCACATTGTAATGAATTAGAGGCAATTCTAGGTCTAGTCATAAGTCCTATTAGCTTATTTTTGTATGTTTGGAGACAGAGGAAGAAAGACTGCAATGCCGTACTTCTGGTCTGTCATAGTTACATAACTCTAGACCCATCCCTTGCCTTATGTTGTAGTGTCGAGTATGCACTCCGCACTTCATACCTCCCAATGTTGCTGTCGCTATACGAGAAACAACCATAAGGGGTAATAGATAGGTAGTCTTAGGTTGTAATTGGAGCATCAGCATGCGTATTGCAGATGGAAAGCCTTTTGGTTGTACAGTTCATGTAGTACAAACCACCATAGTCAAGCCAATGCCTGTGTTGCTCAGCCAATGACAATCGTCTTCCTCTAAGTCAGCTACACGAGATGCATATGCGAAAGCCATAGTTCATGGGGAACTGGAGAGGAAGAAAAAGCAAAAGACCATGGATATTTCGGCAAACCGGCTCATGGGTGAATAGCCTGGCACTTGAGGAGCCCTGAAAAGGTATAAATAGGCGCAGTTGTCCCTCGGCCAAAGAACATCTCAACCCATCAAAGAAACATCTTCTTCCTCCAGCACAGATTACGACGTTTCTATATCCAAAAGACCAACACACACAAACATGCACTTCAAGACTCTTCTTCTAGTCAGCCTGGCCTCATTGGCCGTCTCGCACCCTTCTGCGAACCCAGACGAAGCGGCTATTGCCAACAATTGCGGCTGGCCCAACGGGAACTGCTATGACAACGACTGCCATGGGGAGCTTAGCGCGAACCGTATGACCTGCACTTCGGTAAGTCCAACTCCGCCTTGGGGTCAAACTGGTATGGAACATAGCTGATGCACGTTGCACCCAGGGCCGGTACTTGGGCTGTCCATGTGGATATGGCTGTGGCCAAAACACCGGCAAGTGTAACGAGAATGGTTGCAATGGTAGCAATGGTCGCTGCACCAATAACTACCTTGGCTGCTCCTGTCTCTGATTGAGGTTATATGGAGGGGGGACATATATGTCAAATGATTGTATGTGTTTCGCTTGCAACCAACTTCTGCACGCGAGTGATCTGTCGGGAAATAAGGGACAGGGGTTTGGGGTAGCTGCTTACCAGTGGTGTTGATTTCAATTTTTTCTCTGTTATAATCGATAGTTTTCCTATTGGAATGTTTTTACAAAAAAAGTGTAACCTGTAGAAGCTGGATCCGGTGTTGTCCTGTAGTTGAGTGTTGTGCGTAAGTCCAGGGCGGTGCAATTTCTGTTCGTTAATGGTAATCCCTCGGAACTGCGATTATAGTGGCTCATGATATATGAGGTCAAATATCAGATTGTCGCATATATAGGGTTAGTGTGGTGTGGCTCTAGCTTATGGACAGGTACCGAACATGCCCCATGGGCCAGAAGTGGGCCCTCAGGTACCATTTAGTAGTTCCTGCCAGTCTTCGATTAGTGGCAAAACCACGAGATTTATCCAAGGGTTACCTAATATCAAACTAATCCTAGTTCATTCCCGGTCTTCACCGGCACCAATAACAAGGTAGGGTTTGGAGTCGTAAAACGTCGCTAAACGGGCCTAGATTGAATAGATCCCCAAATTTATCCCCCAAAGCCCTCTTCTAACCCGAAAAGAGATTAGACAAGCTTTGAGTTTTCTTTTGCCCCTGGCCCTGAATTCGAGGACAGTACGGCCCTATTCCTCGACTACTTAAACCGCCGAATTACTCGGATCCCCTTCCCAGTGTCGCACTTTGACCACCGAGAAAATAACCACCTATCACCTAAACCACCATGACCGTGAAATTGTTTATGGGCCTGGCGATGGCCGGCCTCATCTCAGCGAGTAGCAGCGTAACTTCTATGTTTCTCCTTGGCTTAGACCCACAATCCTTGGAAGCTTCTATCGTTGGCAACGTCAGTACCCCACAGATTGACGATCGGGCGATCCTTTGGCCGCGCGGCTCTGTCAATGTCTTGCTTGAACTAACATGCAGAGCAGGACGCCACTGCAACAACCTATAGGGTCAGTTGTGCTCCTCCGACCGCGACCGCGAGCGATGACTATGACTATGACTGTGGCTTGGGCCCTGGTCTCACTGTCACAGATGCGTCGCCGACTATCATCTACGAGCTGAACGAAAAGCCAGAATTGTGCGCTTTCTCTTTTCTACACATAATGTTCTCTGCCGAGACACCGGCTAACACGTCTCATCTCACAGCTATATGACCGTCGAGTGCTCCGTGGCCGGAACAACCTCTGCTGTTTGCACTGAAACTGCCGGCGGGCCTGAAGCCAACTTCCCGGGAACTACTATCTCAACTCTCCAGCAGAGTGAAATGGCCTTTGTCCCGGTAACGATCACCGCTGGGTCTGTTACCAGTGTGGCGGCGACCGCTTCGGCCACCACCACCAGCACGGCCGAGTCAGGCAGTCAGGGCACTACCTCAGCGGCCCAGACTTCTTCGAAGTCTTCTTCTTCTTCTTCCTCTTCGGGCTCGAGCTCCAGCTCTTCGGCCGTGAGCACCGGTGGTATGCCCCAGATTACTGGAGATGCCAGTATGCTGTTCGGAGGTGCCGTTGTGGCCTTGGCCGCTGCTGTCCTTTAAACATAGACAGTAATGCTCGGGTGATTAATCCACAGACATGCCTGGCTACTTCATTTTTCCGTCATTAATATGGTTTCATACTTCGCCTAGGGGCCATGCGATCCCAACCTTTTTACTTTTGAGGTCTGATATGTATAGCGACATGGCCTCTCCCCAGATGTACTATATTACCTGTAATATATACGGCTTCTTTATATATGTAGTTATGTCTAATGTATACGTGACATGAAAACATTCATTATCAATGCATTCTTGATGTAGGCAGCTCAGAGAATATCTGAGTTGAGATTTGAATCTCATGCGAAGATCTAATGCTTCTGATCAGTCCAATGTCCAGGCGAATGGATGTCTTGCAAGGGAATGAGAGAAAAGTTGGTGTATAGAAAAAGAGAAAGAAATGGTCCAATGATATCTGCTGCTGACGTTCTAACAACTCTTCTTTATCTTTGTCTTTGCGACTATGATAGTTAGAATTCGATATACTGATGTTGGAGGATCATGTATGGATCAATGCAGTGCATACGTATAGGACCGCTCAACGCGACAATTTGTTGATTATCTACGGGCGGAAGATGAACTAAATAAAAGTACATATGTCCATAATCATATCTAACCGGTGAACAATCCCATTGTATAAAGTGGTTTTAGGGTTAAGATATGCTTTGGGGTCGATAGCCCCATAGCATTTCCCAATTAGGAAAAACCATATCCTCCGTAACGGCAGCCCGACATGTCATCCCACGACCAAGCTTACATTCTTCACGGCATGCATAAACTGGGCTTGCTTAATAGCGAATAATACCCTGCAAAACATATTAGATCAACGGACTCTTGCCGAGCAGCAATGCAGCTATGACACCATCAGGAACTGCCGAGAAAACGCAATCGTGGGGTCGATGTCGTGATCACACGGTACACCAAAACCACCAACCATCAACTCAACAACAAGCACCCTGCACCGTGCACATCTCTCGACGCCAAATGATATTCGTTTTTGTCTGAAATTTATTCTCGAAACTAGTTTCCCAACATGGTTGTGATCGGACCATGTCTGTGGGGTCGTGGCCCGCATCGTTGAGTCGTGTCGTCTCGCGATATGGTGTTATAAAAGCTGGCCCTTTCGCTAGGAAAATGAGTGTGAGTGTGTGCGGGCTGGTCTTGCTTCTGTCGTGACTCCTGAGACTTCGCAGTATGGGCTCAACTAAGGATATCGAGACGAATGTTTCGTCGCCTCCTCTGTCGTCTACGGGATCGTCGGATCGCGATGATAGCTATGAGGTTTACCAACAAACTCGTCAATTGGAATATACCCAAGAAGAGGCTAAAAAGGTCCTGCGGAAAATTGACTTCAGATTGATGCCGCTTTTGTTTCTTATATACTTATTGCAGGTAAGAAGCATGCCTTGGCGAGTCTTGGTCGAATGCTTATTTTTTTTCTAGTATCTCGACAAAAACAGTCTCAATTTCTCGTCGGTCTACGGCTTGAAGGAAGGCACGAATTTGAAAGGCCAGGACTATTCATGGCTGGGTATGCTTTTCCTTGCGCAGTGAATTGACCATGACTGACAGGGACTAGGCTCTATCTTTTATTTCGGTTATCTGGTCGCGCAGTGGCCGGCTGGATTAGCGCTTCAAAAGCTTCCCATTGGAAAATTTCTAAGTGTAACTACTATTAGTACGGCTTCCTCACCGTGTATGCTGCTATGCAAGACTGACAGATATAGTCTGGGGAGGCCTGTTGATGACAACGCCGGCTTGTTACAACTTCGCCGGGATAGCAGCCAACCGCTTTCTCCTTGGAGTCACCGAAGCTGTTGTGAACCCTGGATTCGTCTTGATGATGAGCATCTGGTATACCTCAAGCGAGCAGCCTCTCCGTCTCGAAACCTATTACTGCACCAATGGCATTGCCACCATGTTCGGAGGGTAGGTCTCTGTCAAAGTCACGAAATTAATGATAGTGAAACACTGACCACCGACAGCCTCCTTGGCTACGCAATCGGACACATAACAGGCGGTCTGCCACGCTGGATGTATGTGTTCTTGATCTTTGGTGCAGTATCACTCGCCATCGGAATCGTAGCCCTCCTCTTCCTCCCCGATCTGCCATCGACAGCAAAATTCCTCACTGAGCGCGAGAAAGCGATTGCGATCGACCGCGTCGCGATCAACCAACAAGGGGTAAAGAACCACCACTTCAAATGGTACCAAGTGCGGCAGGCAGCCCAAGATCCTAAGACGTGGTTATTATTCATCATGGCTATTGGGGCTCAAGTTCCAAACTCTGCCTTGACGAGTGTATGTACCACTGGAGCCTCCCCTTCCGCTCACGACCGATATTAACAAGAACACAGTTTACATCCATCATCGTCAAATCCTTCGGCTTCGACACCCTCGGAACCCAATACCTCCAAATCCCCGGCGGGGCGGTCCAATTCCTCACGCTGCTCTTCGGCGGCATGATCGCGACGAAATATAGCGGCAAATTCCACTCGCGAAGTGCGTGCATGATCTTCGCCAATCTGGTCTGCATCATCGGGTCGTCGCTGCTAGTCGGTCTGCCGGACTCGAATAAATGGGGCCGACTGGTTGCACTCTGGCTGTGCTATTTCCAGGGACTGGGGTTCAGTATGAGTCTGACGATCGTCAGCTCCAATATCGCGGGGTCAACGAAGAAACAGGTCACCGGGGCGTTGTTGTTCACAGGGTATTGTGTGGGAAATATCATCGGGCCGCAGACATTCAAGGATAGTGAGGCACCGGGGTATCATAGTGCTTATATTGCGTGAGTTTCGAATCGGAAGGGTCGAGGGCAGGGTATCGGTGCTAATTGTTGTGTAGCATGTTGGTTGGGTATGCCGTGAAGCTGGTTTCAATCACTGCTCTGTACCTGTATATGTATTTCGAGAATAAGCGGAGGGATCGGGAAGCCCTTGGTTCAAGCGGCGAGGAGAGTGACGGTGTTGAGAAGGGCATGTTGGTAAGTTTCCCTCTTTCTGGTGTCTGTGAGCTTCGCAAAGGCTGATTATGAGCTAGGATCAAACGGAGATTGACAACAAGACGTTCAGATACGTGCTTTAGACTAATGAATATTTAAATGTTGAATCCAAAAATAGAAATTTTATACCTACGCTGATGCGCTGCCTCGAGCACCATGAAAAGCTTAACTGCACTAACATTACGGCCCCCAAGTGGGCCAAGTCGTGCTGACGCGTCATGATGCATGATCAGTCTCTACACTCTATCATCCCATCTGAACCAACGATATAAAACCACAGTACAGTCCCAACTACAATCCAATTCTATAACCATCTCGCCCACCATGCCTCTCCAGGAAAAACTAATCCCCACCCCGGGAACACCCCCAAACGTCCACAAGGACGCCTTGAGAGTCTTCCAAGCCCTCCAAGAAGGCGGCATAGCCATAGTCCCGACGGAAGTAGGCTACGGATTAATCGCCTCCTCCAGCGAAGCCATCACTCGCGCCTTTCACGCCAAAAAGCGGCGTCCCGGACACACACAAGGCATAATCGGCAACTACGATGTCCACCGAGCGCTGCATATTCTCCCAGCGGAGAGATTCGAGATGACCAAAACCCTAACGCACGATCTAGATATGTCGCTCGGGGTTATTGCGCCGTACAGACCCGACCATCCGCTGCTGCAAGGCATGTCGGCCGAGACGTTGGAAAAGACGACTAAGGATGGGAACATGGCTATTCATGTGGGTGGGGGGTCGCTTCTGCTGGAGGTTGTGAGATTGCATTATGAGGTGGGAAAGGTGGTTGTAGGCTCGAGTGCGAATGTGACCGGCGGTGGACAGAAGTTTCGTGTGCAGGATATTGAGGAGGAGATCTTGGAGGCGGCGGATATTGTGGTCGATTATGGGTTGCAGCGGTATCATATTTATGGGAGGGCGAGTATTCTATACGATTTCGGCGAGATGAGGGTTGTGAGGATGGGGGCTTGTTATGAGTTGTTTAGGGAGAGGATGAGGAGGTTTTGGGGGGTTGAGTTGGAGGAGGATCCTGTTTATCCGTGTGAGAAGGGGGAGTACATAGGTGCTGAGTAGTGGTTTCTTCTATAACGAAGTGCTACGTGTGATTTCTCTGTATATGACGTAGATTCTGCTATGTCCGGACATCTCTCCTTGGGATCTCTTTTGGGACTACTTCTCTAGAGTCTAGACAGATGTAAGCCCAAGCCGTACTATGCTGCAACTCAGCTAATAACATGGGACTCTGTAGTAGGTACTAAGTCCCTCTTCCTCTATAAGCATATGTATGAGTTCAGGGACTTGCTAGCGCTATCACTAAATGATGGAGACTGCACGATCATGTCCCAAACAAGTACCTAGATGGGGAGATCATGCTTGTTGCGCTAATCTCAGAACACTATGTTTCTAGAATGTTCTACGCACAGCTTGACAGACCTAGGATCATGGATTTAGGGCGAGGCACTAATGTTCTAAGTCCGTTCCTGACAAATTGATCGCAATTGTAGCATTTGCCATAGATCGCCCAATCCGGCCTAGTCTCCGCACACGTGGTGGGCCATGAGAAAACGCCCAAAGAGGTTTAGTCTCCGCTAGATGTGGCGATGGCATCAGGTTCAGAGTACATGGATTTGGATATAAAAGGAGGTAACGCTGTTGACCGTTGTGAGATGTAGTTGTGATATTCATCGTCGGTTTCTATAACTTCTTGCCAACATGTCTTTCCCTTACACCAAAGTCCTCGTGATCGGTGCCACCTCAGGCATTGGTAAGGCACTGGCTACCAAGCTTGTGCAAAATGATACCCAAGTGATCATTGCTGGCAGGAGAAAGGAGAACTTGGAAGAGTTCGTCAGGGAGAATGGAAGTGAGAAGGTCAAATATAAGGTGTTTGACGTGATGAACCTTGAAGCAGTGAGTGCCCGGACTCATCTATCCTGCCCGCAGCCTGCATCCATGAAGAGCTCAACTAACCCATCCCAAAGATCCCCAAGTTTGCATCAGAAGTAGTTTCCGAGAACCCTGACCTTGACTGTGTCTTCGTCAACTCCGGAATCCAGCGGCCGTTCGATTTCGCAAACCCCGAGAGCGTCGATCTGGACGTTTTTGACCAAGAGCTGATCACGAACTACACCTCGGCAGTCCGTCTTACCAAGGAGTTCCTCCCACACCTGCAAAAACAACCAACCCAGACTGCCATTGCATTCACCACGTCACAAATGGCTCTCGTGCCGATGATGCGCTGTCCGAATTACGGTGCTTCAAAGGCTGCACTGCACCATTTCATCCTCGCCCTACGCACGCAACTGCAGGACGGCCCTGGAAATGTGAAGGTGCTGGAGATATACCCCCCAGCTGTGCAGACCGAGTTGCATGACCCTAAGCACCAGCCGGACCTGAAAGACGGCCATCTCATTGGCATGCCGCTGCAGGAATTCATCGACGAAGTGTGGGCCAAGCTAACCCAGGGCGAGGATCAAATCCCGGTCGGATCCGCTAAGGATATCTTCGAAGCTTTCGAGATCAAGAGGCAGCAGATATATCAGCAGATGACGGAGATGCTGAGAGGTTTGCTCAAGCAATTCTTGCGATGAGCGTTGGACCTGTTGGAGGTGAATCACATAGATAGAGAATCCAGAGTAACTGAATTTCATTTCCGTGAGCTTTAACTCTCAGTAGGCCCTGTAGCCTGTAGCAGGCGGATAAGGAACGTTGGACACAGCTTTGCCTTTACAGGCAGCCAAGATCAGAGCACTGAAAGGTGAGATACCGTGGACTGCACCCGACTCTAGCATGGTCGAATACTGTTGCAACGAAACCATGTGTTCCAAAGATACGGGTGTTGCGTCATCCCAGGCCGCATGATCTGTATCCCACAAGGTAGTGCGAACATCGAAAGGCAGCGAGTCGACAAACGGAGTGCGGACGGAGTAGTTTCTCTTCAGCAACGAATATACACTGCGCAACATGAACGCGACAATGATCGTCCGCCGAACGCTCTCTGCGAAGAGCCATGCTTCCCGTGGACTCATAGTATGGGAGAGTTGAGCAGGAGCTTTCTGCCAAAGACGCCGCCCAACATTAGACAACATACTACTGATAGTTTCCGAATAGGGGCCAAGATCTGTTTTTTCATCGAGGATGAGAATGCACTGTAGGATCAGTAGTGATTGGATGCATGCGAGAAGCTCTTGGAAGCTAGCTGAACGACCAGACTTGCGAAGGAGTTCTGCACAGTGTTGCTGTAACAGAGGAGTAAGGGACGTAGAGTTGTCCCCTTGAGAATGGAGTCTGCAGAGAGTCCGGACATTTTGAAACACGATTGAAGCCTCGGAACTCTGATAAAGGTCCGGATGGATAAAGTCCGTCTTCATATTCTCCGCGAATTCAGTAGGAAAACTTCGCATTCCGGCTATAAGGAAGGAAATGATTTCCCGATCGTATCCTTTCATAATTACCAACGGTAGCGGCCGGTGGATCGGCAGATCGGACACGGATGATGCACGGCGTACAACACGCAACGTGGCACTGGAGGGATCGGGCCCAGCTGGCAGTGGTATATTAATGTATTCGCAGTCGACGCGCCGAGCCTGGCACCGACTACATCGCGGCCAGAGTTGGTCGCAACGGCGCTTGCCTCGGATGCAGGCTTGGCATGATCTGCGCAGGGTAACACGCTTAGGGGCGTTAGACGACATCCGATTTTGTCTAGATTAAGGTATGCGGGGGAACTAGGGATAGTGCTGCCCTAAAGCGTCTGCCAGCTGCTGAGTATGTGCATAAATCTTGGTTTCGAGGACAATTCATTGAGAAGCTCAGGAGACTCCGACTTTCGCACGCGCCATACTCCACAGCTTAATAATGTACTATGGCGAATCACACGCTCCCCCGCTCATGCAAGTCTCCACCGTGGTTCCATCCCCGATACCCAAGCGAGTTGCCAACGTTGTCCCACTTTGTATCTATCTGGGCATGTGTTACGAGAGTTGGGGTATCTCTAGCATAGAGAAGAATGGTTGTTAAGCGCGCCAATTAGAAAAGTATCTTCGACAAACGTGGAGAGGTTTTATCATAGTACCCTTGGCTCTCGCTTCGTTGGTATATATTTTGACATATATCGAAGCGAGGGGCAGTTCATACTGTTTCTCATTCACAACGACCAACGCCAGATCTGCTATAGTGCTTTTCCGATTTTATAGAAACAAGAGATCCCAGGAAGGACCTTAACATGTGCTTGACTGTCGAAAGCGTGGTAGTTTGTTCGAAGGCAGTCGAAGACTCCACACTGTATGACCGCTACTCAGGCTGCCATGGCAAACAGAGTGTAACAATGCATTATATGAAACAACAGATGAAAAAGGACTACTAGTCCCTCCTCCCCACACCTAGTGAAAGAAATAGAGTCCGCTTGTGGGGTCCGGATATCGCCTCGTGTATGATGTCGCAGCAGATCCCAAGTCAAACGCATCTGTTACTAAAAGAAACTCTATTGCCGAGATGCAATTGCTTATCGGTCGAAAGGATCCGATAAAAGCATCCCCGCACGATAACGCACGCCTATCATTGAGGGACCAATGCAGATACAGATAAAGGATTGGACCGTCCCTCAATTTCTTGGAGTTATCTCTTCAAACTTCCCTTTTTGGATGGCACAGGGTTGTTGTATCATGTTCCCCGTATCGCTAATCTGTATATATACTCCCCGCGAGAAATAGAGAAATAGAGCAGTATTCCAGGACATTATTCCTGTCAAGGTTCATGGGAATTCATTGATTCAACATGTTGTTATTGTGGTTATCTAGTGTCTTGCTTGTTGGACTATATCTCTTCAAGCGCCTTTCATCTCCACTTGCCAAAGTCCCCGGCCCGTGGTATACGAACTTCACCAGCTTCTGCCTGAAGTACCAAGAGTTCACAGCGAATAGACGGCTTTTCGTTCACCATCTACACAAGAAATATGGCCCTGTAGTCCGCCTTGCACCGAACGAAGTCTCGTTTGTTAGTCTAAATGCTATTCGAGAGATCTACGCATCCGGCGGCAGTGGCTATGATAAGACGGAATACTATGATTTATTCCGACAATATGGGATTAAGTATGACATTGCCCCGCAATAGAATGAAAACAAGCTGACAAGTAAAGAACCATGTTCTCAACACTCGAGAAGCAAGGGGTGAGTTTATTCATCTGAATGAAGGCAATCACAATTAACGAAGAGCAGCACAGCCATAGAAAGCGGGAATTGGCCGATAGATACGCCATGTCGAACGTCGTACGCGAGAAGCATGTGTCCGCCATTAAGGAGCGAGCTGAGACCTTTGTAGCGAGATGTGCTGCCATCGAAGGAAGTGTGAACATCTACGTGGGTACCATGGCTACTTATAGTAACTTCGGCTGACAGTTCTAGTCTCTCTTGCACTGCTACGCGATTGATGGGGTAACGAACTTTATGTTTAGCCCTGGTGGCCTGAAGTCCTTGGATAACCCTAAGGACTATGAGATGATGGAGGAGTTGACATATCATCAAAGTCTGCAGAGTATGTGAATCGTCAACTCACACTATAAACGAAGCTAACTGCAACAGAAAATCTCCTACACTATTACCTGCCCGCATTAGTTCCATATCTCCCATCCTGTCTCATCCCCCGCCCTGCCCCCAAAGCAAATGCCTACGCGTTACAGATGGCGGGGCAACAGCGCCCAGATGAGCACAGCTTAGTCGCACGTCTCACGCGTAAAGGCTCGCCGCTGAGCCACATGCAAGTGGCCGCGGAATGCAAAGACCATATGGCTGCAGGTATCGACACCACTGGTGATGGTCTTTGCTTTCTGATGTGGGAGCTCTCTCAGCCACATAACATGCACTTTCAAGATCGCCTTCACAAGGAACTGGTATCAGCATCCGATGATACACCTCTGGATAAACTGCCATATCTAGATGCTGTCATAAAGGAAGCCTTGAGATGCACACCGCCAATTCCGATGTCTTTTCCACGGTACGTCCCATCCGGTGGCAGGACTATCGATGAGTACTTCATCCCAGAAAATACTATTGTCAGCTGTCAGCCATATACGGTACACCGTTTCAACGAAGAAGTGTTCCCCGAGCCGGATCGTTTCAATCCGGATCGATGGTTGGAAGAAGAGGGCTTCAACGACCGGAATCGCTTGTTCTTCGCGTTTGGGACGGGTGGTAGAGGATGTACTGGAAGGAAGTAGGTAAACTCACTCCTCAAAAACTGCTCCTATACTGACGCATGTAGCCTTGCAACGGTGGAAATGAGAGTTCTTCTCCGAGAGCTGTATTCTCAGTTTCGGTCGTCGGTTGCACCGGATATGACTGCGTGTATGGATCTCGATGATCAGATCATCTCCGCTCGACCAAAGGATCAAGTTTGTAAGCTCATCTTCACTGCTAGGGGCAAGGATGTGGATAGCGCATAGGCTGTACTGTGAATGATTCGCGTATGATGGGATGCCCGTATGATGTTAAGCAATGCTCAAGGCCAATCTTTGGAGCAACTCATAGGACTCATAGTGGAATATAAGCATAGGTTGTTCTCAGAACAACAGTATATCTCTTTTTAGACTGTGAGAATCTTATGGAAGTCACAAGAATGGGGGTGCCTATTCAACCACTACCAGGTTTACTAGATTTATGTTACGGAATAGGAATGAATTTGGCAATAAACAGTACTTGTAAACGACGGACTTACTGGCCAATCAAGATCCTGCCCACCGGATGCGGGGTATTTAAAATAAATAAGTAGTGAGAAGGACCATCGGAACCCATCTCGAGACAAACCCCCCCCTATCCCTGCTCTCCTAGCCACGCTCGAACACTCCCAGACCCTAATTCAAACCATGGCATCCAACACTGCAAATCCACCCACTGAGAGCCGCCTCTCAACACGCATCTCCATCCGATGGCTCCCTGAACCCGCCTCCGAAACGACTGACACTATCGTCATGTCCGTGAAGTTGGTATGTGGACCTTCGCGTAGACAAGAAATCTGGCGACATTGACTGGGCAATTGCCGGTCAGCGGGTTACGGATAGTAGTGACCCTCGTAAGTTGCATTTGTACATCTCCGGACTGCACACATACTGACAATATCAGGCCGCGTGCAGTTTACCCATGAAATTGACTCGCACAACTCTTTTGACGACGTTGACTGTGGCACCTTTACTACATTGCCGAACGGTGACGACCTTGAGACTGGATCTATGGCTCGTCCAGATGTGCCAGGGGCTCCGGTGACGGAATATGAGGAGGTGTGGCGGGAGTTGACATTCAAGGAGGGCCCCGAAGGATCAGGGCAGGGTGCTTCATGGGTTTTGGAATCGAAGCATGATATTAAGGTTGGGGAAGGCGAGGAGGTGGAGGTTTCGCGGACATTTTTTGGCGAGGATCTGGGGCTCATATTTGGCGGTGCGACAGAAGCAGGTATATGCGCGCCTGCCGGGTTCTACAGATGCAGTCGTGAAGGCAGGGAAGGGGGTTAGTGCTAGGAGAGAAGAATGGGATGCAAGCACTGGGTGGTCGGCCAAATATGTTCTTGGTCTGGAGGGGGACAGTTTGCCCTCCGCTAAGGACATCGAGGCCAACGAACAACTGCGCACACGCGGGGGAACAATTCTAGTTAACGGTGAGCCATATACGGTTCGATCATATGAATTTGCGTAGTGCGCTGTGCTGAATTACTCTATATTCTATGTACAATGTCTATTTATGCATGGATTAATTTACTGCTCGTTCACAAGCACGTAACGGTACCTGGCCTTGCCAGCGTCCATGTCCACGATGGCCCTGTTGGCATCCTTCATGGGTACCTCCTGAACCCATGACCTGACGTTCTTCTCAGCAGCCAACTCAAGCATCTCCCGGATCTCACTGGGGCTTCCGATCAGGGATCCTCCAAACTTAATGCGCTTGACGATCAGGGCGAAGGCGGGGATGGTGAGGGCACCGTCTTCGGGAGCACCCAACTGCACGAAGTTGCCACTGGGCTTGAGCATGGTGATATAGTCCATGATGGGCATCTTAGAGGAGGAGACGGTAGAAACGATCAAGTCCAAGCTGCGGGAGTTGTTCTTGGCCCAGTCCTCGTCTTCATCTGTGGCGATATAGGCATCGGCGCCGAGCTTGAGAGCATCCTCCTTCTTGTTGGCCTTGCGAGAAATGGCAACCACCTTATCGGCACCCAGGGCCTTGGCAAACATGATACCGAAGTGGCCAAGACCACCAACACCAATAATACCGACCTTCTTTCCGGGGCCGCAGCCGTTGTGACGAAGGGGCGAGTATGTGGTGATACCACCGCAAAGCATAGGAGCAGCCATGGCGGAGGGGATGGCATCGGGAATCTTGATCACGAAGCGAGAAGGAGAGCGGTGGTAGAGAGCATATCCACCATAGGACTTGTCGCCGTTCCAGTGCTTGGAGTTGTAGGTACCGCCCATCAAGTTGGGGCAATACTGCTCAAGGCCCGAGGCACATTCTTCACAGTCACCCTTGCGGCCCTGGCAGGAATCGTTCTGCGCACCAACACCGACGCGGTCGCCAACCTTGATGTTTCCTTCGGCCTGGGAGCCAACTCTGACTGCAACTCCGAGAATTTCGTGACCGACACAGCAGGGGTACATCGTAGGACCCTAGGTATTGTTAGTAGCTGTGGCAAATAGTCCTCAAGCAAGCGAAACATACCCATCCACTGCGCAAAGTGTGCAAATCTGAACCACAGATACCGGAGTGTGTAATGCGAATATCAATATCGGTCTCTTCCCAAGCTTTGGGCTGGAACTCCTGCCAGACCATGTTGCCCTCCGCGGCCTTGGGGTCAAGGCCCATCCAGCCTTCGAACTTGTAGTCGGTAGCGGCCATTGTATGCGAATTAAGGTTTAGCTTTTTCGGGTGTTCTATCGTTTGTAGAGGCTTGATCGAATCTGGGGTGTTGATTCCTCGAAGGTCCTCCTGCGATTTATACAGAACAGATTGCCAGTGGCGGATGGTCTCGGCAGTTCTCCGGAGCAGACAATTTCGAGAAAATGATTAGAAGAGCTTAGAAATTGATTTTTGGGATGATCCACAATATTGAGGACTAAGTCCATTATCTCCGCGATGACAGTGGAGCTCCACCCGTCCCATGGTTTTTGAAGCAATCGTGAGATGGAAATTTTGCAGCTTGGCAGGGATGGAAAGGGGACCAAACCAATAGTCGATGACACGACCTCGGAATTTAGGATTCTGCTTAAGCCTTGTGTATTCATGAACCAAAGGCGAAAGCTAATGTGGAAGCTGCACGCGATTATGACAATGATGTCCTCCCTTGGTGGTTGAAACGGTTGGTGGTGGGTCTATATCCACTGTGTGGAGCCTCAACCACAAAGTTTTAAAAACCCCAAGAGTATAATTGGTTACCAGAGCTGAAATCCCGTCTTCAGGTTTCTATTTCGGCTTCTAGTTCGGCACCTTTGGGTTCTAAGTTCTATCTCCGAACCTCTTCTGCGTGTTGCTTATGCTGCTCCACTTGGAATTAATGATTACAAGATGCTTAAAGCCAGGGCACCCAATCCAATTTCAAATAAGGTCGGAGACTTCTGGAAAAGTCGGCCTAATATTCATACCAACGGCAGTCTCCGAAAGTAAAAATGGCTACCATGTTGGAGACAACCCCATGCTTGATGAACTCATAATCAATGAAATACAGTGATATGGATGCTATATCTGTTATTATTCGATGTTTCTCAGTCCCAAAGCTAAATAGACAAATACCACGGCTGCTCTCAGGACAGAAAAAGAGTTCTCATCCTGTTCTTACAGGCCCTAGATGCCGCCACATTTTGGCGACACGCACAGACCAAGGGCGGCAGAGGGAGAAACTTAAAAATTGGTGCAGACCACATCGAGCACAAGGGGTGATGGAGCGGGTAGCTGATGCAATACACGATAACCAGGCTAGTTATGTGACGTATCTGCGATAAAAGTTTGTGACTGGCGGTGTGACTTAGTCTCTCAATTCCTCACTGCCTAACGGCGTGTTGCGACTTGACGTGTCTGGTAGGAGGTGTTTCTGAAAATCTAGCTTCTCTACGCGAGGAACACAGTTGAGCCACCGAGACTATCATCAACCTTTGTGCCTTGCGGGGTTTGATGGAACCAGCTTTGTACTTTGCATATACAAGCCGGTTAAGATCGTACAGTGGCTGAATACCTTATGCTTGTGAAACCTGACCCCTGGCGTTGATAAACGCAATGCCAGTTCTGTATAGTGACGAATTTGTCGCATGGGGTTTACAGAAATGGGCAGTTGCAGAAGCTACATTTAATTAGAATTATGGCGAGAATCTTTGAATTGGCAGAGGGAGCACGCATGCTAACCAGGTTAAAGATTCTCGTAAAGATGACATCTCTCTCAGAGTCTATCTACAATCTGTTAGCCAGATGTCGCAAGATTGTCTTCCACTTATCTGCTGTTGTTTATCGCCCTAGATCGTAAGGTAGGGTACCATTGACAGGGACATGTCATTTCACCAGACTGTATAGAGCTGTACCACGGCTTACGGAGCTCGCGATATATAAAACTATGTCAAAGGCAGATGAGATAAACGAATAGCTCCACAGAATCCACAAATGCGAGCGGATGAGCTTGTTTCTACATAGAAATATAAAGACTCCACCAGCCCCCACAAGGGATTTTTGGGACCTGTCATCAGCTTTTACATCATTGGCTATTATCAACCAGACAGCTGCTGATATCTGCTCTTGACATGAATCCCTGCATCGGTACAACCGCTACCAGTAGATAGAAGTGACGTGACAGTTCACATCCATTCAAAGTGGGAAATTCTAAGTTTTCGATCGTTTAATGTTCCTGTGGGTGATTCTTCGATCAACTTTCCAGAATCTAGGTAAGCAGCATCCTAGTTACCGAGGACATCATGAACTTAAACTTGATATCTATATAACGATGCCTGTCGTGCTGCAGCCAACTCTAGACGTAAGTTTGATATTGAGGAAAATGCCAGTATGGTAAAAGTGACCGAGAACAATCAATCTGCTGATGTCAAGTGTGAATTTACCTGCATCTGAACATCTGTTTGGTACTTACTTCGAGACCAATGTCTTTGCGCTAGAGATGACCCATGATAACCGCCCGACATGTGTGGCGTCAACATATGGTCGACATCGATCATGAATTGTGTCCCTGCTTGTAGAAAAGTTTTAGTAGCGGGCAGAGGGAATTTCTCGCGAATTATCTATTTCACTGGGTATTTCTTTTCAATTCGGGATAGCCGGTGTTTGCTTGAATCCCGAACGATGGCGGGTGAGATATCCGACTTCTCGGGCGAGACGGGATTATATCTTTCTTTTATTGCTGGTTTCTTTTAGGCTTTTACGATATATACATTATTTTTGAAAGGTAGGCAATGTATCGTAGGCATATTATTCATCTTAATTATCTCATATATTAGTACGCATTCTAATCATACTGTAAAAAGAAGGCCACAACTGTACATGCAGCCCCATTAAAAAAAATAATAGAGTTCAAAAAGAGTAAAAAGGAAAAGAGCTTTTCTCTCCCTCTCTCCAACATGGAAGCTAATCACGGCGTCTATGCTCACGCCCATTCTTGGGGCCAGCAACAGTACCCATCAAGACTGTCGTAGGTCAGTCCCTGTAAACCAAATCCCGGAAAGAGACCAAAGAAAAACTTACTATCCCAATAGCGGAACGAGCTAGAGTAGTTACCCACAAAGTAACGGTGATGATCATCATGCCAGTCAGCTCCACCCCAGAATGGGATGACCCGTCTCAAGCTCCAGGGGAAATCATATCCCGAGTGCGAGTCGATAGCCTGTACTTGGCGCAGACCCATCCATATCAACACAGTGATCAGATGCACGTTTTCTGTGAAGTAGCCGAGAACGAGAGGGGGTGCGATCGTGCCAAGACCGAGCAGGAGGGTTTCCCAGGGACTGGCGTATTCAGCCGTGAGACCGAAAGGAGTCGCGTATTGGTGATGGATACGGTGGATGGAGCGGTAGAGGGGGCCCCAGTGGAAGGCACGGTGCAACCAGTAGTGGTAGGTATCTTCAACAATGAAGAAGAGAGCGAGTTGGGCGGCTACTGATTTGAGGTTTGGGAAGGGGGAGGTATATTTGAGGCCGCAGAGGTCCATCATGGGGTGGAAGAGGACAATGAGTGGCAGTTCGACGATGAAGTGGATGGCGAGGATATATTTCGTGCAGTTCCATTGGGTCGATACTGAGGGCGGTGCCTTATGATCTTGTATCCTCCATCGGTTGAAGGTACCAGGCATTGCGTCCGCGATGATCCATGGGAGGCAGCGGCCGAAGTAAATGAGTTCATGGGCAATGAACGTGATAATTCCTGCGCGGCTTAGCGGTTACCCCAGGGACAGTACAAACATATAGAGCTTACCCGTGGCCAGGATATCGTTGTTCCAGTAGGAGTAGTAAGCCTCCCAGAGGTTTTCCAAGCTGGATAAGTTGGGGTTTTGATGAGCTAGCTTGATGAGGTCCGCATATGAAGCCATCTGGGGAAGGGCGGTAGAATTGAGGGACTCCATACTGCGATAATTCTGGACTGGTTGATTTAGAAGTTCCAATCACCGCTAAGATGATTTTCATGAATTATATAACCTTTTGCCATTGGGTTGGAAGGAAGCCAAGGCGAGTGGATATTCCGAATGGTCTGACGGGACACACCACTCGGATCCGCGGACAATTTAATCATATGATCAGGCAACCCTAATAAAAAATTTCCTAATTCTATAGTACCATTTCCCTAATCAAATCCAGAACAACTTTAGTAAATACATTATAGGTTCAGAACCATCTCCCCCTGACACGAGTGGAATATACAATGTCTGACATCGACGATGCTACCTCAAAGTTGCAATGCCGCGACTCCCAGCGTCAACCCGACCGCAACGGAAAGTTGAACACCGACGTGCCCGGCCGCACTGTCCTCACCCGATCCAGTTCCTGAGGCAGAGGCAGCAGTGCCTGTGCTGGTGCCAGTCGAACCGCTGCTGCTGCTGCCGCTTGATGTCGAGGCTCCCGTCTCAGCAGGACCGTCACAGTGCCAATGGTCGCCGTGAGGCTCACAACCAACCGACTCGGTTGGACTGGGAATAGTTGGAGTCGCGGTGGTATCGGCCTCATCCGTGTGGGAATGGGTGCCCGTAGTAGTGACCTCTGCGGTGGTCGAGGCGGGGCCGTCGCAATGCCAGTGGTCGCCGTGCGGCTCGCAGCCTACAGATTCGGTTGGGCTAGGAACGGCTGGGGTGACAGTCTCTGATGTCGATGCTGGCCCCTCGCAGTGCCTGGATCTACATTAGATGTCGGTGCTTTGACATTCATGACGAGGGCAGAAACATACCAGTGGTCCCCGTGTGGCTCACACCCGACAGATGCAGTGGGGGACGGACCCGGATCCTGGCTAGTACTGTCCTGGGCCAAGGTGACTGAGGCCAAGGCGAACAGAGCGAGGATTGAGAATCTCATGGTTCTTGCAATTATGTTGAGATTTAGTCCAAGCTTATGTGCGTGCTGCGATTTTGAGTGACAGGATGAGAGGGAACAACATGGGAAATCGGATTGGCTTTATACCTCCACCCCAGTAGCGGCCTTCCCAGGTAATGCCTGCTCTTTCCTTGTCTCGATCGTCTAGTCAGAATTAGCCGACACAAATCAACAGTCCACGGGCTGTATCAAAATCTAGCGTGCCAAGAGCAGTGGGATACTTGGCGTCTCCAAGGTTCTCATCGCGCTCGCCAGACCCTGGATCCGTTGGCATTGTCAACTGTTTGAGAATAAACCTGTGGCATATGAGAAATGCCTGTATCTTGTCGTCTTGCCAACTCCACATGTGGGATTGCTTAGCCATCACAAGCTGGATTTCAAATGCACTGGCACGTCATGAATGCCACACAAAGATGGCATTCTGCAGATGAGTTCAAGATGCCAAGTCCTTTTTTGCCCCATGCCAAGGATGCTTGAGAACCTTGGGAGTGACAAAGGAAGCAACCTTTTAACCTCGATACGAAACGATTTGTTCCTTCATTGCCGTGGCGGAGGGTCCCTTGCAATGGAAATTACACGACCCGCCATTAACGGCCAACGCTGGACTTGATTTGTTCATGAAGGGTACGCCGGCGAGTCATTAAACCGGAGTGCATCCAACAAGCGCGGCGAGGAAATTAAAGAGGGTTCCTGTCTCTCATGACAAGAAAAGCTGTTCACCCAAACCTTCCCGAGATCGGTCCATCCCGACCATATCTCTTCTAGGATATTTGACAGACACCCACTCCTAATATCGTCCGTCGGACAATGACTACCCTGGTAGAGCGAATAATGTGAAATGTAACCCAGCAGAATATCGCACGGCAAGCCTTAACGCAGTCTATCATATGTCCCGCTGGGGCTGTACTAGCTGCTAACAGTGCCATTTTACCCAACTCGGTATGTGAGTCGATTAGATTGTTGTAACCTGTGATATGAATTTGTCGAGCACTCCGCTCAGTATCGATGTCTAGCTAGTCGAGCTGGCAGACAGTGACCTATCCACAGAGAGCCAACGCTGCATGGCTCGTGTATAAACCAAGATATGTCGAGGTCGCTCGGTTCTCTTGTATAAGTTTGCGTCTGTGAGTAGGTTTCAACTTGAGTTAGACGGCCTATGCTAGACAATTCTTTTGCCCGTGGGATAGCAATACGACCGGCCCCAAAGATCCGTGTGTCTTCAACAAAGCAGTCGGGAAGCCTCTCGTGGTCTACGTTTCAGGAATCCTCTACATGCTGGCTATCTCTGGTGACGATATCAACGATCGTGAATAACACAATAAGTTCCCAGAGAATTGTTGAAGAGCTGCTTAAGTTCATTGCAGCCAAGACCGCGCAGGTGCATATATTCGACCGTAGAACAAAAATGCCGTAGATTTACATACAACGGATCAAATGAAGCAACGTTGTCTTGTTTCGGCCATGATCAATGAACTTGATATGCCTTAGGACAACTGAGATCTCTTCAATGATCGGTTTAGCCGTTATATTACCTTTTGCGGGTCCAGCATCTACGGTCCCCTCCTGACTTCGCTGAGATAGGTTGAGCGGGTCCTTTTAAAGTATAAGAAACCTCATACTCTTGTTCAGATCTTTGTGAGGGGGATATAGTGGTGCAAACCATGTTATAATATTGATCACGAAGGGATGGGTGGTAAATTCCAAGGCTGCCTCCGTGAGCTACCTAGGTAGCACCCATTATGCCTCTTGTAGCCGTCCCATATATATTCCTACATCTCCAGTTATTTGGGATTGAAAAACTCTCCCTCACCTCTTATCACTCTTCTTGCGTCGCCGTTCTGTTACTCCACATCCTGTCCAACAGCGCCCCAGTTTCTCCACTCAATTCATCCCACGGGTTGACCCCTGTATATGTGTGTTATCTGCGTTGCTGGGCGGGTCCCCTACCCTCCAAGCCCCACTACAGCTGATCTAACCTCAACAGTTTGCGTGAACGCCGATATGGTGGTCACCATGTGGTTGGAAAGTCCCGAGGGCAGCCTTTGGTACTCGAGTGTGTTACAGTAGCGATTTATCTCACCACCACTCAGTACCATGAATCTGTCTATTTCATGTTCTTCCTCGGTCGGCTACTCCGGCAAGGGCCAATGCACAGCGCAGATCACCCCCAAGAGACTCACGCGGCTGCCGACGGAATTAGTATATCCGGATGCTCAGAAGCGCGAATTACTTATGGAAAGCAGTACATATTCCTTCTAAACAGATATTTACTAGAAGTACTAGTACTGCAGAATTGTTGGTCCGCAGATAGGTTTAGTATTGTACCGGCTACATGGAATTCGTTGTCATAGAGGTAACCATCGCAACGTCCCGCGAATGCTACGTGTCCCACAGGACCCCGCAGGACAAGTATGCAAGTGTCATAATGTTTTTGACAGGGGTGCAGGAAAGGTGGCGGCCCGAGTAATTGTTAACATTATAAGAACCATGTGTAACCGCTCCTTGCAGTCTCCTCTTTGCGTGTCGTGCGGTCGCAACCTCGCATCACTACAGCATTCTCTACCTAGGCCATGGAGATTGAGGATTGGGAAACCACAGATGTAGTCATTTGTGGCTGTGGCCCAACCGGGGCCATGCTCTCGGCTTATTTGGGCCAGATGTCGGTTCCTAATGTGGTGCTGGAGCGAGAAGCTGATATCACCACAGATCCTCGTGGAATCGCCCTGGATGAGGACGGCATTCGCTTTCTCCAGGGGGTCGGTATATATGATTCGATCTTTAGTGAGATCGGCAGTTGTCAGTACCACCACTGACTTTTCTTGTCCTATGCAATTGAATTTCACATCATTGACTTGTGAAATAGGTATGGGTAGGTTCAACTTTATCGGCGGAACAGAGCCAGTCTTGAAGAAAAGCCCGTTTCTCGCTTTGAATTATAGCACGGTGAGTCTACTAAACTTTCGTTAATAGCAGGTGTTGATTGTAGTAGACGGCTGGGGGAACAGGCCATATAGGTTTTATCTCTCACAAACAACCTATACTCGAAAAGAACTTACGAAAGGCCATGTCAGAAAGCGCATATTGCGTTCTGAGGTCAGAATCAACAGTGTATGAGTTGTGTGAAGATAAGGATTGGACCTACTGCAAGTATCGAGATGCGCAAGGGACTGAACGGAGGATTCGCGCGCGATTTTTTGTCGGCGCGGATGGCAAGACAGGCTTCACACGGAAACAGTACCTGGAGCTAAAAGGTGTACATATGGAGAAGGTTACTGAGTATGTGGTGCATTTTAACACTGCTGATCGCCTCGCTGACACTATGATCAGGGAATTTTACGAGGAGACTTGGGTAGCGTTAAACTGGCAAATCACGTTGCCCACACCTGAGTCACACCCAGAGTTTCCCTTGTGGACGTTGGGATATACTCCAGAACAAGTGTATGACCTTTTCTTTCCGTATGAGTTCCGTTTTCTTTGCAATCCTAATCGCCCCGCCGTATGCGGACGATTCGGCCTTCAAAGAGACCGACTCTGGAGATTCGAATTTGTCGTTCGCCCAGGAGAGGACGGATACGAGATGGCGAAACCTGAATCGATAAGAAAGATTGTCTTTCCTTATGTGACACATCGGGGATGTCAATATAAGTAAGTCAGTCCAGGCCCCATACCTTGTCCCCTACTTATATCGTAGTCTCCCACATGATGTACAATTCCCTGAAGACTGTATACATGTTATCCGATCCCGCCCGTTTACCTTTTCCGCACGCAGCTGCAATGCCTGGGCGAAGGACCGTGTTATCCTTTGTGGTGATGCTGCGCATGTGTTCCCTCCTTGTAAGTTCCCTGTCGGTCGATAGCATGGCGAAGCTGACCTTTCCAGTTGGAGGACAAGGGATTGCGTCTGGATTTCGCGATGCTGCTTCTCTAGCATGGCGACTAGCTCTGCTATGTCACCATCATCCAACTACCCCCAGATTCCACGAACAAGTCCTGGCTGCATGGTACCAGGAGCGAAAGCAACAACTGGAGAAGTCTCTGGCTACGACAATCGAGAACGGGAAATTTGTGTGTGAAGCCAACTCCAGCAAAATTTTCATACGGGACTGGTATCTTTGGCTAGCTCAGTTATTTCCTAGCTGGAAACGCCATCTCCAACTGGGGCGACGGAAGGACGGGATGATCCGATATGTACACTCTGACGGGATGCCTTTTATGCCGGATCTCAACGGTGGCTTGAACCTGCCTCAAGTCTTCTGCAAGGATATGACGGGAAATGTGCTTTTCACCGACGATGTCATCTTCCACTCTAAGCAGAAGAGTATCTTCCGGCTATTCGTTTATCTACGTAATGATGAGGAGCTAGCGCACACTCGGGCAGTTCTGAGGGAAGTAGAGGAGCTTTCACAAAGCGAATTCGCTGCCGACCAAGTTCCCTTTGTCATTGAGGATATCACAAAGCGCGGAGCTGGCGATGACAAAATTGTGTTTCAGATCGCCAGCGCTGAAGAGTTTGCCCGGTCACCGCTCTGTAAGGGCCGCCCCGAGCCTACCTATTATGAACCATTCCTCATTCGCACGGAGGTGCGCGCAAAGTACATCATCGTGCGTCCCGATCGCGTTGTGTTTGCAGCATGTGAGGATGAGCAGAGTTTGAAGACAGCTATTGGTTGTATGAAGGACATCTTGCGTTGCTAGTTCGTATTTATGAACTGCGTAGGTAAGATTACGGCTTCTTTCACATCATAACCCAGATGCTATGGAGCCAAGCATGACTGTATCTTCAACTGTATAGAGCCCTACTGTAGTGTTCTCCCATAAACTCCGTGCGTCGGTGTTTCAGCGCATGCGTGTTCGATTACGAGTCTTGGCGCTGGCTTCTTGTTCCTTCCAATCGTATCAAAGTAGGATTGTAAGACATCATGACTAAGTTGTAGCATCGTCCTATCTCGGATTTATCCAGGAGACATGAAACAGTGTCAGGCTGTAAGACCGAGGTCTGTCTAGACAAAATAGTGAAACATGCTACCAACATAGCCGTTACCTAGAAACACAGATTGGTTCCATCCTCATTCATCTCGTGTTCGTGTTACCCTGATGTCTAACCGATCGGTTACCTGCAGATTGGGAAATTGTGTCATAGCACTCCTGTTTAGCATTGGGCAAGGTGCTGTTCTTAGGATAGTGCTCAGGCTGTGGTTCTCGACCTGAATACGATATATCTCAGCTGTGCATAAAGAGAAGATTTCGTAATTTGTGCAACATCAAACGGAGATTCACTCAAAGAGGTTCCCAAAGATGAGCACACAGCTGGCCTTTCTAGCTGGGCCCCGTTTCAGAGCAACCCCCTAATGTGGCGATGCCCCTGATAATAATGCCTGTAGATCGATCGGAGGTTCTCAGCGCTAGCCTCGTATCACCGGAATATTCTACGTAGCATCATCGGCTCAACTTGCTTAGACCAACTATTAAATCCAGAAAGAGGTCTCGGGGTAGTGACCGGCTATCCCGAAACATCCACAGTCTGTGAGGCCCCGAGACAGGAATGACAGCTGAACGGATCATTGTGTGGGTGATTCTTCTTCCCCATCTCATTTTGAAGTCTCTAACAGAAACTATTGGTAGTCTTTGTGTCGCTAATGCATGTGTGGTCATGAGTAGGTCCTTAGGTTGCCAGTAACCTAAGTACAGTGTCAGGCTACTGTTGGAATCCTTCGTATGTACATAGTTCTGGAATGAAATCTGTAAGACAGTGTCACCTTGAAAATGGTAGGATTAAAGATATTCTCCACGAGAATAGAATCAACCATCTTGTTGCAGGTACTAATATCTTGAGACCAGCAAAAAGTATATTTGCTGCTTGGTGTTACCGTCTAGGATAATATACTTCACGTTGACCAGAACATGGAGAACCCTGAAGGAGACATGAGCGACCCTTGTCTTTATACCGCCGCAACCACTCATAGTTTTATGGGTAGCGTCAAGGATGTGACACACTGCATGATTAACCACGATGAAGCGTGGGTGAATTCGAGACACATCGAGGGCAAACCCGAGTGTTGGCAAACTGCATCTGGTACTGGGCCTGAACAAAGTGAGGCACAGATTCCGACTATTCATACAGAGGTCGGGGACAGCTTTTCTTTCTCTACCACCCCACATCCTGGCTACACGCATAACGTGGTACAGTGCAACATAAACACTACTGGGCCTTCTGATGTGCAAAACTCTGCCTTACTGGGGTGAGTATTCATAATATGACCTAGATAGTTATGGCGGGTATGCTCACACGCACTACAGATATCCCACGGCCTATTCGGCCCCAGACATTGTCCACCATGTCGACAATAATGCTAACGAGAGCCCGTTTGCCTTGGGACCATATCCATACGGCCTTCCCATGAATATGTTTACAAGATAATCCCCAACGTCAATTGGAGGGTTTCAATCGCCAACCTCCCAGGAGTATCTCGACTTTCGACCAATGCTATACCGCTCGGATAAACTGTTAGAAACGTATGAGAAGGTGTCATGTACGTTGTTTACGCTGCACCGCAAGAGGACGATTCTCGGGGAATCTGCCGCATGCGTCTATACGATTGACGGCCTTTTCCAATGTGTTTCCACGTTGTGTGACCTATTGGAAACAACCGTCCCTGCTGCGAATGTTCTAATCGATAGAGCTGGCTACATCACAAACAACGGGATCTTTAAGCTAGGTCTTATGGGGATATCGATTGCCTTGGAAATATACGAAAACCTGCTGCATAACTACCAAAGAGTCAGCCGTCCAGAGGATTTGAGTGGTGAAAAGACATCTCACGATGTAGTTCAACTCAGCATCGCGTCCGATGCTATGGAACTAGCAAACATTATTTTGCGATGCACGTTTATGGACATCCACTTGAGACGGTTGCGAACCACTCTTGAAGCTGCCAGCCTGGAGTTGAACCTTGACCCGAGTTTATCTGCTCAGATTGAGGAGACAAAGGCCATGTTGGATGCATTTCTATGTACACTCCAAAAGCATGTTATATATCCGTGACAGCAATGGTGGATGGGGCCTGTGGATTCCAAGGCGCTGATCGGGGTGTTTCCAAAAGCTTTGTCCCTCTATCATCTTCCTGTTTTCTGAAATCTGCTTCTCTTTACACCAACTCTACTTCGCTCCCCAATATCTCACTCAATCAATCAAGTGGTTCACTTCGTGCACTGCCACACGGTCGTAGGTAGCCTTGGATTCCAGGGGCCATGCATGAACTGCTAGCACACCATTGTACACAATTATGGTCAACGAAATAATAAAAC